CATTTAACCATCATTTAACCATCGTTTAACCATCATTTAACCATCGTTTAACCATCATTTAACCATCGTTTAACCATCATTTAACCATCGTTTAACCATCGTTTAACCATCATTTAACCATCGTTTAACCATCATTTAACCATCGTTTAACCATCATTTAACCATCATTTAACCATCATTTAACCATCATTTAACCATCATTTAACCATCATTTAACCATCGTTTAACCATCATTTAACCATCGTTTAACCATCATTTAACCATCGTTTAACCATCATTTAACCATCGTTTAACCATCATTTAACCATCGTTTAACCATCATTTAACCATCGTTTAACCATCGTTTAACCATCATTTAACCATCCTTTAACCATCATTTAACCATCGTTTAACCATCATTTAACCATCGTTTAACCATCATTTGACCATCGTTTAACCATCATTTAACCATCATTTAACCATCATTTAACCATCATTTAACCATCATTTAACCATCGTTTAACCATCATTTAACCATCGTTTAACCATCATTTAACCATCGTTTAACCATCATTTAACCATCGTTTAACCATCATTTAACCATCGTTTAACCATCATTTAACCATCGTTTAACCATCAAAAATGGGGATTTATAACTCCTTTGACCATCCAAAATAGGAATTTTCACATCAAACCATGGGATTTCATCGGATTCATCCCAATCGAGCTGGACCAGTGGACCCTGCTGTTCGTTGCACAAATCCACGAAAAAACGCAGCAGAAAAGTGGGGAACCTGGAAATATCTAGAAAAACTTTGTTATATCATCAAATATAATAAATATATATATATATAATCATGATTAATCGTCATTAATCATCTATAAGATCCTGGAAACACTTTCCGATCATTTTTGGGGATGATATATGAATATACGTGCTTTGCTTTTGTTTTCCTTCAATCCCTACCACGCAACCTGCGGCCACCGCAGCGTGTCGGCCTTGCCTTTTATTGCTGCGCCAGGAGAAGAAAATGGCGAGCGGCGGATTCTGTGGGAGTGGAATCAAAAAAGAGCATCTGTACTGTGAGAAATGGCTTGGTCCATATTCAGCAGCTACGGTTAAGACCCTTTACCAGTTATAACTGATTATAAATGGTTATAAATGTGGTTACTATTCCAGGGATGGGGTTATAACATGTTATAACTGACTTAGAACTGGTGAAGGGCCATAACTGCAGATGGATCTAGGGACCAAAATGGTGAGTTTTAGAGGAAAGTTGATGATTTTCACAATGGGATTTGGGGGTGCCCTATGTTCGGACTAATGCATATCTGATTTCCATATGAAGTTTGGTATTTTGTTTACCCCAAATTAGCTCACATGATTTGTTTGGTGCAAAAAAAACAATTAAACTAAGAATTTTTAAACTCATGTCCACTACTTGTGGATCAAGTTGCATGTTGTGCAGGATCATACTATTTCTGATAGTCTACGTGTTGCTGTTGCTTTTTTTTTTGGAAGCGTTGAGGTTCAGGGCTGTCAGGATATGTAACAATATTTGTCTATATGTGCACAATGTATGTGCTATTAAACATAAAGCAAAACTTGCATAGAGGTATTGCAAACACGCAGTGGACTGCAGTAGGAACTGCTCCGCGTCATTCTTGTTCCGCAAATAGAACTCGAACTAAATACAGAGTGCCCCGCAAATGATAAGTTTGTTTACAAGCCCGTTTGACTATACAACGTGGTACCCCCCAGTTATAAGTTAGTTTATAACCCCCATCAACTATAGATATATCTACCATAAGTCCTACTTATATTGTAGTTATAAACTAACTTAAATATCTATGGGGCACATTGGGGCACCACTATGTAGTTATAAAGACCAAAAACCTTCAACAACACTCTTGACAACAGTTAACCTATTTGAAAGACCAGCGAAACCAACTAAGCTACCGGTCTGGAGCACCACAGAACATAGATTTACGTGTCTGCATCTCAAAACCATATATATATATATCCAATGGATAATTTCCCTTGTGTAGACTGGAGAGTAACACATCCAAATGTCAGAAAAAATCAGATACATCGATTGTATAATATTTGATCACCCACCCCAACTGGTTCAGGAGTAGGGGGGGTGGATCCTACATTAAGAAACTGGAAAATACTAGGGGTTGGTGATACCAAAATTTGTCAACTTAACGTAGCTATCGTAGCTGGAAAATCACCAGTTTCGGTAAATCGAATAAAATATCGATCAATTTGCAATGTTCCATAGCTCTCTTAAAACTGGAGGAGGGTAGCCATGGATGAAGTATGCGAGAATCTTTACCCATCTGTCTTTGGGAATGCTGAATTCTTTACCCGTCCTGGCTCAGTCAGTACAGTCGATGCCCCAAAGCAGAAAAAGTTGGCCAGTCATTCAATGAAGACCTGGTCGCTGGCGTCTGCTGTCCGAAACTCCTTCGCAATTTTTTTTGCAGTGCCCAAGAGCTTCCCGTTTCTGATGATCAATGACTTTTGCTGACAACGGGTTTAATATGGAATTCTGAGGATTGACCGTTTTAATGGATTTCAAACAGAGCTGAAACCCCTTTTTGTTTTGAAATGAGTCATTCCGGGATGGTGATTTATAGCATATTACCAATATTACATACGGAAAAACTTCATTCAACCAGTTTGTCTTACTCAACTACAACCACAAACTAACATTCTGTGTAAATTTAATATTTCACCAAACTGAATTAAGGCCATTTGGGGATGATTTCCCTTATTCACCATGATTCCAGGGTTCGGGAGGACAGTGAGGTCGTTATAATTTACCAACATAGGTCACTCTTGGACATCGCTGAAATAAGCCGCAGCAACGTCTTAGACGTGCCGAAGCCACACTGCCCTCGCTGCCCAACGTGCTGGTCATCAACCCATCGCTTGCATCCGACTATCCTCTGCAGTTAAGATCCGAAATGCCAGTGATAACTGGCTACTGGTTGGTGGTTCTAACCATCTTGAAAAATACGAATGTCAATGGGAAGGATTATCCTGTATATGAAATGGAAAATAAAACATGTTTGAACAAACCAACCAGGCTATAAATATATTTTTTTAATGTGGTTATACTATAAATGGGGTTATAACTGACCTAAAACTGGTAAAGGGCCGTAAGTGTGGTGACTTCAATTTAGCTGGCAATGGTAAAATTGGTACATGCCCCTTCGATGTCATCAAACATAGCTTAAGAAATGAAAATCCCCGAACTAAATGGGTACAGTTGGGAAAATCATCTACAAACCACAGGATGGCCCCCCCCCAGTTATAAGTTGGTTTATAAACCCCATGAACCACAGTTATCTATAGTTATATCATGTTATATCTACCATAAAGCATAGAATTCAGCCACTTATAAAGCGTTTCGGTTCACGCGAGCTCGACTGGGGCCCCCATCCTGCAGGTTTGGTCATTTCCACCGCTATGGTGTTCTGCGGTGGCGGTTCACATGCTGCTAGTCACGCAACATGGTGATGATTCATTGCCCGTATGCGAGCCATGGTGCTGCAGTTAAGGCCATTTATTAGTTATAACTGGTTATAAATGGAATTATACATTCTATAAATGGGGTTATGAGTAGTTAAAACTGGTAAAGGGCCATAACTGTGGAATATGCACACCAGCATTTGCCACAAAATCACCCAGTCATGTAGGTAAATATACCAGCACCATGGAGCATGTGGGTTGATTAAGATTACTTTAATGTGCAGGAAGCAGCTTCACCCCATCTCCAAGCCGATCCAAGCAAATTCAGAATGCAATTTCTCGTGAAATCCTGTTGTTAAAGCACAAAAATAAGTCAACCCGAGCTGTTCGTCATGTTTTTTCCTACATGCAACACATCAAAACCACCAAAAGAAGCAAACACTAATCTGTTCGTGAAAATGATGTTCCAATCTTTGCCAAACAGTTAGTTCACTGTGCCAAAGAGAGGGATTGGTAGATGCCCATCATCACCAGGGCGGCGCATCCGAATTCAAGGCATAACAACAGTCGACTGGGCGTTCCAAACTGTTTACTGAGAGAGTCCCTGGAATCAGTTCATAACAGGAAGGGTGTTGCCCCCCTAGTTACTAAAGGTTCTGCAATAATTTCAAGACTTGCTATAATTTTACGAATCTTTATAGGATGGTGAGCCCCCTACAGTAGTTCAGTTTGTTTATAGCAAGGTACCACCGAACGTCGAAATCCACTGGGATTTGACGCACAACTTGCAACAGAGTGATAATGGTGTAAGATGGTGTAAGTATGTGTAAGATGTATATTGCTTATACGGCTTGATTTGTAAGGATTATACAGATTTATACAACAAATATCTCAATTACTATCCATTTACTAGCTTGATTCCGAATTAACCCATTTCACCGTGAATGATTGGCAAACCAACAAATTTCCCAAGTTCTATGTGGGTCCACAATTTATCTCCAAAGAGATCAGCCTTCTCATTCTCCAATTCACCATGTCTATGTTGGCTAGATTTTTGTTTCTTCCGCCTTAATCTCTATTTTGCCTGCGGTTGAATCTCTATTACTGTAAGTACTGATAGTTAAGTCCGATTCAAGTAAAAACAAATACATCCCAATTTCCCACTGGAATTTCTCTATCTTCGATGCTGGTATCTGTCTGTTCGACTTTCATGTCAAAAAATCACCATTGATGGCTGAATCCCGTGATATCCCGTACAAACCATGGATAAAGACCCAACTTGAGGATTAAACACTACATTTCTGACGCAAAAACTGATGAAGTAAGTAATTGTGATGGTTGAACACTTACTTTTACACGTACTTTTGCTGGATGAATCCCAGTTGTTGTTGTTTAAAGCACTATTATTTGTTGGTCAAATCACTATTTTGGTTCGTTAAGTCACTGTTTTTGCTGGTTAAATGATGGTTAGATCAAGATTTTCGTTGGTTAAATCCACTTTTCTGATTTTTCAGTTACCATTTGCTTTGGTTAAGTCATCATTTTCATCATCATGTGCCGCCTGTTGGTCCGTGCAACTCACCAGGCTGTTTTGACGTCGTGCGGTACATCACTCTCCTGCGAAACGTCTGGTGCCCCGGTCACGTGCGCCAAGGAATAGTCGCTGTGAAACATAGTACTTATATAGGGTACATACATTGGGATGAAAAAGAGGAACTAAGATAAACCAAAAAACGTGGTCACATGGTTCATATTGGAAAAACAAAAACAACAAGAAACTGCACCAGTTGATAGGTGGGCAAAATCCCCACCTATTTAGAGGTTTCAACAATCCCAACCATCCCAGGTGCAGGATTTCTTCTTCCATCCTATGTTGTGTCTAATTTGGTTGTGAAAAATATCCGATCATGGAATACTACAGTAGTTACTCAACATGTTGCGCTGAAATTTAGGTTTTTTGTTGCTTTTTTGTTGCTTCATGATTGAATACCCTCTGGTAAACTAACATAGCTATGGAAAATCACCATTTTTCATGGGAAAATCCACTATAAATGGCAATTTTCAATAGCAAACTGTTAGTTTACCAGAGAGTACCTTATTTCAAGAACCCACAACCATGATGATCAAACGCAGCGAACATGATGATTCAGTGATTAAAGAAAAAATGGTGGAGTCTAATCCCACAGCAAGATCATTTCGGACTCTCTATATATATGGTGTAATATTACACCATATATTACACCATATATTTCATATTACACCATATATTTCATATTCTAACATATTTCGGACATCATATATATATATATATGTATATTTCACTGTAATATATTTCATATGGTGTAATATATTTAATATATTCTAATCCCCAACATATAGATTTAGTGGCTTTATTATATATAAATATATATATATATATATAAATATTTCACCAACTAGAACAGGGACTTGCAAGCGAAAATACATATATATATATATATACATATATATATATATTTGATCATCAGTGCTGCATCAAGGCCATACGATAGATTTGGCCTCCAACCACAGTGGGTCGATGGACAAGTTGTCACCCAAAACTGATTCTGATTCGTCATGATTTGTTTTAACAGTTGCTCATTGGTTCCTGATTATAGACATCTCAATGTTGATTGGATTGGTTTAAGGGAAAATTTACAGGACACCATAGATTTTCCAAAAAAACATATGGGTCTTTCTGGTTAAGATTTTCCCTTAAACCAATCCATTGAAATGTTTCTTATGGTTTAAGAAACGGTTACCCTCTGTGTTTAATGGAAACTAGTCTTCCAACCCCTATCTGCCAGGGTCTATGTTAATTTACCAGAGGGTAACATCCCCGAAAGCCATCCAGCCATGGCTAGTTCCTCCCTGCCTGGACTGGACCCATCATCCCAAGAGATGGTCTGAAAAAACGGTGTTGAAACCCATCCAGCTATAGATCTAGGAATCTAGCACAGTTAAGGCCATAAAAAATAGTGAAATAACTGAAATAACTGGTAATTTCTATGGTGGTTAATAGTGGTTAATAGTGGCTAATAGTGATGAATGATGGTTATATAGTTATAACTGGTTATTTCTATGGGATGAGAAACATTCTATAAATGGGGTGACTTGTTAGTACTTATAACTGGTAAAACTCGGGCCATAACTGTATCCAAGTTCACCTGATTCCAAACCAATTTACATATGCTGTCGAAGCCCTAAGACGTAGTCTTTCTTGCACCTGCCCCCAGATCAAAACATGGTTTTGTAGCTGAAATCCAGATCACTTCATGTCATTTTGAAGACCTCTTGTTGCTACTCAAATTCCACCAGTTTTCTTCAGAAAAAAAATGTGTTTTTTGGATATCAACCACCATATTTGTTGATTTTCTCCATGTGTGTTGACTACCTCAACAAGTTTGTAAATGAGAAGCATATATCCACACACCTCAAAAATCCTCAAAAAAGGACAACATGTGCTAAAGCCCATTAAACAAAAAGCCAAGCAGGCTCCGACCTCCCCAGAAACGGCCCCCTTCCACCGTTGCCACAGCGCGTCCTCTGGGACCTGGTTGGGCATCACTGAGATCATACTGGTCATGCTGTTGCGCTCATAGACTGACTGCTCCATCCGCGCCCTGATCGAAGATATCGACTCCGGTTGTTTCGGAAGCCCTGGAAAAATATGGGATCTTCACTGATCTTCAGATGATACGAATCAATGTATATATATAATACATATATTGTATATTGTATATATATATAAATAATTATGTATATATTATATGATATTAACTCAAATATGCTATACATTTGATACACATTCAATATGAAAGTAGTACTGTGTCTTTTCTGTGTATATTCTCAGGGCTGTGGCAAGGCGCTGGATGACTTCCAAATCCGTCGCGCCGATCAAGTCCGCGCTGCTGCTCAGGTGGGCAACCTGGGATTGAATCCCCAAACATGTGGATTTTCCATGTGACTTCCATGGGTTTCTCACTTAAATAACCAATAGCCAATAATAACTACGATTTAATGGGATTTAACCAAAAAAACAATGGATTTCCCCCAGAAAACTGGGGGAACCATGATTAATGGTTCATTTATGGATGATTATACCTATGACAAATGATGATTTCATGGGTGTTGAATGGGTTGTAATGATGATTCACCTACAAACCTGAGATTTCACAATGAATAATTTGGATTTGGCGAACACATATGTTGATTTTCCTAACAAACAAAAATGAGCAGAAACATGAGGATCTAACCGGGGAAACTGTGGATTTAATAATCAACAATGTGGATTTTACCACACAAACATGCAGATTTAATATGATATAGTTTAACCAACCAAAAAGGTGGTATAAAACAAACAAGATGTCCTGTTTTTTTCAAAAAACATTTATCAATTGGATATGCATTCCAGTCTGTAGGCGATAGACATGTTGGAGGACGATGTTGATGGTCAAATCCTCGTTTTGGCACCTTCAATCCCCTTCTTGTTGGTTTCTGTAAACTGTAAACTATATCAAACCCTATAAAATTCACTTGCTAATGTTCGATGGTACAATCCACATAGTTGATTATCAAATTCACATGTCTGATGGTTACATCCCCCATTTCTATCCATTTCTTACTATCCCCACACTGTTGGTTACCTTGGATACTATCAATATCTGTATCCAGCTAGAAACCACCAGTGATATCTCCATTATGACTCCCATTACAGTCCCAGTTTTAGTTTGGTTTATGCCCCAATTTGTTTGGTAACGGAGGTTCATTTATATTCATTTATACATGTATATGTTCCTTTTTGATGGTGAACAAATCCAACCAAAAAGGGTGCAGAAAAAAGCACATCGGAATTCAGGGTCTCAGGGAGGACTCAATGCCAAAAGGCTGCAACTTGACGGTAGATCCATGGCTGCATGTTCCCATTGCCAGCCATGGTTGCTTGAGGCAGCTCCAAATGAGAAGTACTCGTATTGTCATACGTATGATGGCAACACCGGATTAGTAGGCCCCCAAAAAAGTCAACAAGGTCGATAAAGTGTTTGGAGGCATCTTCTGAACTACCCCCAAACGGGAAAGAAAAAGGAAAAGGCAAAAAGAAACAAACAACATACATAGCTGAGATGAACTTTATTAATTGGGGGTGAGCCCACTTTTAATTTGGGGGAACACGACTCATGGGGGATACCCTTTGCGAGCTTCCAACACGATCATTCTTTGTGCAAAAAGTAATAAGATATTTAGACGATATGTTGTTTGAAGAAATGCGCTTCTTTTGGGGCTAAACGAACCCATGAGGGATCAAGAAACTAATTCCACCAATTTAAGATTGAAGGGGAACAACACTGAATTAGTAGCACGAAAAATTGGGGGGTCGCACCATTATTGGAGATGAAAAAGACCATCGAATTGTGGGGGTTAGATCCCAACAGCCCCATGCATATCCTTATTACAACAGAATTAGTCAACATCTTTGGTTGTCTTCAAAAACAGGAGTGCTTGGGGCAGCTCTACTTAATCATGTATCTGGCACTACTTGCAGAACTTGCAAGGCCTATCCTAACCCATTATGGTGCTTATAACCAGATCAGTTGTAAGGATTTATAAGAAGCCCAACTGACTCATGAGACATACAGCTATCCTGTCCCATTTCATTGGTTACTTTGAAGGCATTCCTTTGACGGGTTAGTTCACACTCCCTATTAGACTAAGGTAATTGCCAATGTAATTGCCAATCATATCCTCAATTACCTAATGGTTAAAACTCATGTCTATCATATCTGGTGGTTAAATGTGGTTGGATGTTGCTATACCCTCTGGTAATTTGTTACATAGCGAGCTGGAACATGGACCATTTACAGATGATTTTCCCAGCTAGAAACCTCCATTTATTTTGGGGATTTTCCAGTTCGCTATGTTAAATTACCAGAGGCTATATCCTATTAAATCCTACTAAATCCCATTAAACCACCATTTTCCTATGGTTGGATGTTGCTATAACCAACCAACAGTTGTGTATTTCTATTGGCTCAGCCGCAGCCAACCCGACCGCCGAGCGGCGGGTCTCCTCTCCTCAAGCAGAATGGTCCTTAAAGGGCGGCCCGGGGAGGCGTGGCGATTGGAGATTCATCAACCACAGTTATGGCCCGAGTTATACAGTTAAGGCCATTTATTAGTTATAACTTATAACTGGTTATAAATGGGATTATACATTCTATAAATGGTGTTATAAGTACTTATAACTGGTATTTCGGGCCATAACTGTACCAATTACCCTCTGGTAAACTAGCATAACTATGGAAAATCACCATTTTCTAGCTGGGTAAATCCACTATTTCGACTGGGCCATTTTCAATAGCTATGTAACAAATTACCAGAGGTATGCCTATACTGTGGATGGATGCGAAATCCTGCACCAGTTGATGGTAAACATCCCATGATTTTGTTGGGGTTTAAAACATCCTTTTGGTCAGTGAAATCACCCTATGTGTGGAGAAACCACATAGAAATCACCATAGAAATCACGTGAAATCACCATAGAAATCACTGGTATAACTCGGGCCTTAACTGCAGTACAAGGTGGTGCGCCCTCGTTATGTTTGTTTGCCACTAACTAGAGTTCTGACTACAATAAACCCTAGTTAGTTGATAGTTCAGCGAAATATAAACCAACTTAGCTAACCAGGGGCAACACCTTGTCCGATATGTGAATTACTAAACTGTTGAAAGTGAAAGCATGAAACATAGAAACATAGAAACTGGAAATCCAATCCCAGAAGGATGGGGACGCACACAGAAATTGGATGTGAACATAGCGCTTTGCTGGAAACAAAACTGGCATAGAACTTATGGATATGATCAATGGAAAAATTTAGATATCATAATATTTCTCATAACAAAGAACATGGGGATATAGCCTCTGCTAAACATGGCTGGCTGGAATTTCCCAGCTTTCAAATAGACAACATATATAATTAAAGTGAGGTGTCCCCGAAAAAATGTTTGTCAATCACAAATTTCTTAGGATATCCCATGTTCTCTTTTCAGACCCCCGGATTTCGAACAACAAACCACTGGACTCAATGCTGTGAATCTCCGGGCATATCCGACATCGGAGGTTGATCACAATTCATCACCAGCACAGCCAAGTAACACCAAGGCTTTGTTGAGTTTTTGCTGGACCAGGTCCTGGAATAGGACACTGCTGAAACAAAAAAATCTGGGTTTTTCGGTTTTTCCGGCAATCTTTGATGCTGCCCTTCAACTGACGGAATATGGATTTTGATCAAGAAAACCAAACGCGAGGACTTACCCTTTGGTAATTTAACAGCGTGCCATGGAAAATCACGTTTTTTTTGTTTAATAGGTAAATCATCATACATCATCTATTTCTATGGGCCAATTTCAATAGCTATATGTCAAATAACCACAGGGTAAGCAAGAATAACGGGGATGAACAATCTGGTACAGTAATCAAAGATGACGAAAGGGAGAGAAACAAACGTGAACTGCAAAAATCATCCATACATGAATATAGTATTACCTACTGTTTTTCCAGGGGGCCACGCGAAAGAATGACTCTTGACATCTGTGTCCAACGGAAAAATTATACAAACGAAATTAAACTTACTTGTGCTCAGTAGGGTTTTTTGGGAATGATCCACTGGCTATCAGTCGCAGATCATCCCAGCAACCCATTAATTCCTATCTATTCCCTACGTTTCGCACCACTAAAATACAATTACTTTGCTTCGAGTGATCCCCACCATGACATTTATACGTTTTGTTACTGGCAAATCTTCTGGCATTCTATCTGACATATCTTCTGGCATTCGATCTGGCATTCTATCTGGCATTCTACCTGGCATATCTTCTGGCGTTCTATCTGGCCGTTGAGGTCCAGCGGTGCTCACTGAGCTCGGAAGGTCCCAGGTTGAGGTCCAGCGGTGCTCACTGAGCTCGGCGGGTCCCAGGTTGAGGTCCAGCGGTGATCACTGAGCTCGGCGATTCCCAGGTTGAGGTCCAGCGGTGCTCACTGAGCTCGGAAGGTCCCAGGTTGAGGTCCAGCGGTGCTCACTGAGCTCGGCGGGTCCCAGGTTGAGGTCCAGCGGTGCTCACTGAGCTCGGCGGGTCCCAGGTTGAGGTCCAGCGGTGCTCACTGAGCTCGGAAGGTCCCAGGTTGAGGTCCAGCGGTGCTTACTGAACTCGGCAGGTCCCAGGTTGAGGTCCAGCGGGGCTCACTGAGCTCGGAAGGTCCCAGGTTGAGGTCCAGCGGTGCCCAGTGCATTCAGACCCTTGCAGTTGAGGTCCAGCAGTGCCCACTGCGTGCGGAAGTTGGCGAAGACGAAGAGTTGGCAAGGCGGAAGTGGACATGGAAGTGGATGCAGAGGTGGTGGAGGAGAAGGAGGAGAAGGAGAAGGAGAAGAACAAGTCTGATAAAATCTAACAACCCTCACCTGGCAGGTGGGGAGTGAAATTCAATGGGAATTTCAGGATCCGATTCTCAAGGAGGAGTCTGCCTATCTACATAGTTCTTGCCTGTCGCTGGAGCATCCCAAAACCCCCTTGCCGGAACTCAAAATGGACGGGGAGGCTGTTGTTAAAATGTCCAATTACCCAACCGCTAACAGCTAAAAATCTAGTTGTTTGGGGTAAATCACCCCTAAAATAGAAACACTACAACCGAATAGAGTTTGAAACAAGCTAAATGTTTGAAACCAGCAACCAAATAAGATAGAACACTATCAAATGATTGAAACCAGCAACCCAACAAGCTGGTCCGAAGGCTGTCCATAGGTTGATCATCCAATATTATCCAGGCAGAAGTATATCCACTTCCTCTCTCAATTTCCCTCCTCATCTATAGAGCCGTATCAACCCCTTAATTTATTGAGGATATTTGGTTAACCACAACAAAGATCCTTCAGTAGAGTTTTTGCCCTTTACCACTTATAAGTACTTATAACCCCATTTATAGAATGTCTCATCCCATAGAAATCGCCGTTTATACCTAATGGCTGCTTAACCAAGGCCATAACTGTAGAATTCACCGCAACGTTGGTCAACTCAAAAACCGATCGCCAGCCGATAGCCCGTCGCCGTGCCACCGCCTTGTCGAAGCCAAAGCCCGAGTCGCGGAAGGGATTGTCCAGTTCAGCGGCCAACTGCATCAAACCGAACATGCAAAAGACCTCCCGGGCAGACGAATCACAGTTAAGGCCATGGCTATTAGTTATAACTGGTGATTTCTATGGGATTATAATATACATTCTATAAATGGGGTTTTGTTAGCACTTATAACTGGTAAAGGGCCATAACTGCAGCAAAATTAAGGTGACGTTTGGAGAGAGAAAAAAAACACCCCTTGAACTATAGAGTAGACTGTTTGGCCCGAAATAGCAATTATAAACTGGTTCTGAATGGTGAACTAAATGTGGTTTAACAGGTTCACATGTTTAAAGGACAAATGTTGAGTGAACATCAAAGATTGCGTATTTGCAGTGTGGTTTGGTATGGGACATCAGGGTTGAAACCATTCATGGTTTAAAATTTGAGTCATCGGAATCCACTAAACACCCATTCATTAAGGTTCAAATCAATATTACCGAGAAACAAGAAATTGTAATATGCTGTAACATGTTGAAATATGTCAAACTGTCAAACATAAAGTGTAAGTAAATGTCCTACAGGTGAACTTGAACTGCTTGAAACTTGAGTTGAATGGTTGCTGTCCATTCAACAGCAAATTCACCTTTCGAAGTGAAAAAATCCGGGTTCCACAGTTTGAGCAATGAAACAGTTGGGGTGACATGAAGACGAATATAAACGCAACCATTGAGATCCTCTGCTCTTTCCCCGGTCCATGTTTAACTGACCCAACTTATAGCTACAGGGGCCCCCTACTTAGCTAAATTGGTTTATAATTTATGCCAATGTTAACTAGGGGTGGTGGTAGATAGATCGAACTAGTAAGATTAAGATGGGGATAGAAGCAACACACATAACATGTGGGGGGCACCGCCGTATAGGGAGCACCAACCCTGTAGCAGCCACATGCAACCACATTGCAAGCAAACGAACACTGCGGCATGTCAACCATTATATCCCCATTGCACCCTCATCATCCATTACCCTCCAGTAAATTAACATAGACCCCGGCAGTCATCGGGGTTGGAAGATTAGGTTCCTCTAAAAATTGGTGATTTTCAGGGTCGAAATGTTAATTTACCAGAGGGTATCATCTTTATCCAGATTTTGCCAACTATGTTCCTTCATATTTTGTTGGTGAAGCTTCAGTTTTTGGTGTTTCGGATCCTCACGGTGCCCATAGCACACATAGCACCCTTAGCATTCATAGCACCCCTAGCACCCCGAGCACCCAGATATATATAATTAGTATCCCAATCGGACCCTATGTTATCCCTATTACCGTTGATCTTAGACCCTCATTATGATATATCACCAGACAAGTTTTCATAAATCATTATTGACAATTCAATCACAATCCAACAATCATTTCTGATACATAAGAAACCGTGGGCTACATCAGAATATTCTAGACATTGTTTTGCGTTTTGATGATTATCCCAAACATACATTCCAATTTTATATCCCCATCCCAGTGATGGCACCATAGCACTCAAACCTTCGCCATGTTTCGCCAAGGCACTAAGACGAAACTGAAAAAACCGCTGAAGGCCACTGTCTTCGCCCAGGCGATCACGGCCACGGGGGTCAGCAACATGTGGACGCTCAGCAAGGCCTGGTCGATGTGGTCGATGGCGCGTTTTTCGCGCAAGGCGATCGGATTAGTCAAAAAAGGGGCCACTACAATGTGAGGTATTATGGTATTATAACTCCAATAACTATGGTTTATGGTATTTATAACTATAGTTACTGGGGTTTATAAACCAACTTATATCTTGGGGGCCTCACATTGTATGAATGGTGAACAGAACCCGAGATAGAGACAGATATTTAAAGTGGTGATTTTGCATTTGCTATGCTTACTAAGCGCATTTTCATGCCTGCCACGCACCTACAAGTACAATCCAGACAGTTTGGGGTGGTGGAAGTGGAACAGAAAAAAGGGTATTATCTAAAACTGAAGAGAGGATTGATCAGAAACACGTATTCGCCCCTTCCATGATTAACTGACAGTTAGGGTTGGTAGACCAACAGTTAACGTTTGGGGGTACCACCTGCATTCACCAAGGTTGACCATTTCCCTTGGCTCACCACGATGGCCAAGTTGTAGGGCGCCGGAAAGTCCACTGAAGCCAACTTCCTTAGGGCAGCGGCAGCTGGAGGTGATTCCAAGTGGCGCAGTTATGATATGGCACATCATGTGAAAAATCTGAATCAATTATTGTCATATTTTGCCCATTCATGAAAGTAAAGAAAATTCTAATTCTAATTTTAATGTCCCGTGCTAGTTACTAGTTGCGATTCATTTTTTTTGGATTAATGGGTATGTAGCAGTGTGTAGCTCATTCATGGGTAAACTGCGGTCTATATATTTTTGCAAAGAACCATGCTCCTCAAAACAATCAACAGGATTCAAGACGACGACCACTTGGAGTTGTTGGGGCTAGTGGCAGGTGAGGAGTAAGACGTGCGCTCAATCCACGCCAATAAGAAGGTGAAAACCAGGAAACCCGGCGGCAGGCTTGCACGTGCCCAATGCTTTTCCTTCAAGTTGCAAGCGCGTTGAGAGCAAGATAGCAGATTAGCAAGCCTACAGTTAAGGCCCTTTACCAGCTTAACTGGTTGTAAATGGCTATAAATGTGGTGACTATTCCATAAATGGGGTTATTCCACTGACTTATAAATGGTATTTCGGGCCATAACTGTATGCACAAAGTGCATTAAATTGATTTTACCAGAGCAAAGCCTCGATCCTGCTCTGCTTGTCGTCCACCCTTCTGCGACAAACCCTGGCACTTAACATGCATGATGCGTCCTCTGCTAGATTTTATGCTCGTACAATGGTTTTTCAGCATGGTTCTTCTTCTCCAAGCTTTGCTCGTTTGCATGGTCACTTATGCTAATGTCTCCTACTCTCAATCATTAATGAATATAAAAACATACTTTACTCCGAGTTGTCCCCGCCATGACATCTATACGTTTTGTTACTGGCAAATCTTCTGGCATTCTATCTGACATATCTTCTATCTGGCATATCTTCTGGCATTCTACCTGGCATATATTCTGCAATATGTTCTGGCATATCTTCTGGCACTCTATCTGGCATATCTTCTGGCAAATCTTCTGACATTCTGTCTGGCATTCTATCTGGCAAATCTTCTGGCATATGTTCTGGCACTTTATCTGGCATACCTTCTGGCATTCTATCTGACATTCTATCTGGCATACCTTCTGGCATTCTATCTGGCATATCTTCTGGCATTTTTCTGGCATTCTATCTGGCATATCTTCTGGCATTCTACCTGGCATATCTTCTGGCATATGTTCTGGCATATCTTCTGGCACTCTATCTGACATATCTTCTGGCATATCTTCTGGCATTCTATCTGGCATTCTATCTGGCATATCTTCTGGCATTCTATCTGGCAAATTCTGGCATATCTGGCATATCTTCATTCTTTTTGGCATTCTATCTGGCATATCTTCTGGCATTCTCTTTTTGGCATTCTATCTGGCATATCTTCTGGCATTCTATCTGGCCGTTGAGGTCCAGCCAGGTTGAGGTCCAGGTTGAGGTCCAGCGGTGCGCTGAGCTGGGAAGGTCCCAGGTTGAGGTCCAGCGGTGCGCACTGAGCTGGGAAGGTCCGAGGTTGAGGTCCAGCGGTGCGCACTGAGCTGGGAAGGTCCCAGGTTGAGGTCCAGCAGTGCGCACTGAGCTGGGAAGGTCCCAGGTTGAGGTCCAGCAGTGCGCACTGAGCTGGGAAGGTCCCAGGTTGAGGTCCAGCGGTGCGCACTGAGCTGGGAAGTTGGCGAAGAGCTTGGCGAAGAGTTGGCAAGGCGGAAGTGGAGGTGGAAGTTGATGCAGACATGGTCGAGGAGAAACTGGAGGAGGAGGAGGAGGCGGAGGAGGACAACAGCTCTGATAAAATCTAACAACCCTCACCTGGCAGGCGGGGAAAAAAACTACATGAAATTGATTCAATTTGGCTCACTGACGCTTTTAGGTCATTATATCATGGGAATCCTGGAATTATGGGTTCATGGAATGATTGATGACCCACATGGAAAATGCAGTGCGTGTTTGCCCTATTATACCTCGGTATGGGTCAACCATGCTTAGTTGATTTTAACACCATACTATATCAATCAAATTCCAAGTATGTTTTTTGACAACCACCAGAATGGTAAAACTGTGTCCTTGACCACATTTCCTGAAGTAAGCAATGTTGGGATGATTACCATTATTTTGACAAAAAACTCAATTGAAATAAGTTGGGATTTACAGTGTATTTCATAAATTGGGACTTACAAGTTGGGATGATTATCATTCTTTATTGCCATTTCAACCGTTAATTACCCTACGGACATCTATTGACCATCACCTCGAACATGGCCAAAATTCAGAACCAGGGGCACCGCCCAGAGATTTCAGTCATGAGTCATGCTCATGACCATCTACTCTCTGGTAACTTCTTGCATAGCTATTGAACATAGCCCATAGAAATAGTTGATTTACCTATGAAAAACATAGTGACTTTCCATGGTTCTGTTAGTTCGCCAGAGGGTATATCCCATTACGAAGTACATGAAAAAAATAGTGACTTTCCATTGGTATTTGATTTACCGAACTTGATGGTGACTTTCCACTTCGTGTTTACTCTACGTTTTCCAGGTCGCAAAAAGAGATCGCCCGTTACCCGTCGACAAACTCATCCCAGGATCCCGGCGATCTAAACGATGGCCAAACTTAGAGATCAAGAAATAATACGTTACTTACCCTCTGGTAAACTAACATAACTATGGAAAATCACCATTTTTAATGGGAAAATCCACTATAAATGGTCATTTTCAATAGCTATGTTAAATTCCCAGAGGGTAAACCATATTAAACAATGATGTGCTTGTAATGTCATTCAATTTGCCAGGTATCCCGAACATTCTTGGACAAACTCATATATAAAGTACCCATGCCTGTGTTTTTTGTGCGTGGATGATCCAGGATGATCCAGTTCACTTGAAACCAGGACTTCTGTCCAGTCTTTGGTGAACAATCTGCAACGATGTCCTACGAAGCACGAGCATCACCCAAAATATGACTAATGTGGTTAAAACAATGCCATTTGCACCATCCCCAGTCATCACCATTTTTATAGGTGGTATATGTTTACCATTCCCAGTCGTGGGTGTAAACATGGCATTGTTTTAACCACATTATTCCCCTTTAAACTTCGATTTTCTAGGTGATTTCCATGGATTTGTCCACATTAAATCACCATAATCCATGTAAATCCTATGTTTTAACCACATTAAGTCACCTCATCCCAGCCAGGGATGGAAAACTATGAGCCGAACCCTCCGAATCATTGAAGATAGTCGAAGAATGAATGAAACCAACGTATAACGAGACAACATACCTGTATGTTTTCAGATGTTGGCAAAGATGAATAGAATATATATATATATATACGTATGTATATATATATATATGTAAATGAAACTAATAAATAAGTAATAATAATTAATAATGATGATAATAATTAATAATCAATAATAATAAATGATAAGAGTAAAAAACAATAAATTAAAAAAACAATAATAATAATAGTACATAATAATAAATAATGATAAATAATAATAAATAAAATAACAATAAATATAATAAATAATAAATAAAATTAGATAGACTAAACATAATAATAATCAATAATAATAGTAATAATAGTAGTAATAATAAATATATATATACATGTACATATCGGAACTGTGATAAACTATGTGTCTCCATTGTGTTCATTTAACCCACATGGAAGCAGTTCGAGTATAATTTGTTTCTTGGTAAACGAGTCCGTCGTCAATGCATTCACCTCAAGTCTTCATGGTGATTGCCCGTGACGTAAACATCTTTTATATCAAATATCATACAATTATGGCCCTTTACCAGTTCTAAGTACTTATAACCCCATTTATAGAATGTATAATTCCATTTATAACCAGTTATAACTAATACATGGCCTTAACTGTATATGCTAATAACATAGATGTAACTATGTTAACTATGGTGCTGGTAGATTAACATATATAGCTATGGAAGCCATGGTTCATTTATAGATGTTTTACATTGCTTTACCTATACAAAAGTAATGTTCCATGGTTATGTTAAAATACCCTCTGGTAATTTAACATAGCTATTAAACATGGCCCATTTATAGTTGATTTTCCTATTAAACATCGTGATTTTCCATAGCAAACTGTTAAATTACCAGCGGGTACGTTCCACAGTTCCATGCTGAATTCCAACACCTCCAGTTCCACGATGCGAGGTGAACAGGCACTGCCTAAATCATCAAATCATCCCACAGTTTAACCAAATCATTCCAGCACTTTCCCAGCATTTTCCATATCTCAATATATGGGTATGGATCAATACCTATGAAAATACCATTTTTAGTGGGATGAACATCCATAAATCCCAGCTATTTTGATGTTCACCAGGGGTACAAGGTTTTGACCCACTGCCATATCTCAATGACCATATTTTCCACCCAATGATTTTCTTTTTGTCTGTTTGAAAACCAATGAGATTCCATGTTTCACCCATCCAATCCATCCCTTTCTATCTTTGAACCACGATAAAAAAAATCGTGAACCCCAAGATTCCTTAAATCTGAGATCACATCATCCTACCATTTGCCCAAATCATCATCCGATCTCAACCACATCATCCCATTTTCGCCATATTTTCACAGGCATTTTTGCCAGGCGTCATGGCGTTCTGCAGCTTCGTCATCCCCAGACCCATCTCCTGATGAATGCGCCCCACGATGGGCGGAGGCGAGGCGATGATGCCGTTTTGCTGCGCCTCCACCACCACTTTGCTGATGGCTTGGAAGACCTCGGCGCGGCGTTGCAGGTGCTTGGAAACGGAAGGGAAACCACAGGATGGGCCCCCCAAACGTTATGTTTGTTGGTTGATTTATAAGCCCATCTAGTTATATAATCATTTGCGTATCATACATAGTGGTTTATCTAAATAGTACCTACATAATTTCTTACTGGTGCTAAACGTAGGGAATGGATGGGTTGCTGGGGGTTGCTGGGATGATTATTACTAGTGATGAAATGGATCATTCCCGAAAATTCCCTGCGTTTAGCACCAGTAAGTTGAAGATGTGAAACAACTGTGAATTCTATGGGACATGCGCAAAAAAAAACATGGGATATGCCAGTAACAAATGGGGAAATAAAAAGGATAGGCAGCTTGGAGGAAAACGGTGCTTGAAGATGTTTTGAAAATGGTGTGAATTCCATGGGAAATGCCCATGAGATGCGGAAAAAAACAATGGGAAAAGCGGATAGTCAACTATAATTGTAACTAAGTTGGAAAAACTAGCAATAGCTGAACTGGGATCTATGGTAGAATCGAACTGGTGAATGTGGTGTTTGCCACATTCCATGTACCACCTTGTAGAACCTTGGCTTGAAAGTGTAAGGAGTTAGTAGGATTCAAATGTAAATATGTGTCTACAATATGATGATCATGTGTATAGCTAGTTGTGGACTGATGTATTGATATAATATGTATATATATATATATAGTTGTATAGTTTTACAAGTACATAGCTAGTAGAGATATTGTATGATTATGATTTAGATTGATTTAGTATGTACTAGTATAATCTGGTATATAGCTGAATATTTGGGTTGGAAAAGGCATACGATTTTAATTGATTATATAAATGATTCATTGCAGCAGTAAAAGCTGGCGGATCCACTGTTGCAAGGTAGGTCGAAACATGATCTTTCCTCAAAAACCAAACAAACGTAGAGGGTTTGCACATGTTAGATCATTAAAGGGTGCTTTCCATTCACGTACCTTCCTTTATGCTGAGACTATTAAGGAAGTTCAATTTGACCCCTATACGGACATCTCTACACTACTTACTGGTGCTAAACGTGGGAATGGATGGGTTGCTGGGGGTTTCTGGGACGATTATTACTAGTGATTATGATCATTCACGTTTAGCGCCAGAAAGACTATACATCACGATTAAATCACCTCCATTATCATCAGTCCACCATCATTCCCATCCAACAGACACCATCCATCCCTGCAACCCAAGCCCTTGCGTCAGTGGCACCTGTTCTGGCCGGCTGTGGGACTTCATGTTGAGCAAGTGCGCTCGCGTCTGCTGATCGATGCCACGTGGGTCCAGCACTGGGAACTTCAGACCGCTCTCGGCATGCACCTGGCGGCTCGGAGCGGGAGCTTGGTGACCGCGGGCGGACCGGGGTTGAGTTCATCATGGTTTCACCATGTTTCACCAATAACAAAAAGGGGATTTCAATGGATCTGACCATCAATACTTAGGGGATAAAATGGGATGTAATAATATGTTTATACTTGGACACGTTAGTTATGAGCCATTTATAAACGGGATAAGCCCCTCCAAGTACCCCCCCATTCGGTTCGCGGACCTCTTGTCCCTCCAACTCCCGTAGCATCAAACAGTTCAACAGGCCTCGGCAGCGCGGCGGCGGACCAGTCTCTGAAGTGTAGCTGCTGCCCCAGGGTGCTAAGTACTAGGTTGACCTACTGTAATTTGGTTTAATGATGATGAAAGAACCATTTCTTTAGATTGGCTTATAAACCAGCTTACAACTATCTATAGGGGGGCACGACCTTGCAGGTATCTAGAAACTGCGGAAACTATGTGAATCTGGGGGAATCTGAAAATATTGGCATTTTTTTGAAGTTTTTTTGATAACATTTGGGTTCACAAGATGGAGGCTTCCGTACTATTTTGAAAACTTATATAAGTTGCATACATCAGCTTGGGTTTAATAGAGATCGGTGGGAAAATCAATCATCGGTTCCCCAAAACCTTGGAATCACCCATTCTAAAGCAGAAATCTGCGAGGTCAAACAAGAAATGCTTGGTGAACTCGACCCAAATCTCTGGATGGTTCCGCCGTCTTTTCGGTAAGGGGATGGTGAACGTCCGCTGACGTTCGTTGCAGCTCGGGATGATGTCTGGAAATCCACAAAAAACGCCCGAGGGATCATTGCACTTATGGCCCGAGTTATACCAGTTATAAGTACCAAAAAAAAGTCACCGCATAGACATAGAATATGTATAATCCCATAGAAATCACCAGTTGTAACTAATAGCCATGGCCTTAACTGTGGATGAATCACTTCCAATCACCGTTGCGCATTAGAATCATTAGAATCATTAGATATCAAGCTCCCTAGGTGTGTCTTTTTTAATTCTTTGAAGCTGGACTTCCAAACACCTCCTGACAAGGTATTTGAACCCCCAAATCTACCCAAGCATTAATCTAATTGGTGGTATACCTACCCCCTGAAAAATATGAGTTCGTCAGATTGGATCATCATCCGATCTATTGGGGAAAATAAAAACTGTTCCAAACCACCAACCAGTTATAGTTTACAACCCCATCCAACTGATATATGCACAATTTTTGCCTTATATGGTACAGTACCTCCATTTTAGGATCCTGAAATTCCCATTGAATTAATGTTCAAAACCTGAATTCAAAACCTGGTCGTCCTGCTTCGTAGGATTTCCCGATTGCGAATTCGGATCCCCATTGCAGATACAGCCCATATAATAACCCAGCCATCATTGAATCATTTCTCAAATGTTATACACAATATATATATATAAATATATATATAAATATCTGGTTGGTGGTTTTAACCATCTTGAAACATATTAGTCAGTTGGGATGATGACATTCCCAATATATGAAAAATAAAAAAATGTTTAAAACCACCAACCAGTAATAGTTAAAACCCCAGAACACCCATGAAAAAATGCTACAGTTGAATTCCATGAGCATTTATCAAGTATAAATAGTTAAAACCCCAGAGCACCCATTAAATTGGCTGGTTAGTTATCACTTCCATTTACGCTACATTACATGAACAACAAGGCACTGCAGCAGAAGGTCCAATATTGCCACAGTCCTAGTAGATGAGTTGGTATCCTAATGCTATGAAAATTCCATAGTCATATCAGCAATATATAGGATACTAACTAATCCAATACATTCTTATATGAATATTCAAATATAATTAATTTGTTTAATATACCAATATCATATTAAGGTCCTAATAAGCACCTCACTGTTGTACGAACCCAATATAAACTGCAGGCTTTCTGCGATTCCCCCCCACCATCCACTCCGAGGAACTGAAGAGCCGCACCACCAGCCTGCGAAAGTTCTCAACCTCCTCGGCCTGTGACGAGAAAAGACACATCTGATGATGATTTCACATGCGAAGAACTGCGGGAACTGAGGGATATATTCACATATTATGCTATTCACATATTATTTCTATGTCGAATTGTGGAGAATAATATTGTGGATATAATATTATATATATACTGTTTGGTGGTATACCTACCCCTCTGAAAAATATTAGTCAGTTGGGATTATGATTATTATTCCCAATCTATGGAATAATAAAACTCTGTTCCAAACAACCAACCAGAAAATGAACTATGCACAATAAGTAGGTTTATAGCATCTGACTCCTTGGAGATGTCCACCATTTTTTTCACCATAGAACTATCGCCTTGATAGCTAGAACCAACTGGCCCATCTACGGCGGCCTTCCAGGTAGATATGAATCTTGATGAATGACAATCTATCCAGAATCATTGGCTATATCCCCACATAGAAGAGAAAATAACCAAATGTTCCTATATGTTCCCATATGTTGCCATTATTAGATTCTTGATTGTTAGTAAATCACCACGATATTTTCCATTGTTTTAATGGTTACCTTCCGGTAAACTAACATAACTATGGAAAATCACCATTTTATAGCTGGGTAAATCAACTATGTCTATGACCATGGTTTCAATTCGCAAACTGTAAACGTTTACCAGAGGGTATATTCTATAGTCCATTAAGACCTCAATTTTCTATTGTTTTAATGGTTCATACCCAGCATATTTGATGCAACCCAGCTCAAGCCCGTCCGGCCCGTCCGCCTTGACTTTGGAGCAGCGCGTGAAGGCTAAAGTGTTGCTGGCCGCGTTGAACCAATGTCCCATGATGCCGTAGACCATATCAATGCCGTCCTGAAACATGACTAGGAACAGGAACCCTAGGGATAAATCGTGGGATTTCATAGGAAATCCCCTATAAATAATGGGAAATTTATAGGATAATCATGGTACAAAAAGGGATAAACGAACATAAATGTGGAATATCCATGGTGTAGGAAAAATCATCTACAAATGGTGTTTTTTTTCACATCTATTCCACATCCATACTGTTAGTTTGCAGGAGGGTAAGCCAAGGATCTGCAGTGGATATATCACGGTAAAATTGTGGAATATCAGTTGGGATATAGCCTTTGGTTTTTTGATGATTGACCTTAAAAAAAGAACAACGTGATTTTCCAGTTCGCTTAAATAACCAGAGGGTATATGTGTATATGTATGTGTATATATACACATACATACATACATACATATATATATATATAATGTATATATTATGTATTTTATGTACATGCATGTATATACAACCAACAATATAATATGGCAATCAATAAATGTACGTTTTGTCCCTGATTCAAGGAAGTGCCAGGGTAGCAAAGCAGAGAATGTTCTCTTAGTACCAACCACGTATGCTTTAAAAAAGAACGAAGTTATACATATCTTCGTCTTAGTTGGTTCTAACTAGCTTATAGTTATAATTAATATTTAACTAGATATATCAGATAATAAGATAATAAATATTTAACAATCAGATAACTAATATACAACTAATTTATAGGGTTTATGGTTATCACATGATGGGAATTTTCATTATATATATATTATATGTATATACATCATATTATATCCCTACTATGAATGCATTGGTGACCATACATATATATATATAAATCCTCAAAAACATGATGACCATATATAAATCGCTGTGATTGGATTGATGACCATCCCCCTGTATTACCCTCTGGTCAACTTTCACAGAAAACTATGGAAAATCAACCCATTTCATAGCTTGGCTTCAAATCACAAACTGTAAACGTTTACGAGGGTATATTCTATATTCCCATTAAAACCTCCATTCTCTAAGGGGAATTCCATTGTTTTAAGGGTTCATACCCAGCATATCCAACATCTCCAACTTCCCATGGCACCAAATTATAGGGGTATCTCCCAAAGATTGCACCCAAGCTACCCAGTAACGGGTGTAGGACTGCGCAGTGCGGAAGACCATCATGAAACTCATGCAGGTGCCGAAACTTCCATAGGCTGTGCTGTCGAAGAACAAGTTTTCCTGCAGGAATGGGGAAACTTGGCATGGGACAAGCAACGTATTTCTAGATATTCATATAGTATGGGTATATGTGTGAAGTGTGTGAAAAAGAGCAAATCTGATTATGATATTGGACTTGTTTCAAAGGAATGATGAGACACATATTGACACAAGGATCTGGGTACCCAATCTATAAGCCAAGGACATGTGGGTAAAGAAAAGAAGCGTTCGTTGCATGGAAACACTAGGGTCGGGCCTATGGTAGACCATGTAGTTTCTCCAGAATCTGCATAGGGGTGTGTCCAAAAATCGTAGCCATTGCCTTATTTGAGGCTTTGTTGATACAGTGATGGCCTGTTACCAGTTTTAAGTACTTATAACCCCATTTATAGAATGTATAATCCCATTTATAGCAGTTATAACTAATAAATGGCCTTAACTGTAGGGAATTATGATGATGAACCCTCAGATTTGGCGGTACGGCACTGTACACCATTCTTGAACAAAGCCCTGCAACGATTAGCACATGGAAAGTTTAAGCGGCTCCGTATCGATGAAACGTGCACTGACACGTTGGCAACGCATGTAATAAGATTGCGGCAAGATTTCACTGCACCATCTGTGTAATTCAAACCGGATATCATAATAGTCTTCGCTTGCCCACAACCAACAAAGTTTTTCCAGGATTGACATTAAACTTAAAGGCATTTGCATAGAAGTGTTCATGAAATTTGAAGACATAACTTGTTATCCCCCGCTCTGAACTTTACCACCGGCATCGCGACGTCCGGATTACTTGCGGACCACATTGACCACATATCAAGCAACAACAATTAACAACAGGTGTAACAGGAGGTTTTAGCTGGAAGTAATCTTCCACAATTTCATATCAAAATTATTCCTCTACCTCTTGGCAATTGAACAAAGCTATTGTAAATGATCATGTATAGACTTACCTATAAAAATGGTGATTTTCAATCGCTATGTTAGTTTATCAGGGGGCACTCCAACCAAACTTTCTCCAGACCATTGAAAAGCGCACTAAATGCCACTAAATCCTACAAAATCCCATACAAAAATCCTTTATTCTACCACCATTGTCTTCCAAACCAAACCATCTGCCATGTTTTTACTTACTGCTAAACGTAGGGTTGCTGGATGGGTTGCTGGTTGCTGGGATTATTAATAGTTAGCCAGTGGATCATTCCCGAAAATTCCCTACGTGCTTAGCACCAGTAAGTGCTGTGCTGTGGCTCCTCAATCCAGTCGTCATCGTCCACATAGGTCTGCAGCCCTTTCCTCCGAAGGTTTCCAAATCCGGGCGACCAAACAATGGGAAAAACTACGAGTTCCGGGGCCTCCAAACGATGGGAAAATATGGTGACTTCATAGGAAAACCATAGGAAAACTTTAGGCAAAACAATAGAAACATGGTGACTTAACAAAGTTATTTTTGATTGAATGGGATTCATAGCTGATTTATGATGGCTAAACTGGTTTACAACTAGGTGAATTCTATGGTTTTTGTCAGATATATCCAAAGTTCATGGGATTCATCAACCAACTTACAACTCGGCTGGCCATTTCGGGTATCTTTGAGGACTGTGGGACGGGAAGATTTGCCTATAGCAAAGTAATATACCGGGGCGATGCAACACAACATGCACCCTCACCGGGGTTTGTTTAAGCTACCGGCGCTGTTAACGGACCCACAGGTTTTGCTGTTTTTTTGCTGTCGCATTGCACGTCAGTTAGAAGTATTGCACGTCAGTTGGAAGTATTGCCCGTCAGTTAGAAGTATTGCCCGTTAGTTAGAAGTATTGCCCGTCGGTTAGAAGTATTGCGCGTATGTTGGAAGTACTGCCCGTTAGTTAGAAGTATTGCACGTCAGTTAGAAGTATTGCACGTCAGTTAGAAATATTGCACGAAGGATAGTGTGATTTTCTTGGGGAACCGGGTGGGGTAGGAGGGTGGGGGGTGGGGTGGGGGGGGCAAGTGGTACGCTGTAACACGTCTCTTGTCACTTGCCAGACGCTCTGGATGCTACGCTGTAACATGTTCTCAGGACGCAAGAAGAAACCATTACCCATCTGCTTCCTCACACACTTGCGTTGGGCTGGTTGCGTGGAGCGTGGAGAAGGAGGACGCTTGCTTCTGTGCCAACTCGATCACATCTTGTTGCAGCCTGGATCATGTCCTGCCACAGAGTCTCTGCGAGATGTTCGAAAAACCGGATTTCTTAGGCAGTTGAAACGTCCTTGCACTGTATATGGGGATGGTGCAAAAAGTTGGAAATCTGAGTGCAAACGGCATCGCCTTTGCTTCCGCGATGTGACACACTGCAAGATGGAGTTCACTCGAAAAACCAAAGTCAAACAAAAGGTACGCATCAGTGGAACACAGTTGCTGGACCAGGTCTGGCGCCACCTGAAGCGCTTCGTACCCTTCTCGGTCCATAGCAAAGACAAAGTTACCAGGAAGGATTCTCAAAGAATCCAACAATATGTGTGGTCCTTCGCCTATCGTTGGAACCACAAGGAGGACTTGAAAGGAAGCCTCGCCAACTTGTGTGCAAAGATCAACAAACGCAAACGCTGAATCCATGAAGGAAAAAAGTCGAGCTTCAAAAGCTGTGGAAGTTTCGTTTTCCAAAATCCGCATTTGTCAATTGTTTCGCCCAATAAAATTCAATGATCAATGAATAAATTCCTAGCGTAACGTGGGACGAAAACAACATTTCTAATTCTGGGTAGAATAACAAAATCGTCACGGCGCCACAGTTTTAAACAAATCCATACATAATGCTTAAAATAAAAAACATTAAAAACACCGGGTCCGCTATCAGCGCCGGTACCTTGTTTAAACATGGAATAGACCTAAGAATCTTGAAAAAATGCAGGTCTTGTTTCATCGGAACATTTCTAATTAGCATTTTAGGGGTACCCCATGTCTAGGCAAACGTTGTGGATCCCCCATGTCTTTGTGTTGCAGTTGGGCTCATAAATAGGAAAAAACATTGAACAAGAAAACGATGGTTATAGTGGCACTACAAGTGGGAATTTATACAAGTCCTGTAAGCATGCCAATATGGTGATGGGTCACGGTCAAAACGGTTCAAAATGTTCAATCCCACACCATATACGGTCTACACTAAACATGGCTACGTTGTCCCGTCAGTTGTGGTTGTTGGTCCATAAACCCAATCAACTATAGATACATCTAAAAAACAACTCTGGAGTTATAAACAGCCAAAGCATCGAACTCGAAAAGTAATTTTAATCGACTTTAGCTCTACACCTTAAACCTTACTTATTATGTTGTATATATATATATATATATATCCCAGTCCCAGTTGCAAATATTTTATATCTGAATATCTATAGAGTAATATAGGGTCTTACTATTTAAATATATGTATATATAATTACAAATGTGTAAATATATATATATATATTATATTATATTAAAATATATATATATATATGTATATATGTAAATATGTGTATATATATATACACTATTTTTAATATACTTTTACAATATAATATAATTTTGTATGTATATATATATATATATATATATATAGAGACCTTACAGTATACATCAGATCCCCTGTTGTTCTCTCCACCATGTCCCCAGTTCCGAGGCACAAGGCCGCGGCCACTCCACCCGACAGCACCGAGGCCAGCAGAGGAAAGGCCACCTGCATGGCCCATCGTCATTGGTGAAGCTTCATCATGGGAAATGTATGGGAAATACGGTGATTTATGGGAAATATATGGGAAATATATGGGAAATAATTCATGGATGGTTGGTTTGTAAGGGAAAATCCAACTAAAATGGATGATTTGGGGATACCCTCTGGTAAACAGGCATAATAATAATTATTCTAATTTAATAGCCCTTCATAACTCATCATAAATGATCATAATTAATACAGGGTTAATCACTACAATAGGGTATCATTAACATTAATTAGTTACTATGGTATAATTAAATTCGAGACCTCCTACCCTCTGGCAAACACACACAGAAAACTATGGACAATTGCCATTTTTATTATATAGGTAAATAAACTATTTCTATGGGCCATTTTCAAAAGCAAACTCTTAAATTACCAGAGGGTATCTGAGTTCACCCGACTATGAAGTACTTTATTTTAATTTAATCACATCATTGTATCATTACTAAGGGTATTGTGTGATCATAGGGAATTATCCTAACAACCAAAATTAATGATTAACCAATGTTATACCCTATATATAATAAAGAATGTTCGCTATAGAATCAATAGTCCTTAGTAAATCATCAAAACATAATGATATGATTGACCATAATTAATACAGGATGTCATTGCTAGTAGCTTAGTAATAACCCATGGGTATTATGTTAATAGCATCATTGTATAAACACTAAAAAATAACATATGGGTTAATATGATGAATATGATGTATTTGTTTATGTTAATAACCCATTGTGTCGTTACTAGGGGTATTATATAATGAAACATAGGGCATTGGTAACCATAATTAATAACATGTGTAAAATAGTAATATATGTGTTAAATTGTCATAAATGTGATATAATTAGAATTACATATATATATACATTATCATATAATTATATTAAGGTTGTGTCATTAATAGGGGCACTATACGATAATAGGGTCCTAATAAAATCTACTGTAACATATGGATTGATGTGATGTATTCTTATGTTAATAACCAATATTAATGATTAACCTATGTTATAATCTATATACAAACCAATGTTGTATCATAAAATCAATGGGGAATTGCTAATCATAATGGTTATATAACTAGACTAGAATTATATATATATATATATTCTCAATAACATGGAATTACATTAACATAGATATAACCCATGTTGATAATGTATGAACCAACCATATAGAATCATATTGAGGTTTATATAACCGTTGTTAATCATGAATGGCTATCATAGAATGATAGCCCATTATTAATCGTTAATAACCCTCCGGTAATAGAATCATAAAAACTAGAAATTGATCTATCTCTGTATATATATGTGTATTATAACTACCAAATCTTGCTATTGTAATGGAATATGTATGTATATATATATATATATTTATGGGTATATACCCTCCGGTATTCAAACGTGGCGATCAACAATTCGCCGCTTAACTCGATGATGTGTGCCATCATGTCCTCTACTCCTTTATGGATAGCCTTAAACCAACAGAAACAAACAAATAAACAATGACTTAATCTGTTTACTAGAGGGTTGCGACAGGTAGGTTGAGCCATTCTGCAATCATTCTATACCCAATCTTGGGACCCATGTTGACCCACTATTGGCTTACACCAACTTGGCCAACAGAACCCCAAATTCACAATGTGAAACCACAATGATATAAGGGTAACATACATCAAATTAGATAAAATAGATATACATCAGTATCATATCCCAATCACATGGATTTTTCAGCATTCATGGGGATACAAAACCAGGGTGTAACCTGTAAAGACAGGATCAGGACCAACTCAATTGGTGATAAATCCACATTATGTGGATCATGTTTAAGGTCATGTTTAGAATAGAACCATCCGCATTTCCGGGGTGATATGTTTGTTTAATCCCAAACAACTATAACATGTATATATATATATGTACATATATTGCATATTCACTTGCTGAAATTTACTTGTGAAGTTATCATCCGTATAAATAACGTTTTCCACTTTACCACCATGATTCTTTGTCACATGTACCCTCTGGTAAACTAACATAGCTATTGAAAATTGCCATTTATACTTGATTGACATATAAAAAAAGGTGATGTTCCATAGTTATGTTAGTTTATCAGACGGTAACTCCCATTAAATCCCATTAAACCACCATTTTCCTATGGTTTTCCTATGGTTTACCATATATTATGATTATCAATTTGATACATATATCATCTCCCGAAAAAAATGGTCTGAAGTTCCCTATGACCTGGTCCAGAGTTTTATACTCGCCATATCCGTCCAATGGACGCGGACTGATGTGTCCGGGAAATGTTAGAGGAACCCCCCTACAGTTCTGGCCCTTTACCCTCTGGTAATTTGTTACATAGCTATTGAACATTGCCATATAAACTAGTGGATTTACCCAGCTAGAAAATGGTGATTTTCCATAGTTATGGCCCGAAATACCAGTTATAAGTACTAACAAAACCCCATTTATAGAATGTATAATCCCATAGAAATAACCAGTTATAACTAATAAATGGCCTTAAGTGTATATTTCATGGAACAAATTTGTGGTTTTCGTTTGAATGTTCCCCTGAAACCAATCCATTGACGGTCATGTTTTGGTGCTGAAATCAGCATAGCTTCCGGCTTATTGATTCTCAACATTTGTCAAATCACCGACTAAACAAACCCAGGATATTCCATTGTCCGCACCTTGCAACAAATCATATTGTTCCAAAAAATCATCTGTATGTAAATATAAATATATATATATATATAGTCTACTGTATATCTATCTATCAATATATATATAGTCTATATAGTTGTATATATAAAAATATAAATATATAGACTATATATATATATATGTATGGCTATGAAATAAATTAATACCCCACGTATCCATCATAAATCCTCGGGTCCAAGTTGGTAACCAGTCCATTGACCATCATTGGATGTACCTTTCATAATATATATATAGAATATTAAATAATATTATATAAAAAATATTTTATAATATTATATATAAGGCGTAAATGTCAGGGGATATGCCCCAAAAACATGGTTTTATATGATGCACAGTTGTGGCGCATTACCACTTAACAATGGATATAGGTGGGTATACATAGGTCTATCATTCTATAATTGGGGTGATAACTGACTTATAACTAGTAAAGGGCCGCAACTGCAGTACTTCCATGTACCTCCATGTTATCGTTCTGAAATTCCCATGTTCCATTTGATGGTTGTGGAAAAACTGTAATAATCCAATGGTAGTTTTCCCATGATTTCCAAAGGGTTTTTCCATTTTCCGCCTGGATTTTCCTATGATTTTCCCATTAATGGATGTTCCATTTTTCCATTTTCCAATAATTTACCAATGACTACCCAATGATTTGTCCAGTGATTTCTCATGATTCCACATGGATTTTCCAAAAACTATTCATGTCAACCCTGGATTAATAAACCCCTAGGTGGTTTAATTGGGGGGATACCATTTAAGTATCAGATTAATTATGACTATTTGGTGAGTACCCCCCTAATTAATAAACCATGGTTTATGAAAATCCGGGGTTGACATTATCCAATGGTAGTTGTCCCATGATTTCCCAAGGATTTGTCGATTTTCTGGATGGTTCCAACGGTTTTTCCCACGAAAATCACCATGTCCATCGCACCTTGCGACAGATCTTGCTGCGGTTCAGCTTCGCGCCCCGCGCCGTCACCCCCGTGACCGACATCACCGAGCGAGCGATGGCCGTCACGCGTCCCATTTTTCCAACACATCGGGCGCGGCCCAAGGCGGAGACAAGTGGTGTATGGTGGATGAAGAGATTGCTAGTGCTGCTTGGGGTTTATGTGGTTTTATGTTTCTTTTGTGTGTGTTTTTTGTGCTTTTGGTTTTGTGTGTTTTTGGTTTTATGATGTTTTATGTGGTTGTGTTGCACATTTATTATTTGTTATAGTCCAAAATTATAGTTGTTTGTGAGGATTTATACGGCCTTACGAGATTTTCCAGGGTTTTCGAAATATATGATGATAAATGTAGATTTTTGCAGTTGTTGTACAAATTGCATGTGCTGTGTAGGTTTGTCGATGTTTTGTCCTAGTTTAGAATCATTATTTGAAACCGGTTCTGTGTGTTGTCTCCTGTGTGTCGTCCGGGAGTTGCGAAATAACGCATGGCACCATGCAAGAAAAAAACATATGAATTAAAAAAACATATGAATTGCGTGTGTTTAACAATTGGAACATTTCACAGTATTGGCATGACATATCCCATGACATATCCCATTTGTTGTTTTAACACATAACATGCGATTTCTGTATTCCGGCTCCCACCGGCTGAGAAGGATACAGCTGCCATTGCGGCCCCTTGATCACCATGTGATCACCCGTCTGGTTTATCATGCAGGATGAGGCCCCCAGTCGAAATCGCTCGCGTTCAGTTGCCTTAGAACAGTGGCTGAATTCTATGGTTTATGGTAGATATTTCACAAACTAGATAACTACCAAATATGGTTATCTAGTTCGTTATATCTACCATAAACCATAGAATTATCTACTATATATAACTATAGTTATTGGGGTTTATGAAGCAAGTTATAACTGGGGGAGGGCACCATCCTGTGGGATGTGAGATGTCATGGGATTATTAATCTATACATGGTGATATTTCCCGCGGAATAGTCCATGGAATATGTCATGGGATATCACATATAATACTATAATATACTATATAACTCCGGTAAATCTTAACATAGCTACTGAACATGACCCACTTATAGTTGATTTACCGAACTATTTGAGATGGTGATTTTAACCAGTTCGCGTTTACTGTTAGTTCGTTTACCAGGCCGGGTAACTCGCCGTAACAACTTGTCAGCTTGACATGATCATGGGTATCCTTGGGTATCCTATACCAATGTGGCCGCTTGGCTGAGAAGCAGCGCTAAGGGGGCCCACTAGATGTTACTCAATAGACACCCACCAAACTGTAGAAACAAATAATAAGTGTATATATATAAGCAATATTATATAATATTATAATATATATATTATGTAATAAAAAAAAAATCATATCATATCATATCATATCATATATTATATTATTTTATATTGTATTACAATTTATTATATTATATTATATTATATTATACTATATGATATTATATAGATATCATTATATTTTGCTTTACATATATATATGTATTATAATATATATATATATATATCTACATTGACTAATAATAGTAATATAGCAAAAACAATAATACAATAATAGTAACTAAAATAATAATAAATAAACACATATATACATATGCCCTAGATAAATCCAAGTTTCTTTAAGTGAAGGACCAAATTAAACAATTTACCTATCTAGTTGGCTAATGATCTATATTACCTAGAATTAGAATTTATGGGGGTCTTTAGGTTTATCTTGCGGTTATCTTGCGGTTTATGTGGGCTATCGATCATTCTTGGATAACCACAGGGAATAAACCCCAATGTTTACCGTATCACAGGGACACGAGCCGCCGAAACATCATGTCAGGACACTTTTTTTGCTCCCCAGATGTGTGCATCACACGGCTCCCATCAGGATCGACCTTACGATTGGCAGATCCCGTGCGGATTGGTCCCGAAGATCCAGCCACACTTCCTTACAATGTGAGGCCCCCCCAAGATATAAGTTGGTTTATAAGCCCCAGTAACTATAGTTATAAGTACCATAAACCATAGATATGATATTGGAGTTATAAACCAACTGAACGCTATCTTGGGGGCCACACTTCCCTATAGGAGGTACCCCCCAAGTCCTACAGAAAATACCCCCCAACATTTCTTCTCAGAAGCGGGACGGCGCTGAGATGTGAAAACACATATAATAGCAACCAAACAGATGCCTAAAAGATCCTAAAAGTGTAAAACCAAGATGATTGTTTTCGTTTATATTTTTATATTTTTCGGCTTTACAACTTTTCGGCATCGTTTTTTGGGTTGCTATATGGTGATGTTTCATCACAGCAGGTGATTGATTAAATCACCAACCCAAGTCCAAGCCGGGCTATGCATTTCATCCAAAATTACTGGAAACTCCTTTAGGATCAGAACATCTTATTGGATTACTGGCCTATATGTAGAATATATTGTGTATATATATATATATATTGAACTCTCATGATTTGAAACAATCATGGGAGCGAAATTTCCCATGTTGGAAAAACATGTTCCCATGGTTCAGCGGTTCCACTTATGGCTATGGCATGTTTAGTGCAAGGTTTCCCACTTCCAAGCCATCAAGCCTCAGTTGGGCTGTGCGCCTATGTATTTGGCGCAAGTGATATCAAACAACAATGTTCAATCCGTACTCCCTGAAAACGGAGATTTCTGGGTAAATTATGATATTTCACTAACCTGAATTGTTCGGCCATTTGGGGATGATTCCCCTTACTAACCATGATTCCAGTGAGGTCGCAGTGAGGTCGTTATAATTTACCCAGACATTTCGAAGAAGTGGCTTCAATTGATGTGCTGAAAATCCAACAACTCCTCCACTCCAGCACCTTTTTGATTGGTTGAAAAGGGTTGATAATCCCTGTTCTTGGATTCCTGAACACAACCATCATCATTGGCTCAGCCTTTTTTTGGTGTATGTACACTGCTTCAATAGGATACGTTGGTTAAAATGTTCCTCTTTTCGCTAACTCCTCGCAGGAACAAGCTAACAATCATATTTTTGTGGAACAAATCCATGTTTTTCCTCCTCGAGTCTTCACTTTCTCTCAGTCAAACCAGTGTCAAACCAAGAATTCTTCAACAAAATTCATTGAAGATCCTTGAAAAATCATCACTTTTCACAGTTTTTCCATGTTCTTCATTGATTTTCCATGTTTTTTCCCTGTTTTTTTCACCCCAGTTTTGTGCTGCCCACATCTTCCCACGGCTCGTCCCATTGTGTTACGGCCAAGGGACGCCTTGGCGCGCCTCTTCGGCGCCCGCCCCACGGGGCCGAAGGCCTCATCGTCATCCTGTCAGCTGTATCCCAGTTGAAATTGAAATATTTTAGGAATTGACAGTTACCAAAGTAATGGTATCTTGAGGAATACGATGGTAAATTCCTAAATGGTATATTGCCATGGTAACATTACTATGGTAAATGGGTTCAATATCCTTAAGTGTCTAATAATTATCCCTCAATGATTAGTAAATAGTAGTTTCATGAATAATTTAACCATATACAAATATACTATATTCAAAAATGCTATAAAAATACTATATAAATATAGTATACCATGTTTATGACTTTCCATACTATTACCATAATGATTTGATAGGTACCATTGAAATGAGTAATAATGATCCCTAAACGGTATACTATGATAAATATATCCCTAATTATTACCAGTTGATATTAATTGACAATGGTAACTATAGTTTTTTTTAATATATATATATATTATATAGTGGGATCTTTACCATGATTATGATATATCTTCGATAGCATAGTTGGTATAACTATGGGATCTACACACCATGTCTCCTTGTAGAGTGTGACGAACTGGTGTATAAAACCATAGTGGCAAACACTTCACTTTTATGTATAGTAAGACGTTGAAATAACACTATAGTTATATAAGTTATATATAGTTATTATGAACTATAGAAGTATACCAGTTACTATGGAAATTATTTATAGTGTATTTCTATAGTTGAAAAAACAACTATAGTTATTCAGGTAAAGGTTGTAGTTGTAGTTTACTGGTTTCGTTGATAGATACTGCTGGTTGCTAAACAACCTACTATATATAACCTCACTATATACAGTAGTTATGGAGGTCTTTATCAAAGTTACTAAGTTGACTATAGGTTGCTAGGTTCATATCAGAACCTCACAATTATTGCTATGGGTTGATATACTAGTTTTGAGTTTTGAGGTTATATATCAAACCGCTGGTTGACTGAGGTTTCGATGTTCCATAAAACTATACTACTTGGTTGACAGGTCTCCCTACTATAATGGTTATCGTAATTCCAAGAGTATACGCTTATATAAGGCCATTTATTAGTTATAACTGGTTATTTTTATGGGATTATACATTCTATAAATGGGGTGACTTGTTAGTACTTATAACTGGTATAACTCGGGCCATAACTTCATAATTTTCTTTTGGGGGCCCGGCAAAAAAGCCCCAGCAAATTAAAATACACTTTTGTGCTTATTGGGGTGGCCCTCGTTGGTATGGTTTAGGTTTAACAAGGGTTAATAAAGCTTAATAAGCCCTTGCAGACACCTAATAATGATTATTAACATATGCGGGTGTTGTTGCAAATTTACATCCCTTATTTAGTGCTAATATTAGCCTTTATAAGCTCTACATAAGAAATCATGTTTTTTTGAAAACCCAAAATCTCTTATTAAGGCATTTTGGGGGAAATGCACTGAAACCAAGCCTTTTGGTAGTCCAACCCGCTCCTCAACCCAAAATCTCTTATTAAGTGATTTTGGGGAAAGGGCCTTAAAACCAAGCCTTTTGGTGGTCCAGCTTGTCACTAAACCCAAAATCGCTTATTAAGAGATTTTGGGGGAAGGGGTGGTGACAAACCATTTTTCCAAGGATTTCGGCAATGGCTGAATCACTAGACCCAAAATCTCTTATTAAGGGATTTGGGGAAAGGGCCTTAAAACCAAGCCTTTTGGTGGTCCAGCTTGTCACCAAACCCAAAATCCCTTCTTGAGAGATTTTGGGGAAACTACCCCCCAACCCAATATCCCTTATTAAGGAATTTTGGGGAACCCCCCCCTCCAACCGAAATTAAGGGATTTTTGGAAAACCTCCCCTCCAACCCAAAATCTCTTAAGGTCTACAGTAAGCTACTATACTGTAATACATATATACATTGTTTTAAAACAAAACTCAGCAACCCTTCTAAAAACGAACTTCCAAGTCGTACCAGCCAGTGTACGGATCAGCGGGGTGCCAAACGCAGTCGCCCCAAACGATGAACCTCGAAAACTGAATGCATGGATATAAGGATATGGAGGGCAACAAACACAAATGTGCAATGAGATGAAAGAGGATTATGCTCCAAATTTAAAGCACGATCTCTCAAGCCCTCAAACGCCAGTCTGTGGTTCTGGGGCGACAGAGCGAACGCCTTCGCCATGCTATTGAGCACTTCCTCCACCCCATTGTCTGGATTTCTCCCGATCCATGCTTCGATCAGCTCACCCAAGGCGGCCTCCTTGCTACGAAGCTGAAGGATGTTCGGGCAGACCTCTGTCATGAAGAGCTTGATGCGGAAGTTCCCGAAGAGATTTTTGCCCTGGGAATGGAACTGGTCATGCATGCTCGAGATCTCGACGTTGCTGTTGAAGAGCTTTCTTGGCAAACGATGAGCAATAAGAGTGGAGAATGCTGGGATGGACACAACAAACTTCTAACAAACCTGTAAAATTGATCTGCACAGCTGCAAAGCATAAAGTACAATTACATCCAAACAAGAATCATGCTGGTCACCTCCCTCTCCATTCTCGCAACATCCACAAGGCGAAGCTGCTCAAACACAGGCGTCCAGTAAGCCATGACGGATCCGATGGCTGACTTTGTCCGAAGAAAGCTGTGCCCACTGGGATCTGGACTGCGAGGAGGAGGCGGCGGGTGAGGAGGCGGAGGAGGAGGCAGAGGAGGCGGAGGAGGCGGAGGAGGAGGAGAACAGCTCTGATAAAATCTAACAACCCTCACCTGGCAGGTGGGGAAAAAACATCAACATCCTTCGAAACAAACACGATGTCCTTTACCAACACATTTGAAGATGTGTCTGAAAATGGAGTACCCTACTATATGTTTTTTGGTTTAATAGGCAATTATATCATAATTCACCGGGGATGTGTCTTCATTTGTCCCTAAACCCTGGGGCAAAAGGTTCTTTTGGCTTTTCCACCCGTGGATTTGCTTAATCGACTCAGCAAAACTTAAGTGATAGTAACCCGTCAGTAAGTCCCTATTCAGTGGGGTTCTCCCATAACTGTAGGAAATCAATGGAAACCATATGGTTGTTTATATAACAACCAGTTATAACAAATAGGATATAGATTCGCTTATTCAATGTGGTTTCTAACTGGTTAGTGACAGCGGGGTTATACTTAAATATGGTCATTAGCCAATTTCGAAGTTGAAGTTACTTCCCCCGTTTCGCGCCTCTTGCCCCTGCGCCGCCTGATTGCTCGAGGTGGGCCAAAGTTTTCATGGGAAATTCATGCCTTAAGCTACAGTACAGTTGCCCTAGCTACAACCAACTCACCCATGGATATTGGCATGCCGTACTGCTTCAAAAACATTTTGTTGTAGTCTGAAATCGATTTGACATTCAAGAGTTGAAAATAATGATGTCCACCAGAAGAGGAACAACCAGAACACATGATCCCCTACTGCTGCAAAAATAAACATGTAGAAAGTGTTTAGCACATCTTTTTTACCTACCATCTGGTTTTCAAACGTGGTTTCCTGGAAAATCAATCATTTATCTGGGCACAATTATAATATTTCACTAACCTGAACTAAGGCCACCAACTGATGATTTCCCTTATTAACCATGATTCCAATGAGGGAGGACAGTGATGTCGTTATAAATGTGGCCGGATGTTGGCGACGTCTTCATAGGAAAACCAGGAAAGCATGGAACATGACATATATTATTATAGTTTATGGCCATTTATAGTGGATTTACATGGATTTACCCATTAAAAATGGTGATTTTCCATAGTTGCGTTAGTTTACCAGAGGGTGATGGTTGTGGTTATTGAATATGGTCTAATATGGATGTATACCGCAGGAACACAGAGACATTGAGCTGCTAATGCGCTGAAAAAAAAACGGCCAGATCGTGGCCTGGAAAATGATCACCAGAAATCTCTTGCCGCGTAAGTCCGGTTTCTGCAGTCTCCACGATTGCAGAAAGTACAATTTGAGCTTCAGTTAAAGAATGTTAAGTAAAGTATCTATAGCAATATCTAGTTAATCCTAATGAAACAACACAAATATCAGTTAAATATACCATTTGAAAGTCATGTTAGGTATCTATAGCAATATCAAGTCTTCAAAGTTGGGTCTGGAGTGGTGATACATCTCCACGCGGCACCCTTTTTGTCCTCGCAAAATCACCATCAGGTGCCGGACAAGCCGTGACCTATCCTAGAATTGATGATAACATTTACATGCTTCACCAGGTTTGGCTCTAGATTTAGTGGTTAGCCATGGCTCACTGGCTCACCTGTCATGTTGTTCAAAAGATCCATCATTTATTGATAGCCCATGAAGAACAAAATATCTATAGAATTATTTGATTATTAATGTGATATAATGCGATACTTCATTTTCTCTACACTGTAGATTGCAATAAACAACCATTTGGGGATGGTTCATGACCTCGGGTTTTACACATGTTACTATATATATAACTGTATTGTATCTATAAAAATGGACAATGAATCCAATATTGCCAATACCATACACTGTACTATAGTTTTTTTGTTGTTTAAACCACAATTCTACTACTAATAAACACTGACTATGCTTATATAAACTTAGTTTTTACGATATGGATCTATCGTGAAGATTGTGTTTGAAAACAGTCTAAAACTATAACGCATTTACCATCCCCTAAACTGACAATTCAAAGATGTGGGGAAAAACACCATGCAAATTATGTTTTCTTTACCCCAGCGTAGTTGGTGACTCATCCCAGTTAGTGAGTCCTAACCCCAGCAAAAAGTGGACTAACCTTCATCTAGATACTTATAGCTGTGGGTACAACCAACTTACGAAGTAGGACAAGCCACCAAGTTTGATTATAGAATGCTTGAACATTTTGTAATCATAACATAACCATAGAACATGATTCATTTGTAGATAGATGTAGATGATTTACGTCTTCAATATCGCCTTTTACCAGCAAAGTGCTAGAATTTTCTCAAGCCAAATCTATGTTCCAACATCTTCTCAACTCAAAATGTCAACATTTCTTATCGCAAAAATTATGACCATATAATTCCTGGTGTTTCTTCATATACAGTTACCATCTTAAGCCATATCTGGCGCCATGGTCAACCAGCCTCCACAGCCCCCGTGCCAGGACCTGCATCTGGCGCTTGTGCCGTAGCCAGGCGCGTTCGCGCACCAGGCGCGTGTCCGCCTGGAGATCTCGTGCCGTGAATGGTGATTTGAAAGGGGATGGGAATTGTCAGAGAAACTGGAGATATCAAATTATATCTGGAATATCAAACATACATAATGGAATATTCATAATTATGTAAGTATCATATAATGGAATATCAAACATAATTATAATCCCATGAATATCATGGATATCAACCATAATTAATTACAAATCATGGATATCAAACATAATTATAGTGACATTATATATTGGGGGATATCATGGATTTGTTTTTTCTTTTTGAGGAGTTGAATGTCATGCAATATGTGTTAATACTCCCCGGCGATCATCAGTGCATGGTTGGGATCAAAATGGCCATGTTTGATTACCAGAGGTTGATTGGCATGTGCTATAGATAGTGAATGATACTCATAGGATTATCGATTTTTTAACACCGTGGCCAAGCTTGGATACCCCACTGTTTACCCAGAAATCATCCCATGATCATCAGATTTAGGGCACACAGTGGTGTCCACCGACTGGGGAGGATACACCAAAATCCAGTCGTACCCTCGTTTTCCCCGTTGACAGTAGCACAACACATTCTTCATGGGTGCATATCCGAAAAAATGTTTGAAGAAATCCAGACGCTTCTGCGCGCTGTTCTAATTGTAATTGTCGTATGGTTGTCGCAAATCTGAAGAGCTTTGCTCACACAAAGTTCTGACGGGATAATACCCAGACCAAAAGAGTACAGCCAAAGATTGATACAACTATATATATATATAATTATATACTGTAAGTACCAGCAAGGTACATCTCACAAGAGGTTTCCGGGGTGGCTACTTGGCTGAACGAATGTTGTATGATTGATTGAATGCGTGCTGGATCTTGGTTGCAAAACCACATTTTTTTTTGCATGGTCAAGTCTTTCCGTTGGATGTTTCAAGTCTTCATTTTTTGGGTGGTTATGACATGTCGTAAAGTCTCCTTTTTAAAACATTGGATAAATAAACACAACATATCATATATAATATATAGCTATGGCCCTTTACCAGTTAATTTCTATGAGTATGAGTTGTTATGTATACGTAGGTTTTCCATTCCATATTTAATAAATGGAGTTCAAACTAACTTATAATTGGTATTTTCGGGCCATACCATCTCCATGATTTTTGCTGCTTAAGACTCCTAGGATCTCCTAGGCAGCTGGGAGTGTCAAGCCCTTCCGACCTTGATTTCTTCATCCTCCTGAAAAAAGGCCGTTTGGGGCTTGATATCCCTTGACGACATCGGAAAATCACTGGCATATGGGAAAAAATCATCTATAAATAGGGCACATATCTATATAAAATAGGGGAAAATCATGACATACAACATCATCTATGGGAAAATCACTGGCATATCTATAAATCATATTATATATATATTTTTTAATAACATAGGGGACATTGGAATGAATTGGACATATCTAAATATAACATTATATATATATATATATGTCACCAACAAAAGCGTATAATCATTTATATATCATGGGAATCATGGGATACAGCAAGAATTCTGAATCTGTACTTCCACTGCAGCTGAATTTTGACTCTAATGCCCAAATCAAGAAACTTAAAAAAAAAAAAGAGGCACCCTCACCTTCTTTGTCTCCAAAATGTTTGAAGAAAAAAATGGAGTGACCCTGTACTGTGCCCTTTCGGATTCTTACTCGGGGCTGTATTTCATGGGAAAATCATCGAAAAACATCGAGAAAAACATTGATCAACCATTAGATAGCGGCAGATGCTGTCTGAGTATCCGACTAAAAACGACAGGAGTTTCGCTAGCAACAAAAAACAAGGACAAAGACATCGACTTCGCCAGCAAAGATTGGAATTGAAACACTGAAAGACAGGAACTGCGAAACAGCGAGATACATCTTCAATAATCCAAGGAAATAAATGAAAACCCCAAATAAACTTTGCGCAAACACCTCATGCACACACGTGCAAGATCTTCAAAATCATAGCTGCATTGTACTATTTTTTACCGCTATCTACTCAGCTGGGTTAGAGTCACCTGACTCCCTGGTCACCAGCTGATGAATTTTCGGGCTCCGATCCATCTGATATCTACACCAAAATACAGACAAAACGATCATTAATACGGTTGTTGCCAGAAAAGATAGCACAGCAAATCATCAACATAGTGGGAAAATGGGGGAAAATCACTTGTCTCTCATTCGGGGGAACTATGTGTGTGCCCCAAAAGGTGCATATTTCCAAAACAAACGCATTCAATCAAAGGAAACTCATGACAAAACCTGGTATTTTGGGGGAGTTCCCGTTTCTATCCCTTTCTTGTGCAAACCTAGGTTGGATTTTGAACCCATTTAACCAACTTTTTTTTACATTTTACATGTTTTGATCCAACAAAACGATCGTCAGAAATCACATTTGCAGCCGACAGCTTTCCCGCTGATCCACCCTGTCCTCGCTAGTGGGTTCCTGAAGGGTGCGCGGTTCAAGGTGCTGCTGGGGACGGTGACCATGCGAAAAATTACATGGGACGGTGATTTTAAGACAGGTTTTAAAAAACATATCTAACAGTTGATAGTACGATATATGGCTGTTAACTATCAACTATCAACTCTTCAAAACAGTTTACACGGTTATGGTGAAGAGTTGATAGTTGATATATGATGATATATGATCTTAAGAATCCCAACATAAATTTATGGTTTATCTTGATAGTTGATTTACATGGTTATGATGGTGAATCTATCCCAACTATCAAGATCCCATTAATGGGTGCCCTAGTTAAAGGATCATCCCACCTAGTAAATGATTAGTAGCCATAAGTTGAAATATCCTTCATGGCATGGAGGTTTCATGACATGGTGCCCCGAGTCATCATCCAAGTCATCCAAATTATCAGAGCATTTTAGTATAGTGAAACCTATGGTGACTTGGGGATCCCCTATTTTTTTAGAACTCCCCCATATGTTACCCTCTGGTAAACTAACATAACTATGGAAAATCACCATGCTATTAATGGGAAAATCCACTATACATATACATGGCCATTTTCAATAGCTACGTTAAATTACCAGAGGGTAAGATCAGTTCAAATCCATGTATACTGTACAATTTCTAGCCCATAGGATCCATGGTGCTGGTATATATGCTAACATAAAGGGGGTATATTGATGGGATCCATGGCACACCAAACAAATAGCAGCACCATGGATCCTATGGGTAGATGGAAAGGTTCTCTGAATCGGGGACTTTACGAACTCACCAGATTTCTGCCCACTTTCACCGGTGACTTTCTGGGATAACCGTTAGACGTTGCGACTTGGAGAAGAAGACACCATAGTCTTGAAATATGTCTTTATACTGTAGTCATGGATCCATGGCCACTGTCTGAGAAGGTACAAATAACCCTTCATATGATAGTAAATTATTCCCCAGTCCCACTTCCTGTACTTGGTACTTGGATTCACAGGGTTTATATATGGGATAAGCATGGATAAGCCCCGGCCTCTGCATCTTCTTCCTGGGGATGAGAATAGCGGAATAGCCAGCTCGGGTGTCGGGTGTGAGATCCCCTATAATGTGGGCAAAACAATGCCATGTTTACCACCTATGACTGGGAATGGTAAACATGGCACCTATGAATAAATGGTGATGACTGGGGGATGGTGCAAATGACAGTGTTTTACCCACATTAATCATAATTAATCATAAATGGCAGTTTTCTTGGAAACTCACCGAACATCGAACTAAACATGGGCCCTTTTTTTAACCAGAAAGCCATGAAATCATCCCCAAAGTATCAATCCTCACGAAATCAATGGCTGATTTTCCTAGCTTCCATCTAGTTCCTGGCTTTAGTGCCTTGATCGCCTTGATTAGCTGGAAATTACCGGAGGGATTTTCCATAGATGGATCTCTGAAATCCATGAAGAGTGATCATGTTGATTCTTATGGGGCCTCTGGTCAATGGTTAGAGTTAAAATCTCAAAACATCCCAAAAGTTAATAGTTCCATCGAAGAATCTCATCATCCCATTTATAGATGATTTTCCACTGATTTAAACCACTAAATAAGAACCGTGTTTCAAGGGTAAGCATCCATTGCTCTCAAATGAACTGTTTCATCGTTGGTTGGCTATATACCACATTATCCCATTGCAATCCATTGCATACCTATCCATATTGTTGATGGTTAAATCCCACTAAATGTTAGTTCAAAACTTGCAAGAAAATCATGGAAACTAGTAGCATGCCCACCAAATTTCCTCAAATTCCATTAAAATCATTACAATCCCATGAAACCCTATGAAATCTCATGATCTACTTCACGTTGTCATCTGGTTGGTGGTTTCAACCCCTCTGAAAAATATTAGTCAGTTGGGCTTACTATTCCCATTACTAGTATATGGAAAAATAGCGCGGACGATTGGAGCACTCGCGCACGGCGGCAGCAGTGCGGCGAGGCCAGTCTTGAGGTGAAACAGCGGGCTGTTTTGTACACACATCAAAGATGGGCGAAAGCTCTGGTTGGCCCTCACCCACCTTCCGAGCATAGTCCACAGGCCGCTGCTGGGCATTAACATGGGCACCAGACAAGCGCAGCTGGTGACAATTATTTTGCTGGCAGACTGATGCTGCCAGAGGAATACCACTTAGGGGACTCAACAGCTGACAAGAATCGTTTGACAAATCAAATTTCAAATTAGCAGGCCAGGGCGAGAAAAACACAAAAGCAGTGCGACCCAAGCCTGAGCCTCAAGTCGTGCAGGTCAGGTCGAAACAATGGATCTAGAAATAGGGTGTGTTACGACTTTTCCTCCATGTCTTCTTCCGCTGCGTTCATGTGGCTGTGGTGCCAACCAGCTGCCAAACTGCTAGCAATAACTCCTATGCTGAAAGTGCTGAAGTCTAGCTGGCAGCACGTAATTTCCCTTACAACTTGCATGTTCAATGCCACTCAAGCTGAATTGCTACGACTGAATCCGGACCGGTCAGGCAATCACTGAAGCACGCGCACCACCATGACCAAAGTTTCTAATGGAACATAGAAAGGGTAGCGATGCAAGATTGCACCTTCCAGATTTCTCGTCACAAAAAGCAGGGTCATTGGACCGGCCAGATGCTACAAAGGTTGTGATGCACAGGACCCATAGCGCAAAGCTGGAAGTCAGCAATGTGACACCATTGCAGCGAGAGTTATGATCAGAACCAACATGCCAGTAGCCACTGAATCCAGAGGCATGCCACCCAGCCAGACTTGAAAGCATCAAGGTAGCCAAGGTCAAGTGGTCGCTGATTGCCCTTGGGAACAAAGCAGTGCCCACCGCAATGGGAAACAACACATGGCTCTGGTCAAGGTTCTGCTGTCTCAGCCGCACCTCTGGAAGGACTTGACCCATCACGGCTCACCAAGGTGTCCACGCAACCAAGGAGCCGCGCCCCTTGAAGTGAATTTCCTTCCTCCCCATCTTATTTCCTGGTCTCCAGATGCCCACCTCGTTCCGCTGAAGTTTGTAGAAAGGATCGCGACACCAGCCAGCGTTTCGTTGTTTTGTCCGGAACCATTGTTCCTGGACATTTCAACAATTCCTGGAATGATTGCAATCACCAACATGAAGAGATCCTTGAAGCGGACGGCGAGCGAAGTGGCTGTGCGAACGAACTCCGCGTAAACTTTTGCAGAGTCCTGGAAATCTGTCTTCGCAATTTCAGTCTGGAGATCTGCGCATGCCTGTTGGTCCTTGGTCTCCAAAGAAGCAACCCAGTTGTCAAGCAGAGCTTCCATCGTCTTGAATTGAAAGAAGAAAGAAAGAGCGAAGCGTGCACAGGAAAAATAAAAAATGTTCCAAACCACCAACCAGTCATGTTGTCATGGTGAAATCATCACAAAACGCTCCCCTCGCCACGCCTCGGCTCTCGCCTCCATCGCCACGGCCGGCGCTAACGCCGTTACCGCCGGTGCTGCGGAGGCGCCGTCCTCGACGCCACAGGCCTTGTTTCACGGGGGGAGGCAGGGAAGAAAGGGACCAAAAACTTGGGGAAAACCATGGGAAAATGACTGGAAAAGGCTTGAAATGTCATGAAAGTGGGAAAAGAATCGGAAAATGGCTGGAAGAAATATGAGAACACGTAGAGAATTTGGATGAACTGGGAAAACACACATGGGAAAATGGTACGATATTTGATGAAACACATAAATCATTAGGGAAGAAAAAACATGTATGAAATTTGATGTAACATGGGAAGAAACGTTGGAAGAAACGTTGGAAGAAATTGGAAAAAAAACATGCCTAGGATATCTAAAAATGATGAAACAAGTGAAAACAAACATTGGAAAATCATATCGCGCAAACATGTGTGCAAATAATGAAAACAAGGAAACACGTTGGGAGAAAACAAGTCTTGGAGAGTGTATGAACACGTGCTTTGTGAGAGAAATGGAGCCATGAAAATTGGAAAGTCTTGCTCTGCATAGCTTGTTTTTATACTTGTTGGTGGTTTCAACCCTTCTGAACAATACTAGTCAGTTGGGATTATTCTTCCCAAAATATGGAAAAATAAAATTCCTGTCCCAAACCACCAACCAGTATACCATCATATACCATCTATCTATCATCACCTCTCAAAAAGTCCTGGTTCATAGTTCTCAAGGAATGTGGATCCATATGGGTACAACGTGGGCAAACGTGGACCCCGCATGCCCCCGGTTGTGTTTCTTGGTTTAGTTTCAACCAACTTTGCATGAACTTCTACCAAACATACAGCAGTAGTTGGAGTTCCATAAACCAACAACAGAAACCCATAGATGTGTTCTTATCTTGTAGGCTGTGTCCCATGTGTTCAATATGTCTTGTTGACTTGTTGCTTTCCCGATTTTAATGGTGTTTTTGTTCCCCTTTTTGGGTCGCGAAAAACCACCCAGTCCACCAACGTCCACGCCTCCTGCAAAGCACTCGCATCGATGTCGAATGGCAAGGTGGGGCTGATCTCCAATCTATCGCCTGTGAAAACCGCTGTCGCTATGGTCCGATTGTTCGGGGAACGAAAAAGGGTTTGCAGGTTTCTGAGCAAACAAAAACCATGAGGAAACAGCGAAAATATGGTTCAATGGTTCACTTCTTTGGATAGTAAAAATAAATGTTAAAACATTTAAAGACACGACAAGGACGACAACACAATGTGGAAGAACACTGTTTTGACAACATGTGCAAAATGAAGACAACACAGGAATGAGGACGACTTAGCAAAAGCCAAATCTGATATTGCGTCACAATGTTTGGTTTTAACGTTATCGCAAGTCTGATCTAAATCCATATATTGGCCATGGGTCAAAACTATGCCATGCATCAAACTAGGTGAAGGCATGAAGAATATTTTGACATGAGAATCCTCAAATGGCCAAAACCGTGCTGAACCACTAACTCTCGCACCAAAAAAGTGCATTTTCATGGGATGTTCATCTATCCCGTTTCGACGGTCCCATTGACCCATTTTTCTACAGATTTTCACCTAGGAATAGCCTAGGTTCTTTCAACCCCAAACTCGCAAAACTCCATCATAGTTCTAATTATTGCCAGAATTATCTTATGTGTTCCCGTTCCCAAATGTTCCTTTTGTCCAAACCAGACAGTCTTGAGTCTTGACCCTGTAATCTGGATGATTATACCCCAGATGTATTCCAGGGAAGGGCCCCAAGCGAGAGGTTTAAGTTGGTGATTTTTCTAAGCAAACGATTGGATTTGTGAATATGTCTGGTGCATATATATGTGAACTATAGTATCTATAGTTAGAAAAAATGGGGCAGAGCTTCCTGTGCTTCTCTCCCTGTTTTTCAAAGCTGTTGCTTCTCCGCCAACTGTTTGTTGCTGTTGCAACATGTTGCAACGTTGGTGATGTCCAAAATTCACAGATTTTGTACATGATCTCGCAATTGTATCCCCAATTCTGTTCCCCAATGGTCATTGTCTAATTGGTGGTATACCTACAGGGTGGGGACCCAGTTCGTTAGCTAAGTTGGTGAACATAACTATAACAACAATAGTGTATGATACTTATGGTTATATTTAGATGGGCTTATAAACCAACTTATAACTAGGGGGCCCCATCCTGTACCCCCTGAAAAATATTAGCCAGATTGGATCATCATCCCAACTATTGGGGAAAATAAAACATGTTCCAAATCACCAACCAGTCAGTATAATGGACAAATACCTGGTTGGTGGTTTAACCATCTTGAAAAATATGAGTTCGTCAATGGTTGGTGGATTATCCCATATATTATGGAAAATAAAATTCATGTTCCAAACCACCAACCAGATACCCATAGGTTTGATAGTGTCGCCTCGCGGATGTTGGCCTGGCCGCTCTGGGACTCTACGACTGCGTCTGTCGAGAAATGGAAATTCTATCCGACCGCACTTCAAAAGATGCACCATCCCCTTTAGGAAACCCTTGGCTCATGGCGCTCTTTGTGTTTGGCGAGGCCAGAAGATCCAAGCCACACAAAGTGGGCACTGGCTGAGTCCCGTGTTCGGACTAATGACAGTCCAATGGACCAATGGCTATCGTTCGGCAATGCCATCGGGGAGGGTCTTTCCAGGTGCCCATATTTTGTTGGTGGATCCAAGTACCTTCTTAGGAAGTGTTTGGGGTATGATTTGGAGGGTTAAGTACCTTCTCCCATCAAATCCCAATTCCAGTTTTTTTGCACAAACTGTCACAATCAGAATCTTCCCATCAAACTGGGACTGTCCAATATGTATAATTATATGTAATATATATATATACATATATACATGTACATGTATTGTAATGGTAGCAATTTGCAATCTTGATAATATAACATCACAAAATTTCAACAGGTTGTATCCCACTATACGCGTATACCATCATTTTTTCTTGATGAAATCCCCACGTGTGTAATCATTTTCAAGTCACTTCCCGACCAATAGTTCCATTGTAAGCGCTATAGTTGTTATCATCGGCGCAATTTCCCACTTTTTCCATTACCGTTAAATTAAAAACCTTATTATAATATTCCTACTACATCCTATTACAATGAGATGTAATGATACAGTGTATATATATACCCTCTGGTAATCAAACGTGACAATGGAAAATCCGCATTGATTTTCTCATTCAAAATCCCACTTATGGGGGAACTTTCAAGTGCCGGGGAGTAATCCACATTAGAACATCCAATTGATCCAGTTGAGTCATCAGACATACCCCCATTCCATCTCGTGAAATACAAGGTGGTGGTGGTGCCCCATAGTTAGCTAAGTTGGTTTATAACTCCAATAGCTATGGTTTATGGTATATAATCTATACTTACTATGGTTTATAAACCAACAAACGTAACTGGGGGGTGGTGGCACCACCTTGTATGGGCTATCATAATCCCCAATAAATTTGCTAGTAGTCCCTAGTTAACCAATGAACAAGGGTAGTTTGAATGGCTCATTTTGACCCTGCTACCTTTTAAAAATCCATGGAAAATCCGAAAATCCCATTAAAATTCCATTCAAGTCCCAGAACAATTCTAATAAATCACAATTAAATCCCATTAAAGTACCACACTATATATATATACATATATTAGTATAATATATATATATAATATCCCCTTTATATTCCCCGTCGCCGTAATAGGACAAACAAAGCTGCAGCATTCGGCGCCTGGCACTTCGGGTTCCTCCGCCACGAAATGCAGCGTGGGGCTGATCTCGACCCCGCCCGGGCCGGCGGCCGCCGTGTCGGCGCCTGATTGAAACAACAACTGAACCAGCCTCCAGTAACTATAACTAGAACTATAATAACCATAGTTATAACTTCAGTAACCATAGTTATAATATTATTACTACTATAACTATAACTACAATAACCATGGTTTATGATGGTTATAACTATAGTATTTATGGGGTTTATAAACCAACTTGTGACTTGGGGCACTACACAAAATTGTGATTGTACCAATGACAATATATAAGAAATTAAAGTAAACATTAAACATGATGGACATGTGGGATGTTTCTATTCAACATTGTGAAAAACATAACAAAGAAAGATATAAATCAAACCTATATACACGAAATGGTAATTGAAGCGACCCAAAAACATGGTTTTAGCCCAAATAGGGATTTGATAGTGGTTCAGTGGGATTTTAAAACGATTTCTTGGGATGCCAGTGGGGTCATGTGGGGTCATGGGGGTTTAATGAGATTTTCACGGGATAAATGGAGGTTTAAATGGGATATGAATGGGATATACCCATCAAAGGTGGCTGGGTAACATGTCCTTTGGGATCCTGCGAAAAGAAAACATGCTGGCTCAATACCCAAAAAAACTATTTTCGAGGTACATCTCCATGTTTGTCCCTCAAATCACCGTTATATCATCTCATATCCCGACCATATCTTAATATTCCATCTATATTCCACCATGTAATATCCAATCATCCCAACAAATCATTGTATAATCATTGTTACAATGTGGGGCCCCCAAGATATAAGTTGGTTTTTAAGCCCCAGTAACTATGGTTATAAGTACCATAAACCATAGTTATTGGAGTTATAAACCAACTTAGTTATCTTGGGGGCCTCACATTGTAATCATATCCCAATTAATCATACTGCTGGTTCTGTTAGTGCTAATTACTATATCACCATTTTTTTCTAGCCATGGGCCCAGTTGGTTCTGTCCCCTCATCCCCTTGCCATCTATCACCGTGCTAGTCAGTACGAGTATCATCCTGTGGTAACCATAATTTCTGGTTGGTGGTTGACCTACCCCTCTGAACAATATTAGTCAGTTGGGGTTATTGTTCCCAATATATGGAAAAATAATCCAATTGTTCCAAACCACCAACCAGATTATATGTTATCCAATTGCTATCTGGTTGGTGGGTTTTAGCCATCTCGAAAAATATTAGTCAATGGGAAGGATTATCCCATATATTATGGAAAATAAAAAATGTTTGAAACCACCAACTAGCTATAGTAATGAATCAATCTACAGATATTAATGATTATTACCCAATTCAGACTAATTCATATCCAAAAATCATATATCACCGTTAACAAGATGATCCCAAAATCATCTTAATAATCCCCATATTTTGATTACATGATATTTGGTTGTTGACTGTCAATCCAATTGATCCAAAATTAATGATTATCTCACATGGTATCCAACATTTGTTAATTCATATTGCTGGTTATCCATCCTATTACAGCACATACATCCGTTTCATTTCCCCATCATATCCCCAAACAACCACATGTTTGGAGATCAATCTCCATTTTGAGAAATACATAGTTTCACTGTGTTTCAGGATTCATCAAACATTTCCCCCTGCCATTTTGCTTGGTTCCCACGAGACCACAATAGGACCTCAGAAATAAGAGTCTGGCTGCACACGGTGGTGCCCCCAGTTCGGAATCGCTAAGTTGGTGAACATAACTCCACTAACTATGGTTTATGGTAGATATATCTATAGTTGATGGGGTTATAAACCAACAAACATAACTGGGGGGCACCACCTTGCAATGGACTGGTCCTTGTAGTCGTAAGGCAAAAATGGCTCTCCTTGAGGCCTCTGCGTGGCCAGCTGCCCGACAGGAACTTCGTGTTGACAGCGACATTGGAGCTCTCATGCCTGGTATGGACTTCACGTCCAAGAAGGTACCTGCTCTGATGGCCTCTTCAAGGACAGGCATGGTTTCATAGCCCAGTTTTGCTGCCTCATCTTTCCCCATCAAATCATCCGTAATTGCAAGGTTCGGCAAAGCCAAAGTTTGCTGCAGTCATGGTATGTAGCGGCCATTGACATGAAAGCAAAAGGCAACCCAACAAATGTGTTATCGAATTCTGCGTCAACCTGTCGCGATATCACTTGGGGTCCTCATCTTGTACACTCCGGAAATTTTGCATAGTCATTGAACATGGTCATCAATATAGTTGATTGACCTATTAAAAAGAAATATTGTTTTTCCATTGTTTTTAGAATTGTTGCCATTATTAGTTGATTGACATCAAAAAGACATGATGTTCACCATTTTAACATAACATAACTATGGAAAATCACCACTTTGAATAGGTAAATCAACTATAAATGGGTCATTTTCCAGTTCACAAACTCTTTGTTCACAAGAGGATTTCTCAACGGATCATTCCATCAATATTCCCATGAAATATTTCCTTCTGAAAGGTCCCATTCAATCCCAATAAACCACTATTTTTGGTGGTTAACGGTTAATGTGGTTAAACACTGTTTAACTTAACCACCATCCACCGCCATCCCAATCTCCATGCTACCTTCATCATCCCCGGATCTTCCTTCAGCTTCTGCTTCGTCCCCTCCTAGGATCGCCGCGTGGATGGGGCAGCACGCTGCAGAATTTGGGACTTTTATTAATACCAGTACCTTCTAAGATCTATTATGGAAGTCTTTAGATCCATAAGAATTATGTTTTTTTTGTTCGGATTCATCCCTTCCACCGTAACATTTCCAACACTTCCAAGAGATGGGATGGAAATCACTGGGAATGGGATGATACATCCAGGACGATATCCAGTAAGATTGGTGGATGTCACCTTGAAAATCCACCCATTTTTAGGTCATATACCATCTGTTTCTATGGAACATCTGGGAATATCACAGGCTTACCCTCTGGTAAACGTTTACATAACGAACTGGAAAATCACCATGAAATTCATGGGTAAATCAACTATTTCTATGGCAATTTTCAATAGCAAACTGTTAGCTTACCAGAGGGTAGGTAAACCTGTGACATGTGGGATTGCACTTGATCAAGTTAACCAAGAACAATTGCGATGCTTGACCAATCTTTAGTCAAATGGCCCCAAAAATCTACAAAACGTGTCTTTCTTTAAAGAACATACAGTATGTCGGCTTGGGCGATACGGCAGTTGGTCTTGTGCTTCGTGTTCTCTCACCAGACCTGGTTATACGGGAAAATGCTGCGCCACAGGCAGCACAAACATATACCCTCTGGTGATTTAACATAGCTATTGAAAAAAATGAAAATGGTGATTGCCCATAGTTTTTTGTATGTTTACAAGAGGGTAACATGTCATATATTGTGATGATAGTCTTAGTTGATCACATGTGTTTGTTTCAAAAAAATGTGATACGGTTGAGGCCATTTATTAGTTATAAGTACTTATAACTCCATTTATAGAATGTATAATTCCATTTATAACCAGTATTAACCAGTTATAACTAATAACTGGCCATAACTGTACCCCTTCTCGTTTTCCCGCAATGGTCATTTTGAATCAAGTTTCTTCAGGATGCCGCAGATGTCGTGAATTGGGCCCGATCTAAAATCACTTGATCATTGGGTGGGGCCCCATGGCCCCAGTTCGGAATCGCTAAGTTGGTGAACATAACTATAATAACAATAGTGTATGATACTTATGATTATATTTAGATGGGCTTATAAACCAACAAACATAACTAGGGGGCCCCATCCTGTAGCTACTAAAGTGGTATCCTGGCAATGACAAGCCTAGTGGTTTATGAATTCGGGGTTGCCTCTATAGAACTAAAACAACTGTGGGAGTCTGAGAATTTCGCAAACATATCCCAATTCATCCTGTGGTTAATCATCGTTGTCCCTATGAAACAAGGTAACCTGGGTATCCACCACCTTCAGACAACCCCCAAAAACTTGTCAAGTTGGCTAGTGTTATATAAATATATATATATATACATACATACAGATATATCCCACAGTTACGGTCATTTACCAGTTAAGAGTCAGTTATAACTACAAACAAGTCACCCCATGTATAGAATGTTTCTCATCCCATAGAAATAACCAGTTACCATCTGGTTATTTAACATAGCCATGGAAAATCACCATTTTCAAGTTCGGTAAACCATCTATTTCTATGGGCCGTTTCCCATGGCTATGCGAAATAACCAGAGGGTATAACTAATAACTGATAGCCATGGCCATGTTATTTCACTATAAGCATCATTAATCACTATTAGCCACTATTAACGATTATTAACCTCATAGAAATCACCATAGAAATCACCAGTTTTTTCACTCATAGCCATGGCCAGTTGCCTGTATACTGGCCATCACTGCAGCAATCCCTGCTGATCCACAAATGATGCTGATCTTGGCATGTTCCCAGCTGGTTTTCCGATGATTTTCCCACCAGTTCCGCGCGCAAAAAGCCAGCGTCATTTTCTCCAGGTTTCACCAGAAATCGGCCAACTTTGAGCCGAAATCCATTGGAAGTGGGCTTCTTCGCCTCACAATCCGTGATGATATGGTCTACATAAAAATAATTTGTACATAATATATATATATATGCATAATCTGATTTAATATATGATGTGTATAAGGTGGTGCACCATAGTTGAATTGGTTTATAACTTAGTAACTAGATTAACTAGGGTTTATGTTGATTGTAGCATATTATAACCACAGTTGAATGGCCTAATAAACCACCTTATAACTGGGGGGCGCCATTGATGTATGGGATACCCTTCAACTGGCCACCAGCTAAGAGGGAATATGATGATTAACCCATGGATTTAGGGGTACAAGTACCATTTCTTTTAAATACAACATAGTCATCCTAGATCTATCAATCAAATCATCATGGCATTGACTACATGTATACAATTGCATAACCATATCAAGTAACACGGCGAATTGCACACGGCAACTATGTACATCTAGCGATTTCTCAGGCAAGGACTTCGACGGCCCCATGATGTCGCTGATAGACCTGGCTGCACTCCTGCGCCAGCTTGGGATCCCGCGTGGAGGATTGAGGCTCCAGCATCTGGATGATGCCATCGATCAAACAGAGCACTCCCAGCAGCACAATCCAGGCAACCTGGATCAAACTCCCAAGATTTATGGCCAAAAGGAGTTGGTTGAAAACGAACAAAACCGCCCCGGATTTTTTGGATTTTTTTTTACGGGAGATGTAGCTGGTTGGTGGTGCAATGTGCCCATCTTGAAAAATGATGGAGTTCGGCAATGGGAAGGATTATCCCATATATTATGGAACATAAAAAATGTTCCAAACCACCAACCAGGTACAGTAGATATACAGTCTCTAGAGTATATCAATTATTATCAGGCTTGTTTTTTTTTTTGATGGACACTGAACACATCACCCAGCAACTTTCATCAACCAAACATGTCGCTCTCGACCGTCAGAGGGTGCTCTGGAATAGATCAGTATGACTGCTGGCAGCAGGAGATTCATCCACACACCAGTCGTGGAGGCAACCTGATTTCAACAAGCTGAGGTCCACCAGTTGTAGTCGGTTTCCAAAGCCCCATACACAAATATAAAAAACATTAAACATTATATATAGTTCCATCATGTTCCACCCCCAAAAAAAACAACAGTTCACCAAGTGAGTTGTGTGCATCAACTTGTCGCGATTTCGCTTTCATCTTGAACTAGCTAGGTAAAGTGGTGCTTTGGGTGGCTGAGAATCCTGACGAATTGGGATTCCCTCCGCCACCAGGTGAAAATCATTGGTCGAAAGTTCTTTGTGTTGAGCCATCGGGAAAATAAAGGTTTTGTCCAAACAATGTCCCCAAAAGATCCCATTGTTTAGATGACGGCTTTAGATGTTTGCCTTTGCCATTACCCTCTGGATCCCCTCTGGTAATCAATCATGGTAATTGAAAATCCCCATCATAAATATAAGTAAATTGAAATATTTCACTAACCTGATACTTGCGGCCATTTGAGAATAATTTCCCTTATTCACCATGATTCCAGGGAGGTCGCAGTGAGGTCGTTATAATTTACCCAGATTTATGGTTAATCACATTTGAATATCCCACATTATCCCACAGTTCCCCATAAATCAACCATAAATGGGCCCTTTTCCAACCAGTTAGATGCTTGAATCATGTTAGGTAAATGTTTAGTTCGCTGGAACAAATCATCGACCTGTTACTGGTGGAGTCTCCAGCAAACTGATGACACCGGAGCGCAACCCCGGATAGAAAGACCACAACAGTGGTAAAAACACCAAACACATTGAGGATACCCTCCGGCAATCAAACGTGGCTGGCAGGAAATCCACGATCGAAATGGAGATAATGGAGGGGTTCAATAGGAAAATCACCTAATTATAAATAGTGTATTCTCCAGCACGCCATGTTTGATTACCAGAGGGTACATTAAATTATTGACAAAATTTAAGATCCATAACTCCATAACCAGCCAAAAAATGATGGTTTAGTTTATATATATATATATGTAATTATAAATATATAAATATATCATTATATATCCAAAACAAGAACAAACCCATTGGATTCCCTTGGTGGACAAAAAAATACACACTTCACCAGCGCCGAAGTCGCCCAGCGACAGTGAGAATGAGGTTTCCAAAAGCTTCATCTCCAATCAGTGTGGGGACTGCAATAGAGGACAGCGAGAAAAAGAGCGTCAAGGCGACTTGCATCGCCTTTGATCTGCTGCTCAAAAGCGTCAAAAAGACCATTGAGCAATACCATAAAAGTCCCATAAATGATGATCATTCGAAAAACTATACGATAAACAACAATGACTATATCAGTCCAAGAACTATACCATTCCAATATTTCATCACCATTGATAAATAAGATGGTACTTGTTGGAATAATTATTTAAAAAAAAACAAAAGTCCCTGGTAGATGATCATTCCAATAACCATAGTTGGTATGTATGTTATTATCCATGGTGAAGATAAATCAATGTTAATTCTGGCAACCAATAACCATCGTTGGTGAAAATAACTCATATAACTACATAGTGGTGCCCCAGTTCGATAGCTCAGTTGGTTTATATCTCCAATTTCACTAGGACTTATGGTAGATATATCGAACTAGTTGATGGGGTTATAAACCAACGTTCACATCACTGGGGGGTACCAACTCATATAACGATGGTTCTGATATTCTGATACCTATAACTATAGTCTTAGAACCATACAACTAAGCAACTCATATACCTATATAGCCTATAACTATAGTTATGATACCTATAACTGCCTATAACTGTAGTTATGATACCTATAACTATGGTTCTGATACTCCACAGCCTTAGATTGGCTGCTTTGGGGATCATACAGTTCCCGCTATTTATCGCCAGTTGTGGCCATGGCATGAGTCATAACTCCTGTGACTAAGGTGAACCCATTAAATATCGAATGAGCTTATAAACCAGTTATAAGTTAAAAGTGTTAACTTATAAACCAGTTATAAGATGTTATAAGTTAAAGGTGTTTTTTTGGCTGGCTTTAATGGGTTATACAAACAAATAAAAGTCCCAGTAGATTCGCCATGACTGGAATGGGACAAGAAGAAGTTATTTTCAGCCAGAGTGGCCCATGGAGCTTCAGCTAAAGACACGTCAGCACTGAAAAAGTTCCAGACTTGACTCTTGCAGGGAAGAATCGCCAAGGGCAGGTTGAAGTAAATCATCAAAGCCATACTTCCTTGCAAAATACTGGTCAAGACGTCCGGGTACTTCTCTTCCTGGATGTCTAAAACGAAAACACACTGAACACATACAAGGTGGTGCCCCCACCAGTTATAAATTTGCTGGTTGGTGGTTTCAACCCCTCTGAGAATATTAGTCAGTTGGGATTATTATTCCCAATATATGCAAAAATAAAACATGTTCCAAACCACCAACCAGTTTGTTTATAAAACCCAAATTAGTTTACTTATAAGTATCATCAACCCTACTTACTGCAGTTATAAATCAAGTCAGCTATCTAGGGGGGGCCGCCTTGTATGAACTGTTTTGCTGATTGAGGACAATAATCCGATTTGTTGGGGTGAACATGAAACAAAGAAGTTAGACAACCTTTCCAATCTCTAGTTGTTGAACATCAAATCCACCATGTGGATGGCAAAATCTTCTTGGTTACCCTCCATGAAACTAACATAGTTTTGGAAAAATATGAACAAATACACCTCATAGATGATCTACCTATAAACAATGGTGGATGTTCCAAAGCTATGTTAGTTTTATCAGAGGGTAAATTTTCATGTGTGTTTGTATGTTCGGGACCACAAGTTTCTGTTCCTTACAGTTCCATCATATTTTGTGAGCTCAAACATGTTCTGAACAAATGGTTACAAATCACACAGTATGATTGTACTTTATGACCAAGTTCCCATATTTTTCACAAATCATAAACATTTTCTGAGCTTAATCATCATATTTTTCTTGACCACAGTTTATAAATCACCATGTTGCTGCACGAAAAACGATGAAATCAGCATTTCTTTGGCGCGACACAACGATTTACGGTGGATAGATCCACGGGTGAACACATAGTTAAGGCCACGGCTATTAGTGAGTTATAACTGGTGATTTCTATGGTGATTAATAGTGGTTAATAGTGGCTAATAGTGATGAATGATGGTTATATAGTTATAACTGGTGATTTCTATGGGATGAGAAACATTCTATAAATGGGGTGACTTCTTAGTACTTATAACTGGTAAAACTCGGGCCATAACTGCAGATCATCCAATCAAAAAAATCCCTCGCACTCTGACAGTGGAAAATCCTGTTAAATCAATTATTGTTTTAGATAATCTGACGGTTGAATCAGGTTAAAACCATTTATATAATCCCAATTGAATTTGATGAACCACCACCCAGTTGTTTTTTATATGTAAAAACAAAATTTGGGGAATTACGCGCACAAAATTGATAAACATCACAACTAATTTTGTGATAATTGTGATTAGTTTGATAGTTTTTTGGTGGTGGCTATATATTTGATAAACGCACCACCCAGTCACCCAGTGTTGTTGAAAAAAAAACAAATCAAACCTCCTCATATTTTTGTTCAAACATACACCACCCAGTTTTTTGTAGTCAGTGGGGTTGCTATATAGACCCTCCAAATACCTCAAAACAAATGCCAAAAGTACAAATATTATGGTCTAAAACACCATTTTTAAGGCTACTCACATGGACTTTCTAGGTACAAATCTGCTAAAACCTTCAGCATCTAATTAATCTAGTTATGATAAATCTCAGCCAGCTTCATAGATCTTGAAGAGATCCAGATCCACAGCGCTGCCCAAGGCTGCATATCCCACCAGCGCCACCACCACGTAGACCGAAGACTGCATCGAAACAGCGATGGCTGGGCACCAGGTGGTCACTTTCTCGCGGAGGGCTGGCTGCACATCTGCTGCCAGCTGGGGTAAGATGCCGGTGTTGGCCTAGGAGAAAAAGTGAAAACCGAGAAAACATGTGTTTTTTTTTAATTTTTTTATCAACTCAAATGGTGGTTGAATAAACTGAAATGGTGGGTTTACCATGTTTGTTTATCCGTTGAAATGTTGATCTATAATTCATTGCAAAGTGTCGGAAGGATGTGCAGAGTTTCCTTTACAAAGGAGTGAATTATGTAGAGACATTCTCATTCTTTGATGCAAGAACGCAAAGACGCAATACTATGAAATATAACCTTTTTCTCTGAGATACCCTTCCTTTGCTGCATGTACTTTGGTAAAGAACCAGGTTATCAACGTATAGTTATGAACTATGTTATTCCATATACAGTCAGTGAAATACTGGAACAAACCGGGCAAAATTATTTTGCAGGAGTGAAATTGTTTGAAAGAATTGTTATGCAGGACAAGAAAAGAGGGATGCTGAATTGGAAAAATGAGCTGTTCAAAAATTGCATGTTTCCAAACATGTTATTTTTGTAGCAATATTGTTGTTTGTTTCAAAAAACATCTTTTCTTCATGACAGATTGCAACCTGTAAGCAACAGTTTCCTTGAACAACATTTTTTTCTGTTTCAAGGAATGCTGCAATGTGCATTGACCGTTGCACTTTTTGATATGTTGGAAGGAAACATGATTGATTGAACAATCCATCGAAATTGCTGTTTTGGTAGGTTCTTGGGGGCGATGAGCCATATAGATCCAATATATAATATAGTAAATAATAATATATAATGAAATATTATATTATATATAATATATATATAATATAATATAGATATTATAATATAATATAACATAGTATAATATACTATTATACAATATAATATTCTAGAGTATATAATATATATAATATACTATATATATATATTAATATAAATATATATATATATACTATATATAATAAATAATATTCTAATATATATATATATATTATATATAATATATAATATTCTAATATATATATATATTATATATAATATATAATATTCTAATATATATATAATATATATGTAATATATAAAATTCTAATATATATACAATATATATAATATATAATATCCTAATATATATAATATATATAATATATAATATTCTTATATATATAATATATATAATATATATAATATATATAATATATATAATATATATATAATATATATAATATATATAATATATATAATATATATAATATATATAATATATATAATATATAATATCCTAATATATATATAGTATATAATATATATATAATATATATAATATATAATATTCTAATATATATAATATATATATAATATATATAATATATATATATATATGTAGTATATAATATTCTGATAAATATATATATATATATAATATAATATTCTAATATATATATATAATATACAATATATAATATATAATATTATAATATATAATATATAAACATTCTAATATATATATAATAAAAATATAATATATATAATATTCTAATATATATATATAATATAATATATATATAAATATATATATAATATATGTATATTCTAATATATATATAATATATATATATATATATTATATACATATATTCTACAGCATGTATATAGTTCAGTTAGGATATTCCCCCTTCCCTGGCATCTCCGGTCCCCACATTTTATTTTTCCAATCCTTCCGAGGTGCCAAACTGCTCATCAAAATGCTGGTCACCCGAAAGAAACCAATGGGTCTCCACGTTACATAGCCTCAGGCCGGTGGACCCTAGGGTGTCATGGGACAATCATGGGACAATCATGGGAAAATGGGAAAATCATGGGAAAATCATGGGGAAACTATTGGATAGCAAAGAATATAAAGCTATTTTAGTGGAAACACATGGGAAAATCCCTAGAACTGAGTATATAATGATTTATAACTCACCAATGCGTTTTTTGCGACTGAAAATGGGTTAATTACTGTATACCTCCAAGTTATGGCTGTGTTTTCATAGAGAAAATGGTACAGTAAACCAGCATTTTTTTGGGTACCCGACATTAAATGGAAAACCAGGGCTTCGTTTGCTTTTCTAGTCCAAACCCGCCACCAAAAATGGACAAGTAAGATGCTACTCAAACAGTGACAGATATCTTTTCATGGCTTTTCTATGCTTTTCTACCTTTTTGCCGGTTGCCATGGTACAAAACCTTGACGAAAAAACGCATAACTTTGCTAGGTTGACTTCCTTGATGTCGTTTCCCGTCACCAAACATCATGAAATGGCTGCAATGGTCACTGGACACGGCAGCCATGCTGTGATTCCTTGCAATTGTATTGGAAACGCCACATGCCCAACGTCCCAATCCTTCTTTGTTGGTGGTAAAATCCAAAATCATTCCAAAACAAATCCTATACCCCCAATTTCCTTAGATTTCCCTAAAAATAATTTTCAAAGAATTTCCCCAATTTGTCCGTCCCTTTTGAAATCATTTCCTTATCCCCAAGGAACTGGTGGTCTCCGTCTTTGTCCTCCAGGTCAGGAAGCCTTTGAGAATGGCCGCTGCGATCACCTCGGTGAAAGCCCGAAAAAAACCAGTTCTAACTGGCTGAAAAAAACCTCAACAGTTAAGACCATTTATTAGTTATATCTGGTTATAAATGGGATTATACATTCTATAAATGGGGTTATAAGTACTTATAACTGGTAAAAGGGCCATAACTGAAGTGATCTTGTTCACCTCAGTTGGGGCGATCAAATTCTCCATGAAACCTCATATTTAAATCATATTAAGCTCACCTTAGTTACAGGAGTTGTAATAGTGATAAAAGTCCATGTGTATAACTGGGTATAGGGCCATAACATGTAGGAAGGCCCTTGTAAATCCTGGTTGCGGGTTCATGAGCCCTAGCCTATATCTATACGCCTTTACGAATGGGGTCACCAGAATTGGGGCGCGGTTGAGTTCCCATAAAAATCACTGCGGAATAAAATTGCACAATGTGGAGCCCCCAAGCGATGGCTAAGTTGGTGAACATAACTCCCATAACTATGGTTTATGATACCGATAGCTATAGTTAATGGGGTTTTACAAACCAACTTATAACTGGGGGGCCCCACATTGTACAACACATTGCACATGTTCCAAACCTTGAAACTTGAAAGCTCCTGCTTTTTCCACATGACAAAGCCACAGATTGGGTACAAACAGCTGGAGAGATTTATTTGGATTGGTGGTTTCAACCATAGAATATGAATCAATCAAGTTGGATCTCATCCCCTTTCTTGGGATTGATATCTTCATTTTAAGTTAAATGAAACAAACCATCAAGGAGAATTTCACGGCCAATATGTTTGCCAAACCCTGAACCATGGTGATGGTTCTGCTACACAACAAAGCAGATTTTGAGTTTATTATACTGTTTGGTTTTAGACAAAGTAAATGAAACCAATCCAGCAGAGTGCTTCACTTAAAGTGATGTTCCCTACCAAAAAAACATTTAATAAACCCAACTAATTAGAAGTCATAGTTGCATAATCACCATATCAATGGGAATTTCAGGATCCTAAAATGGAGGTACTGTACCATATAAGGCCATATTTTGTGGGGATATTCCCTTGCATAGGCCTTACATAGGCCTTATGCATGGTAGGTACCTTCAAGTTAGGTTCCTGAGATGGCCAGTGACCATATGCCATATACCTTAGTTACATAACAAGACAAAAAAAACTATACTGGATCTATTGATTTCAACGTTAAAAAAACACATCTTGGTACCACAAAAGTTTCCGAGGTAATTGCATAGTCACCATATACCTTAGTTACTGCATAACAATACTTAACTATACTGCATCTAGTGATTTCAACGTCGCTATATATCACATCTTGGTACCACCATGTCCTTTCCGAGTGACAAGCGTTTTCACAAACATGTTGGTGATGTTGATGCCTCGCGCCAGTCGTCCAGACAGCTCCGCGGGCGAACACACCACGTAGATCATGAGGAGGATGGGGAGCGACAAGCTCCATCGACTTTGACCTGCTATGGCCGGAAATACCAATTAATAAATGGTTATAACTGGTTCTAACATGTTTTCAAATAGGCTTATACATGGTTATAAATGGTTATAACATGTTTCAAATAGGCTTATAAAATGATAAAATGGTTATAGCTGGTTATTTCAATGGGATTTATACATTCTATACATGGGGTGATTTCTATTCGTACTTATAACTGGTATAGCTCGGGCCATAACTGATCTGACCTCAGGGGCTTCAACAGCAACAGTATGGGATCTAAACATCTAGGGAAAGGCCTTCATTGGATACAGTTATGGCCCGAGTTATACCAGTGATAAGTACTAACAAGTCAACCCATAGACATAGAATGTATAATTCCATAGAAATAACCAGTTATAACTAATTGTTATGGCCTTAACTGTGGGGAATTGTTTAATACAATGGTAGAGATAAAGTGGAGATTCAGCAATCGATGGATTTAACAGAGGTGGGCACCACCTTGCAAAAGCCCAGTAGCTATCCTGTTGGGATCCTTTACCAGTCATAAGTACTTATAACCCCATTTATAGAATGTATAATCCCATTGAAATAACCAGTTATAAATAATAAATGGCCTTAACTGTGGGGCTATAACCTACTCAATGTCCGTTGGTTACAACACAAATTCTCCCAAACCAAGTGGATCTTGCAGGGAGGACCCAACAAATCGGTTGGCTGCTGAGTAAATCGGCTGGTACCCCACTTAAACATGGTATATATATAATATTATATAATGTGGGACACCAATTTTAATAAAGCATCCCCAAAATCACCAAAAAAATGGGTACGTTCATCCCCTTCAATGCTAGGTTTATGAATGTTTTTGGCATTGGGTTTCTATCATTAACTTACTAAGGGTTGAGAAGAGGCCGCTCCCAACAAGAACTCTTGGATTTGACCAAGAATCTGAACAAAGAAATGATAAACCTTTAAAAGTCCAACACAAACATACGTAATATGGGTAAAACATGGTAAACCAATAAACCAACCAGTTGGGAATGGTAACCATACCAATAAAAATTGTGATTTGGATGGTTTATGATTGGTTTACCCACATTACAATGGTATAAATCCAAGATCGGTCGGATAACCCGTCCAAACAGTCCAATATGGTCGGCGACAGTGAAATATTTGGAGAGTCGGTTGCTTGTTGTCAATGGACATCATTATCATTTACAATATCTACAACACACTTCTGGTTGGTGGTTTTAACCATCTTGAAAAATATGAAAGTCAATGGGAAGGATTATCCCATATATTATGGAAAATAAAAATGTTTGAAACCACCAACAAGACTTTTTTGCTTTTGCTTTGTAAACAAATGGACAACATCTGTCGGTATTGTTCCTTTTGATCAACTGCCAGGTGACATAGCCAGACATCGCCATTTGAGGCACAAAGCAAGGGGCAGAGTTGGCCCTCAAAAAAGGCTTCCAGGAAGTCAAAGTAAAAGCCACCACCTGGTGACCGTGGAAGGTTAGCGACTAATGAACCTGGTGGGGATTAGCATGGCCCAAATGAACATAGGACCCAACTATAACCAACCATTTTAGATGACTACTTGCATTTCCAACCCAACTCGTGGCCCGGTGTTGGATGTTGGAGGTCTGGTACCCCCTCCACAAATCGACCATGAGAGAAAAAAAACATCCATAGAACTGCAGAGCACCAGAGATTTTGAGCGTTGCTCAGCTGCTTACATAGTGGTGCCCCAGTTCGATAGCCAAGTTGGTTTATAACTACAATAAGTAGGACTTATGGTAGATATCTATAGTTGATGGGGGTTATAAACTAACTAACATCACTGGGGGGTACCACATTGTAGGAACAAAAAAGGAACAACCCCTGGTCCTTCGGTCCTTCGGTCCATCATGGTCCATCAAGGGTGACCGACCGGATGAAACCGCTGAAAAGACTCAACATTTTTTAACAATTCTCATGAACAAAGAATGACCAACAAATATCATCAAATAGCAACCCTGGAGTTTAGCACTGAAATTCTCGGACAATCACACATCGCCCAAATCGGCCATAATCCGACCAAACAAAAAAAACAGGTTGTCTGATCAAGAAAAAATCTATCCGTCCTATGGTTTTCTGCCAAGGCACAAGCCCAAAGGTAGATCAAGCCGCTCCAGATCGTCGTCTGCCGGGCCCAGGCGGGTGTACGTTGACACAACTCCTGGAAGGTGGTGGCGTTGCACTCGACCGACGCTCGCATCAAGGTCTGCTGCTCAACGATGGCAGTGACCGTCGCCACGAAAAGGACGAAGAGAAATCCCACAGATCCTCGGATCTTGGGAGATCTTGGGAATCGCATAAGGTGCCCCCTGATGTATGGCTTAAGTTGGTGGAAATAACCAGGTGAGTTCTTGGGTTTTTGGTATATCGAACTGATGGTAGTGATGTCGACCAACTTGCTGGGGGGATCCACCAACTTACCGAAGCTTCAGACTGAAGTTCCGAGCCAACATCTTGAAGCACCAGAAGTATGTAACCCCACAGGGATCGCATCAAGAAAAGACACACGACCCTGATTTCATCCAGAAACAATGTTGGACAACTGGACCATTGGCGATGGCTAAGAAACAAGGTTGTTTGACGATTTGGTACCCTACTTCCCAGTCCCACAGACTATCATACAAGGTGGTGCCCCCTCAGCTATAAGTTGGTTTATAAACCATAGGAAAAGTATAGATATATCTACCATAAACCAGATTGAAATTGGAGTTATGTAGGCCCCAACTTAGCGATGAATCGCTCACATGGGCACCACCAACTGCATTTCAATATCATCATGGGGGTCATTTCAGCCTGGTAAGAGGGGTATATCACCTTGGAGGAATCTATACTATACCAAAAAGATTCTGACAAAGTATAGGGTATAGCCTACAGTTAAGGCCATGGCTATTAGTGAAATAACTGCTTATTTCTATGTAATGAGAAACATTCTATGTCTATGGGGTGACACTTTTAGTACTGAAAAAACTGGTTTTCACTCGGGCTGGCTGACGCACATACCTTGGTGAACTGCTGGGCTTACAGAATTTGCCCAGCTCCTTTTTTCGTGGGGATGCATTGGTCTGACCCATGGACAATTTCAAGAGCAACCATGGGAATAATGGGTATATTGTATCATGGTATGTCAAACGGATACCATAAAAAAAAAAAAAATATATATGCATATATATATATATGTGCATGTATGATCATCATCTATTAATATAATACATGTGTATATATATAGTTATATATATAATATCAGAAATGGACAAGGACAACTGGATTATCATCCATGTGGTGCCCAAATTCGTTGCCTGAGTTGGTTTCTGGTTGATATATCTATAGTTGATGGGGTGGGCACCACCTTGTACCTGAAAATTAAGGGATATATGAGATAATACAAAATCTAGGGATGTTGAAACTGGGTAATCAGATAACGTTTGGTAAGTCAATGGCCTACAAATGGGAATGGGTCAATTTGCTTGGGTACCCTGATTTGACTTGATTCTAGCCTATCTGCATTTTAAATTGGTGATTGATTAGTGTTGAGAAAAAGGCACGCACACACACACACATACAGACGCAGGCAGACACACAGACCGCATTTAGGACTTCACATCGTCGGCTTCCTGAAAATTAACACACACACACACACAATTCAACATTCATGGTTTCAATAAGCATGCTCCATTGGTGTGTAGCCTACCTTTTCTCACTAGCTCCCACGTGCACATCATATATTCAATGGGAATTTCGGGAACCTAAATGGAGGTACCTACCATATATAAGGCCTATATAAGGCCCGCCTATGTAAGATAATATTCCCATAAAATATGGCCTTATATGGTACAGTACCTCCACTTTAGGATCCTAAAATTACCATTGATATACGGTGAGCTCCTCATCGTTAAGTTGATCTATATCAGGCTCATTGGCGAAGAATCTTCAGCCGGGTCGCCGGACAACATGGCAGCATAGGCGACCACTGAAAGTGTTGGTCCAAGACCAGAATTGAAGGACACCATGACAGCTTCGACAAAGTTTAAGCCTCAAATTCTGGGTGGTTTCAAGATATCTTGAGTTCATTGACCAGAAAAAAATATGGCCTTTTGTATATGTAGTCTATTAACAATAGGGAATTTTGATGGGATAGTCAATTAGAGTACTTAGATGGGCCGGTTTCTTAGTTCACTAGTAAGTTTTTGTGGGTTTCGAGTTCAGGTACAATTGTGGTGCTATGCCAATCCCCTCAGAGGACTCATCACCGTAGTTATCAAACAGTTACAAGGTGGTACCAACTTGTAACCAGGGAGCACTGCACACTATGTAAGGATACCAATGGGATTTCAAGCATGCATAAATAAAGATATCAACAAAGTAGAAGTATACCTCCAAAAACCCAATTCCTCAGTTACCCCATTCCAAATCAAGATCAAGACACCTTTGGACGATGTGTTGACGCCAGCCGAACGGGAGCAGAAATCATTGGATGCCGTCCGAGTTGTTCCTGTCGGTGATCCTTCACCTTGTATTGATCTCTGGGGCCATGGAAACCATGGGTTTTTACCATCAAATTCTGAGGGGTTTCCTGCATTTGTTTCCCACCATCATGAACATGGAGTGTACTCCAAAAAAATATAATCAGAATGTTGGCTACACGTTTGGTTATCTCACGTTATCTCTACTGTAGTCTTCTCATCGGTGGATAAACTACAGCTGGCATCCAAGTCACATGCGAGTCTTTCAGAACCTTGCTGCATCTCCATTGCTTTTGGACAAGCTGCAAGGAGAATTCTGCTCAGTAAGTCGTGAATAACCATAGTGATCACTATAATCTAACCCATATATATATAATATCATCATGATTATTATCATCATTATTATCATTATTACTATTCTTATTACTACCATTATTGTCATTATTATTATCATCATTATTATGCCTATTCTTATTACTACCATTATTGTTACTAATTATTCTTATCATCATTATTATCATTGTTATGACTATTATTATTACTACCATTATTATTATTATTATTAAATTATGACATTATCATTAAATTAATATTATTATATCTATATTTAAAAAAAAAAAATAATATAACATATATGCATATGCATATAACTTTATAATATTACCATCCCGTTTCGGAACATATCAACCAGCTTATCCAAAATCTGCTGGGGCCTCTTTTGTTTTCGGATGGCTTTGTACTGGACCAAGGGGTATCTCAAACTGGAGGTTTCATAGGGGGTTAATGGGGGTTTAATGTGGGATTAACGGGATTTAATGGAAAACCATAGGAAAACCATAGGAAAACCATAGGAAAATGGTGATTTAATGGGATTTTATAAGGGTTAATGGGATTTAGTGGATTTAATGGGATTTATGTAACAGGATTTGATGGGATTTGATGAGATGGGATTTAGTGGATATATTTGATCCGAGTGCACTCATGATACACCCCGAAGACATCATCATCATCTGTTTGGGGTTAACGCAACAATCATCAGGATAAATAGGCATCAGGAATAGCGAAGTAAGGATCTGTGGTTAGTCACTCGGGTAATTATACATTACATCCCGCTAAATTTGGGATTGAAACTTGAAACCAAAGAATGGGTCATCTATTGGACTTGTGGCTGGAACATTATGATGGCCACCTCTTCTTTTGCACGATTTATTTTCTAACTATATACATTAGAGCAGCTGGGACCACATCCTATGACGTCCTACCGTACTGATTGCTCTTGAATATCCGACCGCAAACAGAAGCAAAACAACAGTTGGGGTGCCATGTTCCAAGCAACCAATTTGAAGCAGGGTAACTCCCCTTTGACCCAAAAACTGCAGTCATCAAATCTCCAAACAGACCTATTTCTGGCGCAAAATCTCCAAGATAGCAGGAATCTGCGGGCAATCACTGGTGATTTCACCGAAAAGGGTGTAAGCATAGATATCCATAGATATCCATAGCATTCCATAGGCCAGATTTAGGCCATATTTATCCATTTTTAATATGAACTAATCAACAATATTCGGATGTAAATGGCTAATCCTTTCTGAATTTTCCAGGTCGGCCACGAATTAAAACCAACTCACAATTCTCGTGGCTCACCTTAAAGAAAACTATATGCATAAAACCGAAAGTTGCAATCTTAAAAATACGTTTGAGCCTATGTATGTCATTGTACATCATTGAAAAATGCCAGCAAAAATAGGCATCATGGACTTTTTCTTGACTTTTATCTATACCTTTTTTGGTGTTTTGGGACTTTTATGGTACTTCACCGACCAAAAAAAAACATCGCTACCTTCCCTGCGCAGCTCCTGCCGGCGCAGAGCAGATCTCGTCGCGTTCTGGTGGATCGGTCGCCTTCTGGGTGGCCTGGAAGGAGGACCCTGCAGGGGGAATTGTGAAACATGTGCAGTTATGGCCCGAAATACCAGTTATAAGTACTAACAAAACCCCATTTATAGAATGTATAATCCCATAGAAATCACCAGTTATAACTAATAAATGGCCTTAACTGTGGGGATATGATGATAATGGAGATATATGGAGATTTAAACATTGGGATATAATTTGATTTTTTATGGGATATGACGGGGGGTATTTTTGGGGATATAAGGGGATAGTATGGGGATAATGATGATAATTAATGAAGATTTGATGATTTTAACGGGATATTTGACTAAGAATACAATATATGGGTGTGTCTGAAAATGTGGTATATCGCCAAAATGAATTTAAATGGCCAGCTATGGCCATCTTCATGTGAAGCATGATAATAAGCCAACCGATTTCTGGATATACCCTTTTACGATAAACCCATGTCTTCTATTGTCTTCTCAACCAAGTGATTCAACTATAGCTGCTTCTGTGGGTTCAGATTTGGATGGTCAATTTAATACCCCAAAGACCTTCAAAGATCTTCGGACGGGTTTGATAGGGTTCAGGGGTCAGATTATACCTTCGAGAATGGTTGGACGCCAAGGGGTTAGCTATCAACCAAACACAATGAGCAAAATGATCAAATATGCGGACCTAACCTCCGCAAGTTTCCAAAAGGATATGAACCCAACACAGAGGTTTAGTACCCCGCGAATTGTGAGACACACCCGTATGGCTCATCGAATCCTGACAAAGTCCTTGGAGATCATCTAAGAATTCATTGCGAACGTCTGCTGTCAGGCAAACCTCAGCTCGTTAGTGTCATCTCGGATTGATGAAACAATGCCTCTTCGCCACGACGATGACGGTGATGGCCCAGTGATGGCGCTGTCACCAGCATTCCACGCCTTGTCGTAGCTGCTCCGTCGGAAAAAGCTGCCGAAAAGCCCGTTATATACACGGGTGCCAGTGGTGCGGTGCCAGTCAGGTCCAAATTTCTGCTGAACTGGGTCGATGGTCCCCAGTGATGTTCAGACTCTTCTGGTACTCCCTAAAGTCATATCCTACGTGGAATGATGATTCCTCTTGACCACTAGCCGTCACTAGCCCATGTGGTGCTCCTAATTATTTAGTAAAGTTTGTTTATAACAACAATTTTACTGGGGGTTATGATGGTTTATTACGGTACATAAAATCATGATATATCTATACTGGTTGGCGGTATACCTACCCCTCTGAAAAATACGAGTTCTTCAGTTCGGATCATTATTCCCAATATATGGAAAGTCATAAAAGTCATGTTCCAAACCACCAACCAGTATAGCATTCATGGGCTTTACAGGCCATCAAACATCACTGGGGGAGTAGCAGCGTAGCACCGTTGCACCTCCGACGCGACCTCCGTGACATCCACAGGGGCCGATGCTGCCGAGGCTGTTTGGCCTGTGAAACGAAGCGACGACCAGCACGTGGCGGCAAAGTGATGGTGGCTTCTATAGACCCATATTTTGTTCATATACTAAGTCCGCTAAGTTTGATATAGCTAAGTGAGCTAACTAGATAGTATCTATATCTAACTACTTAGTATGTAACCTATCTAGTTATTAACCCACATGAGCCCCTTCAAGTAAGAACCAACAAACATATGGAGGTTTGACCTTCAAGGGATCTGCGATTTCTAGGTCATTTTTTTGGTTAGGTCATGTTATCTATTTTTGGCTGACTGGTGATTTCGACCCTCTTAAGAACATGAAGAGTTCTTGAGGATCATCCCAGGCCCTTGGATACACAATTTGATCCAAGTGAGGGCATCAAGTTGATCCTTTTGGCACTATGTACGACATGGATCATGGTATAGATTGGCTGAATCGTCCAGCTTCCGCTTTGTTTGTGGCAAGACTCCAAAACCAATCTTCGGTCACGTCAAAACTTCGATTTTTCTGGAAACCACTCGATATTGACTACAGTTATGGCCCTTTACCATTTATAAGTACTAAGAAAACCCCATTTATAGAATGTATAATCCCATTTACAACCAGTTATAACTAATAAATGGCCTTAACTGTAGATACCCCATGTTTTTCCTTGGTGAGATCCCACTTCTTTCCAGCAAAATTCACGTGTTTTTCCGTGTAGATCCGCCATCCCCTGGGTTCCCCAAGTTGCCCCGACCCTCCGACGACTTGGAATCTGAGCCTCGCAGCAAGGCTCAAGGTGACTGTCACTGGATTGGCAGGGGACATCTGCACGAGGTGTTGCCCGCAAACAATAGCTAAGTTGGTTTATGAGTATATATATGTATATATATATAATTTATATAATATGTGTATGTGTAATATGCATATGAATATGTACGATATATGGTTTATGTCAGATATAATTTCCACAGTCAGGGGGGTGTTACAAACCAACTTATAACTGATGGGGAACCACCTTGCAGGAAAGCAAACTAATATACCATGATTTATTTTATTTGCCAAGCAAGGGGACTTCCTGTAAAATGTCCTGTATGGCAAGTTTGGGAAGATAAAATGTTGCCACCCTTAGGCACCCTGCATTTTTTCTATGAGCGGGTGGATCCGGGTCTTCTGGTTTCAAACGGAGATGTCCTGAACAGAAAAAGTGGATAGCGAATGGTGATACTGTGATTTGCGACTGCTTGGTTGATAGTTTGATAGTTAGAATCAGAATCACATAGCCCAAAGGCAATTCAAATAAGAATTGGAACAATTATCTGGTTGATAGGCAGAATACGTCAGAATGACAAAGCCCAAGGGATATTCAATGAACATTAATGAAGAATATCTAAATATCCCCAACTGAGCTGGTTTATCTAGAATCCCAAAAAAACCTTGGGTCCAACGGTCCAACCCACAGGCCCTACCTTCAGAAACTTCAATGGTGACTGTGGCCGGTAAGTCCTGGCAGAGTCGTTTTGTTGCCACCTTGATAAGGTGGTGCCCCAGCTCGGAATCGCTACGTTGGTGCACATAACTCCAATAACTATGGTTTGTGGTAGATATATCTATACTTACGTTGGTTTATAAACCAACTTATAATTGGGTAAACACTACCTTGTAACAATGTTTGCCAACAAAGAATGAAACCCCAAAAGAATTCATGGGGAATGCAAACAAAACCTAATGTGCTGGTGCCTATGGTTCAAACATAATGCAAGGTAGTATTGGACCTGGAAAATTGGCTGTTTCAAGGGCTACTACTAAGTTTTTTTGTGTGTAAGTAGTTTTGAACCATACTCATTATCTCATTGAACAAGGTTTGCCTTTGCAAATGACAAATGCAAAAGCAACCCCTTGAAACACTAGGAATTTGAAATGAGCTATTCAAAATACCTTGGTTGATTGGATATGAAATAAGGAATTACACTATGGTTTATTGGGGATTATGATACATTATGATATATTATGTTATCCCATGGTAGAGAAACCTCTCAAGCAAGTACTATAATGAGATGGGATAACAATGTGTTTTCAGTGGCTCACTTCATATCCTCTGTTGGTGTTGCTTCAATATACATGTTAATTTCAAAGAATAACGCATCCCCTGACTTGGTAGTCAACCTGGTCATTCTTGCTGACCAAATACAATTTTTTGTTACCCATCGATGCAGTTTATGGCCCTTTACCACTTATAATAGTTCCAGTTATAACATATTATAACACCATTTATGAAAAGTAGAAACCTATATATATATATATATCACCATATATCACCATAAACCTATAGAAATCACCTATATTTAAAGAAAATAGTTCTAGTATGTTCTAGTTATAACTGGTATTTCGGGCCATACCTGTGGGATAGGGCTATGAATTGCTCCAATGGCACCCCCAGGCGCCGCAGGCGCCGCAGCTCCTCCTGGGGCATCTCGGTTTTCTCGGATCTCTCAGGCTCGGTGGCGTCCGAAACTGAGGCAACGGCGCCGGTGTCGCAGGTTGCATAGCACTGGGGAATGACATGGAATGACCGTGATTTTACGGTGATTTAATAGGGATTTAACAAGGATTTAGTAGGGAGTCAATAGGGATTTAATATAGGGAATCAACGGGAATCTGAATGGATTATATGGGATTTGGTGGGGTAAAACTAGAAACAGATGTGGAAAACCAATGGAACAATCCAAGGAAAATGATCTACAGATTGTCCATATCTTGGTTAGCTTACAGCAGAGTATTTAATCAATATGAAGGGGAGATTGGCCTGACAGATCCAAGAATGATTACTGCACCGCAAAAAAACAAAACACATTGTAGAGTGTAGAGCATTCTACATGCTTGTACCCAGTGGACTGAATATTGATATACTTTGAGATGTTGGTTTATGGGGAGGAAAGCTCTTCAACAGGGATGTCCGCTGGGATATATGGAGACACAAGCAATCACAAAAGGAATGTTTGAATCATACAAGGATGTTTGAATCATCAAAGTAGACGACTATGGGATACAGTAACGATCCACATCTGTTCCAAAGGTGGAATAGTCTATAGATATCAAACATTTTCTAAAATACTGTATTCCAAAAAGATACAAAAAGATGGTCATATCCAACCACAATTGTGATCAACGATGATAAACATGTTCTCCATGTTTGTGTCCAACGTCTATGCGATACAATGAGCCAACAAATGGCTTCCAAGAGGTGGCCTAGAAACCACTTCCATGTACTCTGTAGCTACGTGACAAGGGAAAAGCCAATGAACCAGACACAAACCCAGGAGTCTTTTCTAGAATATATTAGATGCTCAAAACATCTCAACATATATATATATATATTATATTCTTGTTCTTAACATCTACGGCATCTACGGAACAAAACATGATGCTTGAATGAACAAAATGCCCATCGGGGATTGGTCCGGTGCACCACTTTGTTTTTGCGCTGAATGCAATCTTGTCTGATACGAAGGCTTCTCGAGTCTGATAGGGAGAGTAGTTGTCATGATGGGCGAAGTACTATGCCTGGCTTCGTCTTTGGAAATGAACATTGGCCCTCAAGACGAAAACGTCGTGCGAAGGCCTCATCAGTCAAAGACATCGCGGAATACACCTTCGATGTCTCCCGCCTCTGGACGAGGATGATCAATCGCGTTGCAAGCCGATTGTAGCTGAATCGAAGTATTTCAGGATTCTTGGCAATGATGTCACGAGCACCTTTTGGAGAACAAAGCTCTTCAAGTAGTGCTGCCTTTGGTTCAAAATTGTTGCTAATACTGTAGCCCAACAAACGGGGCCAGCCCATAAGAAGTTTCAGAATTTTCACCTTCTGAACACCAAAACCTTGTAGCCAGCCAAAGGTTAACTGCAAATTTTGCTCGATGCTATAGCCAAGAATTTGAGGATATGTGGCCACTGCCTTGGCAACTTGACCTTCCGTGAGCCCCAAGTCCAAAAGGTATTGAACGGTAGGTTTCAAGTTTTGCTCGATGCTGTAGCCAAGAATTTGAGGAGATGTGGCCACTGCCTTGGTAACTTGACCTTCCGTGAGCCCCAAGTCCAAAAGGTATTGAATGGTAGGTTTCAAGTTTTGCTCGATGCTGTAGCCAAGAATTCGAGGAAATGTGGCCACTGCCTTGGCAACTTGACCTTCCGTGAGCCCCAAGTCCAAAAGGTATTGAACGGTAGGTTTCAAGTTTTGCTCGATGCTGTAGCCAAGAATTCGAGGAGATATGGCCACTGCCTTGGTAACTTGACCTTCCGTGAGCCCCAAGTCCAAAAGGTATTGAATGGTAGGCTTCAAGTTTTGCTCGATGCTAAGGCCAAGAAATTGAGGATATGTGGCCACTGCCTTGGTAACTTGACCTTCCGTGAGCCCCAAGTCCAAAAGGTATTGAACGGTAGGCTTCAAGTTTTGCTCGATGCTAAGGCCAAGAAATTGAGGATATGTGGCCACTGCCTTGGCAACTTGACCTTCCGTGAGCCCCAAGTCCAAAAGGTATTGAACGGTAGGTTTCAAGTTTTGCTCGATGCTGTAGCCAAGAATTCGAGGAGATATGGCCACTGCCTTGGTAACTTGACCTTCCGTGAGCCCCAAGTCCAAAAGGTATTGAACGGTAGGCTTCAAGTTTTGCTCGATGCTAAGGCCAAGAAATTGAGGATATGTGGCCACTGCCTTGGTAACTTGACCTTCCGTGAGCCCCAAGTCCAAAAGGTATTGAACGGTAGGCTTCAAGTTTTGCTCGATGCTAAGGCCAAGAAATTGAGGATATGTGGCCACTGCCTTGGTAACTTGACCTTCCGTGAGCCCCAAGTCCAAAAGGTATTGAACGGTAGGCTTCAAGTTTTGCTCGATGCTAAGGCCAAGAATTGGAGGAAATGTGGCCACTGCCTCCAAAACTTGATTTTGTTCCAACCCCAAGTCCAACAGGTACTTGAATGTGGGTTGCAAAGTCCTCTCTACTGATTTTCCACAAAACAAAGCTTTCAGGTGAGTCAATGCCGGCTCTTGTATTTCGAATCCTTGAGCAATAAGGAATCTTGATATCTCTTCGCTGGTATTGCCACCTGCTCCAACCATGTCTGTTGAGGATGCAAGCTGTTGCGCCTTGGATGACAGCTTGATGGTATCGCTTGCTGTGTGGATTCTAAGTCGATTTGCAGCGCTTGGATGCAACAGTCCTCCAAGTGCAGAACTCTTGATTTGAACCAACACATCCATCAAAACCTTTGAAAGTGACCTCACATCCCCTTGTCGCCAGGTGTCGATTTTGACCCAAAGAGCATTGTTTTTCAAAGGCCTGCTGGTTGTATGGCTGATGCGAATAACACAAGACCCCTCTGGTGCATAGGTTAACAGTGCCGCATTTTTTTTCCGGTCTCTGGCCATTCCCTCCTTTCCCTCATGCCGCCAGTATCCATCATATTCCACAAACAAGGCCGCATCTTTATCCTTCAGGACCCCATAAATACTCAGGTCTGGTTCCAAATAGTTCCCACCCCACCCCTCAGGGGCTGGGAAGTTGCGGAACATCTCTGCGATAGGTGCCGTTTCTGGAACAGTCAAAGCAGCCAACTGCATCAACAACTCAGCCTCCGCAATGCTGTTCATGTACTGCCGGGGCCGTCCTGAAAACACACACTGTATGCATCCAAATCAGAGACCACACTGGTTGAGTTGATGTCTTCTGCTGTACTGTGTCTTCTAATACATACATTACGACTTTCACCATATTTCACCAAAACTATACAGATGGGGACGGTCAGCATGAGCCATGAGGCCAATGTTGGATTGGATATATGATCGCAGTAAACAGCCGTTTTCCTGCAATTTTGTTTATATAATGTTTTCAAGTTATAATTGGCCAACATTTAGACAGAAAATAAATAACCTCTAGCAGTTTAGCTCCCAAATGGCCTCTTCCAGTCCCATGCTGGAATATTCAATGCTCTTATTCTGGCTTCAGAAGGACAATGAGTGAGTGGGTTCCATTCCATATTTCTCTCAATGATTGGCCCGTACAGTATAGTATATAAATTTACGCTAAAGTTACAAGCCACCAAAATTGGACTAGTATTGCGGGGTGTGTCAATCCCTCTGGAATTCCTTCCAGAGTGTGCGTGTATACGTCCCTTACACAAGCCTTCCATTTTCGTGGCAGTCTGAGTCGAACCCTACACCATCTTTGGCTGGCAAGATTCTTGATACTAGCCAACAAACACTATATGATAATCTGGATGACCCCACCACAAGCTCACCAACACTCAACTCTTCGAACATCTGTGTTGATAACCCCCTTCCTACGCCTTACTCACACTCCTTGCTGGTTCGAAGCGGAAAAATGTGAATGTCTTTGGGGATCATCGTCATCCATCATTGGGATGGAAAAAACACACAAATGTAGGAGAATAGTGATATTGATGGGTGGATAATGGTGGTTAATAGTGGTTAATAATGGTTAATAATGGTTAGATCACCATTGCTACTGACCCAAGTAAATCACCCCATGTTTCTGGATAAATCACAACGACCTCAGTGCAACATCACTGGAATAATGGTGAGTATGGGTAACAATCCCATAATGCCAAGATTTTTCAGGTTGGTGAAATCTTATAATCTATCCATCTGTTTGTTGGTTATATAATGCTATATAAGTTAGAAACCTATCTGACCCATCTTAGTGTTAAGAGCTCCACCTCCGACGGAGATCCTTTTCGGAACCACTCCGGCACGTAGGCCGGAGCCAACGCCAGCGGCAACAGCAAGAAGCACCCGAGCAGCGCCCAGCGGCGCCGTGCCATGGCTCAGACAGACCGATACCGCGCACCCCTACGTGCTGATGAGGGAATCTGGTTACCCAATGAAACCTACCCAAACCTGATTTAGATGGGTTCAAATGTTCAAATCACTAGTCATTAATAGGTTCTATTACTTCTTGGTCACTTTGGGTATTCCGAAATGGAGATTTAAGTTTGCTTTTTTCCGAACATATGAGTCAAGGCAAGGTGAGAAGTAGCTTTTATGGAGGAAGTGCATGAAATGATCGCTGTGTACATCACAGTTTCCTTTCCCGCAAGAACATATCATTTAAGATTATATATAATATATATATATAATTATAATTAATTATATATATGGAGGTGTTGTGGGTGTTTCTCCAACAAGAACCAGCAATAACACATCCGTAGGTTCCTGGCCATCTATACACGCGCTCCCTCAACGACCCATTCTTCTAGCCTTGATGTTGGAAATTGGAGGCGAACATCGTTGGACTTTGCAGCACACATGGCATGATTACCCGGAAGATTGATCAAAATCGTAGCTTGGAAAAGTGAAATGTATATGAATTATATATTATGTATAAACTTATAAACATATATTATTATATATTATCATATATTGTATATCTGCAGCATGCCATTTCAGCACTGCACCACTGAATATGGCAAAGCTCTATAACACTTTGCTGCGATATGCTACGACAGGTTGCCACCTGGGAATCCCCACGCACAGTTCGGGCGGTCTTCCGTTTCTTACTGGGCGTGGCCGCCTCACACCAGCTGAAAACGGTTGTTGGATGCTGGACAAATCGTAAGACACTGTTGTTGTGATTAAGAGATATATATATATATAAATGTATTTAAAGGTGTTTTAACTAATTAATGCCTGGTATGAGAAAAGTTGTTCAACATTAGAAATGGGTGGTGAAATAATCGCAATTCGGGAAATTTCAGCAATGAAAAGGTCAGTGACAATGGTCCTGTTTGACACATATCCTGGCATAGTTAGCGATGACATGCGATGACAAATGGGGCCAATTGTCATTCCACCTTTCTGTTCAGCAAATCTAGGTCACCGAGGACATCTGATCTATGGCATAGCCAGCACATCAGCCAGCCAATCTCGGAGATGCAATCAGATAAGCAACCAACCGTAACAATAGGACAACAATGAAAAATGACAATGTGTTCAAGATCAGCAACCTGAAACATGTTTCACAACTCCCAACTATTTCTTCAGGTCATCAGTTCATGTCACCGACCAAATCATGGTCATGGCCATTCTTAGATCTTGGATACTCCGCAAAGAAATATGTGTCTTGCTTTTGAAACTGTCTAGTATTACATATATATATATATTATTTTATATATCAGTATATCCTATATTATATTAATAGATATAGATATATAGATATCCCTCCGTATATCACCAAAATAAACGTCTTCAAGCCCCCATCCAAGGGTTCCAATAGCAACGAAAGCCCGTGTGTTGAAGGCTCGGAGGTCACCTCGCGCACGTCACTCTTGGAACCGTTGGAGGAAAGGCTCTTGGTCTGTCGCGGTGCAGGATTTCACGGGATGATGGGATGGGGTGATCATCGTGTCATACCAGGAAACCAATGGTGACTTAACTGGCAAACATGGTGACTTAGTGGAATTTAATGGCAAACATGGTGACTTAGTGGAATTTAATGGCAAACATGGTGACTTAGTGGAATTTAATGGCAAACATGGTGACTTAGTGGAATTTAATGGCAAACATGGGGACTTAGTGGAATTTAATGGCAAACATGGTGACTTAGTGGAATTTAATGGCAAACATGGTGACTTAGTGGAATTTAATGGCAAACATGGTGACTTAGTGGAATTTAATGGCAAACATGGTGACTTAGTGGAATTTAATGGCAAACATGGTGACTTAGTGGAATTTAATGGCAAACATGGTGACTTAGTGGAATTTAATGGCAAACATGGTGACTTAGTGGAATTTAATGGCAAACATGGCGACTTAGTGGAATTTAATGGCAAACATGGCGACTTAGTGGAATTTAATGGCAAACATGGTGACTTAGTGGAATTTAATGGCAAACATGGTGACTTAGTGGAATTTAATGGCAAACATGGTGACTTAGTGGAATTTAATGGCAAACATGGTGACTTAGTGGAATTTAATGGCAAAAATGGTGACTTAGTGGAAAATGGCATGGTGACTTAGTGGAATTTAATGGCAAACATGGTGACTTAGTGGAATTTAATGGCAAACATGGTGACTTAGTGGAATTTAATGGCAAACATGGTGACTTAGTGGAATTTAATGGCAAACATGGTGACTTAGTGGAATTTAATGGCAAACATGGTGACTTAGTGGAATTTAATGGCAAACATGGTGACTTAACATGGTGACTTAGTGGAATTTAATGGCAAACAACGACTTGAGTGGAATTTAATGGCAAACATGGTGACTTAGTGGAATTTAATGGCAAACATGGTGACTTAGTGGAATTTAATGGCAAACATGGTGACTTAGTGGAATTTAATGGCAAACATGGTGACTTAGTGGAATTTAATGGCAAACATGGTGACTTAGTGGAATTTAATGGCAAACATGGTGACTTAGTGGAATTTAATGGCAAACATGGTGACTTAGTGGAATTTAATGGCAAACATGGTGACTTAGTGGAATTTAATGGCAAACATGGTGACTTAGTGGAATTTAATGGCAAACATGGTGACTTAGTGGAATTTAATGGCAAACATGGTGACTTAGTGGAATTTAATGGCAAACATGGTGACTTAGTGGAATTTAATGGCAAACATGGTGACTTAGTGGAATTTAATGGCAAACATGGTGACTTAGTGGAATTTAATGGCAAACATGGTGACTTAGTGGAATTAATGGCAAACATGGGACTTATGGAATTAATGGCATGGTGACTTAGTGGAATTTAATGGCAAACATGGTGACTTAGTGGAATTTAATGGCAAACATGGTGACTTAGTGGAATTTAATGGCAAACATGGTGACTTAGTGGAATTTAATGGCAAACATGGTGACTTAGTGGAATTTAATGGCAAACATGGTGACTTAGTGGAATTTAATGGCAAACATGGTGACTTAGTGGAATTTAATGGCAAACATGGTGACTTAGTGGAATTTAATGGCAAACATGGCGACTTAGTGGAATTTAATGGCAAACATGGTGACTTAGTGGAATTTAATGGCAAACATGGTGACTTAGTGGAATTTAATGGCAAAAATGGTGACTTAGTGGAATTTAATGGCAAAAATGGTGACTTAGTGGAAAATGGCAAAAATGGTGACTTAGTGGAATTTAATGGCAAACATGGTGACTTAGTGGAATTTAATGGCAAAAATGGTGACTTAGTGGAATCTAATGGCAAAAATGGTGACTTAGTGGAATCTAATGGCAAAAATGGTGACTTAGTGGAATTTAATGGCAAACATGGTGACTTAGTGGAATTTAATGGCAAAAATGGTGACTTAGTGGAATTTAATGGCAAAAATGGTGACTTAGTGGAATCTAATGGCAAAAATGGTGACTTAGTGGAATTTAATGGCAAACATGGTGACTTAGTGGAATTTAATGGCAAACATGGTGACTTAGTGGAATTTAATGGCAAACATGGTGACTTAGTGGAATTTAATGGCAAAAATGGTGACTTAGTGGAATCTAATGGCAAAAATGGTGACTTAGTGGAATTAATGGCAAACATGGTGACTTAGTGGAATTTAATGGCAAACATGGTGACTTAGTGGAATTTAATGGCAAAAATGGTGACTTAGTGGAATCTAATGGCAAAAATGGTGACTTAGTGGAATCTAATGGCAAACATGGTGACTTAGTGGAATTTAATGGCAAACATGGTGACTTAGTGGAATTTAATGGCAAAAATGGTGACTTAGTGGAATCTAATGGTGGTTCATGTGAATTTATTGGTGATGAATGGCCCGAGTTATACCAGTTATAAGTACTAAGAAGTCACCCCATAGACATAGAATGTATATATATATAATCCCATAGAAATAACCAGTTATAACTAATTGTTATGGCCTTAACTGTAGTGGTTGCATGGCAACTTAGAAGGGAAAAAAGACAAATAATAGGGAACAACTAGGAAAAACATTGAGAAACAATGATGTTTTGATTTGTTTTGATATGTTTTGCGGATAAACACAACATACACCTGGGTCAATAATAGGACATAATAGGACATAATAGGACTTCACTGGTCTCAAATCTTGGGTAGGTACACCAATATATCACCCATCAATATCTGGTGACGTCGGCCAGTGAAGTAGCGTTTTATTTAAACATATTTGGCGCTGACTGGGACAGATCAAGGGAAGGTTCAACACAAAGTGCTTATTTATGGGGTTTCCTAAAATCGTGTTCCTCTATCCCAGACCATTGGTTTTCCATGGTTATCCCATTTATCACAACAAATCTTATTTATGGGGTTCCTAAAATAATTGGTTTTGCCATAACAATCACTAAACCGAAACTATTTATTGGTTTTGCTATTGATAAATAGCCACTTTTGGATGACTTTGGGGTTCCCCCATGGGTTCGGAAATGCTCTACACAAGTTTTTTCCTCAATATTCTCTTTCGCTACCTGATGGCCGGCAGAATGTAGCCGAAGGCCTTCAGATTAAGCTGCCCTACCCTATTTTGGATATAGACATGGTAGGGGTATCCAAGACACAAAACATGCAAAAGCTTGTGGTCTATCTATAATATTGTCTACGCTTACTTGAAATGAGTTGCAGCACGCTTGAAGCGGGCTGGATCTTCATTGGGATGAGCTGAAGCTTTCTTGAAATGACTTGACTCTCATTTGCGATGAGCTGGGTCTCATTTGGGATGAGGAGAAGCTTGCTTGAGATGCGCTCCCATTGTCACAAATGGCAATGGTCTCAAAATGGAAACCCAAAAATCTCCAGCGGTCACGGTTTTACCATCACTCTCCCACTTCCCCGCACTACCAAATGCCCACTACAAATTGATGATATTCTTTTCTACCGACGTCCACTGGCAAAAAACAGGACCCTTGCCAACCAGCAATTTGCTACAAAGTCTGGTGACTTTAGATGAACAGAATTTCAAATCCAAAAAAAGGAGGGCCCGGGTGTGGCTCAGATTAGGTCGTTGCCGGCATGGCACTCCAGCTTGTAGTTTCGAGGCCGGAAACAAACCCCACGACGCCACCCTCGCAGATTGAAGCGGGGCCACCTAGCCAAGTTCGTTCAAAGACACTTGAAATTATAAAGTTCCATGAGGTCTCTGGACCCCGAAAACCAAACACAAGGCCAACATCCTTCCAAATTAGCCGAACAAGGGCCTAACATAGGCTTATAACATAGGCCCAACAACCCCTTCAAGTCAATCCCAACCGAAGCCTTAAGGATTTCACACATTGTTCCGCCATCAACAGGGACGGCATGCGCTCAGAGCCATACGACTGCTGTTGCTGCTCCACGTCGTGGTAAAGCTCCTCGCACAACCTCTTTGGTTTTTGCCCTTCGGCAGGGAAATGTCCGAGAGCTTCCAAGCGCATGGTGATTTCTTCCAGCGACTTGGACAAGTCAATGACCCAACAGCCTTGAGAGTTCGTCGCCTCTCTTGCGATGCCTCCGACTTGGCCTTCCTGGGACCCGGGAGAGACATGAAATCTAAACTCTCCATCATGCATTCTCACTTCTTATGCAGCTATATCCTGATGCATATCCAACACATCAGTGGCAATCGAAATAGGAAAAAATCCAGACAGATCCAGAATGGAAAGGTGAGTGTGCAATTTTGTAAATGGATTTTTTGGTGGCTAACCCACTCTTGCCGGAAAAATTATAGAAACCTGAGTAGATTCGGTTGTTGGAGCTGTCGCTGTTCCACAGCATCTCTGAATACGTCGCTTTCCCACAGTTATGGCCCGAGTTATACCAGTTATAAGTACTAAGAAAACCCAATTTATAGATATTTATAGAATGTATAATCCCATAGAAATAACCAGTTATAACTAATAGCCATGGCCTTAACTGCACCAACTTTGACCCTGCTAGTTGTGCTTTGGAAGCGATACCCGGCAGCAAGCATTTACTGCTTTGAAATGTCATTTCCAGGACTAAGAAAGAGACATTTGCTGGGGAATGGCAATCCCTGGTGGGAAGAAGAAAAACAACACCCCACAACCAGAGGGGCAATATAATGCTGCGTTTTCGAAGTCTGGCGAGAAAAGGGACATGGTCCATGGTGAAGTGTCGTGAAAAATCAACCTAGGATCAGGCTGGCCTTGGACAATTCTTTGGCCTGCTTGAAGGAGACAGAACCTGGGAGTTTCCCACCGGGGTCGTATCTCCAGGCATCAGAAAACACCTCACTGGAGGTATTTTCAAGTGTATTTTCCATGTATTTTCGACCAGTTACGGAGTTTTATCATGTTTTACCCATGAATCTGTAGGTGGCTCCAGTTGTGAAGCTTTTACCCATGAGTGATTGGCTACAGGAGAGTCACTATGTTTCATGGGAATGTGATTCATCCCCAAGATTTTGAATATGATATCCACATCTATCCCTACTAGACCCCCATAGCGATATCCTCGGGAAATCATGTGGGTTATTTGATTTTTTGATATCTCTGTTTTATCATCTAACAAACAATTCTATCACATGCCCTTAAATTAAATGAATGCGTGTGTATGATTGGTAGCTGATACTCCAATTAAATATTGCGTTTTTTGTTCAGACATCTTGTGACAATGGGTTTCCCAAATAGGTATATAATCATAATATTGGTGTCAAATCAACATGTTTGGTGCTTAAATTTACTGGTTTCTTATGAAAAATCCCCATTTGTGTATTATATGCCATTGATATTCCCACTGCCTAGGTATGCCAAGGTCTTGTTAATCAACATAAGTTCCCACCACTTATTTTGATTGGATCCCTATGTTTTGTTAATTGCATCTCTGTTTCTCTGGGTTACATCCTCGATGATTCTTCTCCCACGAAAATCTCATATTCCCTGCTGTTCCCAAGCTTTTGTTACTTAAATCAGTTCAATCGTCATCTGCTTCCACTTCTATCAATATATGTACCACTTAAATGGGCTAAATCCCATTAAACCCCTATATAATCACTATTTTTCCAATGATTTTCCCAGTGATTTCCCATTTTCCCATGTTTTCCCCATGAATTTTCTCATGATTTTCCCATGGTTTGCCCTGGATGCACCGCCAAGCTGTTCCCCCCCGTAGCTCCGCTCCGCATGGCGCCGCACGTTGGATCTGCTCGCGCAGCAAGGCGCGGCGGCCCTCGGGATTCGCCGCGGCCGCCGGAAGCTCCACCTGAGAACGTGCTCGAGGACTTGGCCCCAATGGGATATCCGTAGTCGTAGGGGATCTATAGTTTTTTTGGATATAGAACTATAAGAAACATCATCATGATATATATATATATAGGATTATATATATGGAAAAATAAAAAAATCAAATCAATGGGATATCGTAATCGTAGTCGTAGGGGTTTAATGGAATATACAACTATAGGATATGATAGATATGTCCAGTATATTCAGTATATACTAATATGGGTAATATATGTATATATATATATATATATTCATTAATGGTGATTATCCAAGATATATAGGATATATAACTATAAGAAGCATCACAATGATATATAGGATATATAACTATGATATACAACATCATAGGATATATAACTATATGGTAGACATATCCAGTATATATATATATACTAATGGGTAATACATATATATATACACATGTATGAAAATTGTCCAATATCATGCTAACCATAATGAATGGCATGGCCGTTTACCAATAATAAATCAATGGATTGGTCTAAGGGAAAAATTACCGGAACCCCCCCCATAATTCATTGGAAAATATATGATTATAACTGGTATTTCGGGCCACAACTGCAATCAATGGGATATATTATGATATACTCATTGTTCTACCAACATATATGACGTAGATCCAGAATTATATACCCGTTATACCTACTATTAAATCTGTGGGATATATTTCTTTATAGCGGAAAATTATGGAAAATTCCTCCATATATATGGGGAAATTGCACGTTATGGATATATAACAATGATATTACAGGATAGAGATGTATCAAGGGGAATTAATCATCAACGGGGATAAACATAGGGAATTATATGGGATTGGCACAATTTCATCCAAAGAACATGGTCAAAAAATGTCAAACACCTGAAGATGTCTGGTTTTGATAGATATGTGCAACATGATGATGTAAGTGCCATGTCCAAATGCATTGAATGGGTGTAACATGATTTAAGCAACAATTGCAGGAATATCTTGGGAATGCTATTGGATATTATATACAGATAGATAGGCATGTAAAATCCAATATATATATATATAGATGTGATGGATTCCAAAAAAAAACAACCAACCATGTGAATACAATGGGAATACAAAAGGATATTCATATATGATGTTTAAGGATTAATGATTTGTTCTAAGCAATGGGATATTCAATTGGAAATAGCCATCAACGGGGATGACAAGAGGGATTATTATACAACAGGTATAATATATATATATATATACATATCTAATCGAACGAATAGCAACCATGGGAATATCATGGGAATACCATGGGATATACGATCCAGTTGTGAATGCAATCCAACACATGGAGTTATAAACATCATATACCCTCTGGTAAACTAACATGACTATGGAAAATCACCTTTTTTGATAGAGAAATCAACTACAAATGGCCATTTTCAATAGCTCACCGTTAAATTACCAGAGGGTACGTATAAACATGGTGCATAAAGAAAGGGTGAATCACCTACCATATAAAAAGTGGGTTTCATTGACGAAACTGGGAATATCAAACCGAACCATTTCTGGTTGGTGGTTCAGCCCTACCCCTCTGAAAAATATGAGTTCGTCAGTTGGGATGATGAACTTCTCAATATATGGAAAAATAAAAAAATGTTCCAAACCACCATTCAGATTTGATGCAATGTGGTGGGTAAAAAAACTGGTTGGTGGTTTTAACCATTTTGACACATATGAGTTGGTCAATGGGAAGATGACATCTCATATACTATGGAACATACAAAATGTTTGAAACCACCAATCAGAAAATGTCTCGGTGAATTTTGGATACCGATGCTGCAATACTGCGGGTACCATGTAAATGGGATTCCACCTGATTCCATGAAAAATTATCTGTGTGAATACAAGCGACCAATGGTACATTACGATCTTCTCCCCTACTCTCCCTCCATGTTCAACCTCAAACCTACTTTCATATTTGAATCTTGAGGAATGTATTGGCTCATTGCTGTTCCTGAATTGTTACAGTAGGTTACAATGGCTGTTTGCATAAATGGGAAAATTATAGTAAGGCTTAGTAAGGGTAAAATGGAACAAACATAGTAATCACTATTAATTATCCATTATTAATAATCACTATTAATTATCATTATTTACTATCATGATTACTCCTATAGTAAGGGTGTTTGGAAAGCATACGTCATCCATTGTAATCCATCTGTATCAGTAAGGGTCAACAGGATCAACCCATACCAACCCATATCAACCCCAACCCCAGACGGACCTGCAGAATGCCCTTGGAATTGTCATCCTGGCAATCCGTAGGGGGGATGATGTGGCTGTTTTCAGCACGTTTCTCATTGAGTTGAGCCCTGAAACTGGGTGAATTTATTCATAATTTTCCCAACAAAGTGTCCTGGGATATTTCTCACATTTTGCTTGAAATTGATTTTTTTAGCGAATTCCTAAGGCCCATGAAATTGGCTAATCTATGGTTAATCCGTTCATCTATAGTTAATCTACGTATGGTTAATAATGTTTAACCATAGATCATGGTTGATTTTGGTTAGTAATGGTTAACCCTAAACCCTAAAGTACTAATAATTATGGTTAATCATGGTTACCAATGGGGTTTATCTATGGTTATCTATGGTTTATCTATATGGTTAACCCTAAACCCTACAGCCTGTTTCTACGTAGTGGTTAATAGTGGTTAATCGTATGCACTGGACAAACACCCCGCAGACCCCGATCGGGGTCCTCGTCGGACTCCGGCTCGTCCCAATCGAAGCTCAAGGACGGAGCCATCAAGCGGTCGGCCCTGCAAGGGTAAGCCATGGTAAGCCACAGTCGATGGGGCGCCTAGTTAGCTAAGTTGGTGAACTTAGCTCCAATTTCACAATGATATCAATGATTTATGGTAGATATATATATTGACATACTTACGAACTGGTGAACATAAAGCAACTATAAATATAACTAGGTGGTGAACAGAAGTGGCTGAATTAACTATGGTTTATGGTAGATAAAACGAACTAGTTCATGGGGATTATTTCATAGTTTATAAAGCAACATAAAGCAAGTATAACTATCATCACAATAATAGTGAATGATACGCAAATAACTATGTTTACATGGGGTTATATACCAACTTATAAAACTGGGGGGCACCATCCTCAAGAGAGCTAACTTGCCAAGTTGGAAAGTTCGCTAGGTGAATTAGTAAGCTAAGTGGGGGTTATAGTGAGAATTACCATAGTTGGGGTCACAAAGCAACAAGCACAACATAACATACTCTAGGGGCAGCATCTTGTGGGCGATAGACTGTCTTGTTAAGCCAGTTAGATGTTTCTGATGTTTATTAATGTGCTTGTCACAAACTATGAAGCAGGTATAAACAGCTTCTATGTGCTTGGTGATAATCAACCAATCAAACGATTAAACCTCCAGTGTTGGCGAGGGTTACCAATCCCCAACGAGTCGATTCAGGCTGGAAAACAACTGATCACTGACGTCAGATACCAGCAATGCTTTAATGATTCAATGGATCATAACATAATATATTGATATATAATGATCTATTTTTTGGTGTATATATATATAATGCACATCCGGTGCTTAGTTTCACTACATAGATTAACCAGTTTGAAACTCTCATGTGATCGGAGGAAGGAATTACTTACAATATCACCATCGTGATTCCCATCGTTGATGGTGGAATTCACATCTTTGATGGCAAAAATTGCCTAGTTCTGGATGCTTTAATGGAGGTTTCCTGAAACCGTACCCCTAAATCATCCAGTAATTAGACCATCTGAGTCCAGCCATGGTTTTACTCCGGCATCTTAAGAAACCCCCAAATCCCCATTGCTGGTGGCCAAATTTGCTTATGTTTAATGTTAAAATTCCCATTGGAGTTTATCATTATCATTCATTAACAATGATTAGTAGATCTATCATTATCATTATCTTTATCATTCATTTATCAATACCCATAGGATCCATGTATGTCATATATGGTAACATGTACCATCAATATACCCCACATGTTAGCATATATACCATACATGGATCCTATGGGATATGTTTTATGGTTAAATCAGTGTTAAATCTTCATGGAAAATCCCCAAGCTGAATGCTACTGATAAAATCGACCCAGATCCTGACATGGCCAGGCGACATGGTCTGCAGGTCTTGACCATGACTTGACAACGCATCGATTTTGTCCTGCAAAGTGGGCGACCGTTGCGACCCAAGTTGGTATGCATCCAATATATATATATATATATATACATATCATATATATATATATACATATCATATATATATATGTATCATATATATATATGATATATATATATATGTATAATATATATATATATATGATATATATATATATATGAGATATATATATATATATCATATATAATTGATACATATATATATGATATATATATATATATATATATATATATGATGAGTATATATATATATGATATGTGTATATATATATATGATATGTATATATGTATATATGATATGTGTATATATATAGATATGATATGGTCTAATTACGGAAACTACATCTATATATTATACAGTAACGGAGGCACCTTTTTATGAACTTGCAAGCATTTGTGAGGCACCACCTTTCAGAATCACCCCCTTCAATCCCCACTTGTGCTGGAATCCCGTCCCAGTTGTGGTAAAACTCTGAATCTTGCGTTAATTCCTGGTTGGTGGTTTTAACCATTTTGAAAGATATGAAAGTATATATAATATGTGAAACCACCAACCAGATTAAATTCGCTAAATCACATATTCGGCTGCAAAAACCATGTCAAAGCCCTGAGTGCATAGTGAAGGTCTAATATTGGGCCGATTTTGGATACCCTGCATGTGTTGTTTACAGCAAGCTGTTTAGTCTGCATACCGTGTCTCATTTATTGCAACAACATGTATCATCCATTATTTTCCACTATTCTATATCCATGATTATCCACTATTATTCATGATTCTTCATTACTATCCAGACATTCTGTACCAAAAATGCGATGATGTTTCTTGTGACTGGCTCCCAGAATGGCAGGTTACATAGCTTTGGTCCACATGTTTGTCATGTTGGTCATTTTGTTTGCCATGTTGGGGATATTCCAAGTTCAGTTTCATCTTCTGGTGGTGAAACTGCCACGTTTGTTGTTCAAATCCCTATTTTTCCACTGTTTCTAGTGGTCAAAGTCTCAATTGCTGGTTGAAACCTTACTGTAATGAGTTTTATTCTGTTGCATCCCCCTTTTTCAGGTTTTATCCCACATTAAGATCCCAATTTGTGGATGCTGCTCTGACAGATGGCATCTCTGATGAGGTGCAAGTTCAGGAAACAGATACGTTTCGGCTGCACATGGCGCATGTCGTCCATGCACGGCTGCGGGCACCGGTTGGACGAACACATTAGCGACATAACCTGACCGTGGCGCAAAGGAACTGGATTCTTTCCCGGCTGATGCTGATCGGCCTCGATGGTCAAAAGCCAAAGCTGCTGTCCTTTCGGACGTGGGCGCTGCAGCGTCCTTCAAAGTTGCCGTTTGGCAGTATCCTGGTCTAAAATGTCAGGAAGCTGGTTCAACCATGGTTCAACCCATCCAAAAAGACCTGCCAAAAAGACATACCATCCATTTCCCATCTCCCATGCGCCTTTTTGGACTCCAGCTGCCGGCTCAGTCGTTCCTTCAGCAAAGCAGTGGCACCTGGCCAGAAATGGAGATGGATTTCCAAGAAAAACCACAGGATGGGACCCCCAAGATTGCAAAGTTGAGATAAAGCGGCTTCACATCCTGCAGGAGTTTTTAATCACGCAAAATCTGGCGTTGTTGATGGAATGCCATTTATGTTTTTCACGAAATCACTTTATAGCTTTGATGCTTCACATGCGACGTTCAGGTTTTGCAACTTCCGCAGCTTCACTCATTGAAAAATATCTTGAAACAAAGACATGTATTTCCCAACATTTTCCAACTCTAACAGCTATATGAAAAAAAACAACAAAAAATATGTATATAGAGATAGATAGATATTGTATATATATATATATATAACTTCATTTCAATCAACATACCAAAACCCTTAGAATCCCAATCCTGGATCACAGCACCTTCCGGGGCCGTTGGAGTTGTGACCTTGGGCTGCGGGAAGTTCAGTTCCATTTTGAACGTGGCATCCCGCAGGGCCTCAAAGCCACGTTTGTTCGGCACCACAGGGCCCGTTGATTGGGGAAAATTCAGGAAAAAATGGGAACATCTGCCGGGTGGGGCCCCATAGTTAGCTAAGTTGGTTTATAACTATAATAACAATAGTGTATGATGATTATCATATATTTTGATGGGATTATAAACAAAGTTATAACTAGGGGGCCCCATCCTGTGGGAAACATATGGAAAAAATAAGATTTCACGAGGAAAAAACAAGGGGAACATTTTGAACTTCACTGCCAAAAACATGTATCTATCTGGGATTTTATGCAGTGAAATGGATTGACAATGGCGGATTTAACTGGGAAAAATGAAACAACTTAGGATTTGATCGAAAGAAATTGGATTTAATTCGGCAAAAAATGGGTTTGACCCGAAAGAAAAGGGATCTTATCCAGGAAAAATGCGGGGATTGAACTTTCTAAGGAAACAAGGGGAGTGAAGCAGGAACAATTGGAATGTACAACTGGGAGACTTTAGAAAGACTTCGCCTGAGATGAGAAACAACATATGGAACACATAGGACACTCACTGCTAACAACTCTTCCGTTTGCAACTTTTATGTTCCGTTAACTTTGAAAATCATGGAAAGACATGCGGTCTGACGCAATCAACAAGGAAAACCAACATTGGTATAATGCAAAATTCAATCAACATGTTGATGATACCTGCAGGTAGCAAATGTTGAAACTGAGACTTAGCAAAAGACATTTTGGGATTTGGGCAGCAGTTGGTGGGTCAAACCAAACATTTTCGGACCTAAAAACCATTGGTTTCCCTTTCCCCACCAAACACAATAACACACTGGTGCTCCAATGACTTGGTTGATATATTGAGGTTTCCCCATGGAGAAATCATGAGGAATTCCAAACTCATCCAACATGGCTCATACGTCGACGTAGTTACTATATGTCATCAATGGGAAAGCCATTGGTTTGGGATATCAATACTCTATAGTTAAGGCCATTTAATATAGTTATACCTGGTTATACGTGGTATTATACATTCTATAAATGGGGTTATAAGTACTTATAACATCTTATAACTGGTAGTCATAACTGCAACCAATGTGTTAATTAAATTCATGAAAAACAACAAGCAACAACTTCGACAGAGTCAATCATGGTTTTCCATAAAACACAACCAACTTTTCGCTTCAGGGAACACCACATCCCCCTTTTCAACGGCCATGCTGGATGGCCGTCGTAGCCTCTGCATGGCCGTTATCGAAATCGCAGGATCCAATTGATCATGGAGCTACGTTTAGACTAAACGGATTCCACAATCTTTGGGGCCTACTATACTAGGCCTATTTTAGGATATTCCCTGAAAAAGAACGGGCCAAACATCTATGGAATCGCTAGCTCCAATTTTTATCGTTTCCTGTTGCGCCGTTGATTGTAATCCTGGACGTGTTGAGAAAATATCAACCCCCGGCTACAAGCGACCAAGATGATCGGTGAAATAAGCAGCATGTCTATCCCCAATTTATTTCCATCCCCATGATCTCCCCATCCACAAAAAAGCATCCAATGAACAATTCTGGTTCCATTAAAGTCCATTAAAACACTCCCAAACCGTTGAAGTGAGATGCTTAAAATATATGGTTATTCATACTGTTTCGAAAAACATCGGACGTTTGAACATCTAAATCATCTAAGTTTCCTTTGACAGGTGGATATAGTCAGCAATACAGTATTCCCAAAAATATTCCGATATACCCATGATGTTGGGGATAGATATAGTGATATACCTATTAAATACCGAAGGATAGACATGGTATCCCAATATATAATGGAATAATTAGTTACCCGTAGTACCTATATTATTATATCTGGACAAATTACAATAATTTACAAACCTGACAAGTTCGGCTATTGTGGGATATTTCCCTATACTAACAATGATTCCAATGAGGTCGCAGTGAGGTCCTTATAACTAACTTAACTAACTTAACTATCGATCTATCTATCCATCTATCTATCGATCTATCTATCTATCTATATATATATATATATATGTGTACTTAACTATCATAAATCAGCTAGAAAAAACACGATAAATCCCATGACAATTCACCATTTTTGTTGGTTAAGTTACCATGTTCCCATGGTTATGCCTATGATACAATGTGCCCCCCCTAAATAATCTAAATAGCTAAGTTGGTTTATAACTCCAATAACTATGGTTTATGTTACTTATAACTATACTGGTTGGTGGTTTTAACCGTCTTGAAAAATATGAAAGTCAGATGGGAAGGATGACATCCCAGATATGAAATGGAAAATAACAAATGTTCCAAACCACCAACCAGTATAGTTAATGGGGCTTAACTATGGAAAATCACCATTTCTAATGGGTAAATCCACTATAAATGGCAATTTTCAATATCAAACTGTTCGTTTACCAGAGGGTAACTGGGGTGGCACCACATTGTATCCTTGCCCTCAAAACCACCAGCGCCATCGCTGGCCGCCTCTTCCACAGCCTTCTGTCGCTGCTGCGCCTGCTTTTGGCGGCCCTCCTCGTCAGAGGCCTGGGAGCCATGGAAAATGAGCCACTGGACGTGGGGAAAGGATGGGTTCATGAGGCTTTCATAGGATTCAATAAGCGTTTCATGTGTTTGTTTTAAATATGGTTTTATAGGAATTTATGCAAATTTCATAGGAAAACATATATTGTTTTAATGGATTCCAACAAAAACATATTTCAATGGGGGCTTAATGAACTCTAATTTGATGTAATTGGATCTTTCTTAATGGGATTCAATAAGATCTTTGGATTTTAGTATGCTTTTAATCGGATCCTAATAGGGCGTTCAAGCAGGAAACGCCTCTATTTAGTGGATTCAAACCATTCTAAAAATATGAGTCTTGTAAGTAGACTTGCATAACTACTGGGTTGCGGCAATCTTCTTCAATTCCGGCCATCTGCACTCATGTTTGTACATCCGCGTCCGTTCTTCACAACCATTGCCACGCCGGCAAAGCAATGGTTCCAATTCCCAAATGCATCATTCGTAAATTTTCTATTTGTAGATTTTTATAGATAATTCTCCCGCACTCTCATCTTCTCCCTACATACAGCCCAAGATTCCCAAATGTTTGAGTCAAATCCACCATTTTGTCAAAACCACCAAGATTCCCCAATCTTTGGGTAAAATCACATTTCTGATGGTTAGAGATTATCCCCTTATAGATGACTATTCCTTTTTCCGGTTTCTTATGATTATCCCATTCATTTTCCCTATTAAATCCCAAGGTTAGGCTAAATTACTAAAGCCCACATATGATAATTCCCTATATAAATGACAAACTGTCCCAGCATTGTTTTTATGCTAAAATCAGAATCAAAATCCCCATCTGATTATTCCATTCAACTTACTGTCCTTGTTTTCTGTCACCGAATGATGATTATGCCATATGGTTATCCCACTTATGATCCTATATGTTCTCATATATGTTCTCTATGATTGTTCCACTTACTATTCCCCATGGAACATGTCCCTATCTCAAGCTAATATATGTTTGGGACTAATCGCGTCTGCGGATGGGTCAAAAATATTGAGGAGACCCACAGTTGTTTGTCTATTTTTAGTGTTGACCATCTAATTTTTGGGGTATCCAAGTTTGATTAATATACCCATATGGGGATGGGTCAAAACCTATCAAATTACCATATTTTGGGGGTACCCTCTGGTAAACTTTCACATAACTATTGAAAATCACATTTTGTTTTATGAAAATAAACTATTTCTATGGCCATGTTCAATATCAAACTGTTGGTTTACCAGAGGGTAAGCATCCATAAGTTCCATCTTTAAGGTACCATTCCGGGCCCCGAAGCGAAAATCACCCCTCGTTCCGCACTTCGGCGCGCCTCCGCCTGGTTCTGCTCCACACCTTGGTTTGCGATCCAGGACTCAAATTGGGGATATCTTTTCCATTATATCAGAAAAATACCATTACGATATACCATATTATGGAATAGATATCATTAATACCATTATATCCATATATAGCCATCTATAGATAGTAACTATTGGTACCATATATCTGAATAAATTAAAATATTTCAACCTGAATTAAATCCATTTGGGGATGATTTCCCTTATTAACCATGATTAGGAAACAATAGTGTAATAATGGTATTATATCCCTATTACGAAAAATACCATAATAACCACATTAAGGATATAATGATAGTATATTACTAATGATAGGGATACAATAATATCATAGTATGGTATCATTAATTGGGGAAAAATAGTGTGGAAAAATATCATTAAGATATCATATTATTACCACACCATGTTTTCCCATCAATGTGTTCATTTATATGTCCATCACTATCCCATTGATATACTGTTGTGATATTGTTAATATGCAAAAAAACATTATTGTTACCATTTATTACCATGTTCATTAGATTACCAGAGAGTAATAGCAGTATCAATGATGGATTGTAATTGTCACTACTATTCTTACCATTTCCCCTATAATAAGTCATAATCCTCAGAAACATAAACCCAATCATAATCTTCAACAACATAGTCAACAAAGTAATTTTTGCAAAGATAACATTCACTTAAACAAAAAAAACTCTAAGCATTATTATATATAATCAACAATATCATTAATATACCATATAAAAATACCAAATATAATCATATCATTTAAATAATGTGGAAAATAGGTTTACAATTAATATAGATACCATATGTCTATATATATATTACCCCATTATATATTATAATAGAATGAGTCACCACATACAAGTGATGATATTAAGAGGAAAATATGGATAACACTTGTAACTATGATATATTATATGGTGATTAAAGCATTATAGATAATTTACCATATGTTATCACCATTAATTTACAATCATCATATATAAACCTATATATAGTTAATGATAAACATAAATTAAATAATCATATCATCTATAAACTATAATGGTGAGATTAAAAGTAAACATACCATAATCAGATCATCTATATAATCTATAAAGTGGTGATACAGCATATTACCATTTTTATCCATATGCAATATCATGGTCCACCCTTAATATACCATAACTGGTTGGTGGTTTAAACCCCTCTGAAAATATGAAAGTCGGATGGAATGATTCTTCCCAATATATGGAAAACTAAAATTCATGTTCCAAACCACCAACCAGAACATCATGGTCTACCCTTAATAATGGTAATCAATAATTCATAATATTGCATATTACCACAATTATGACATTATCCAGAAAAAAAAGTGTAAAAATAAATATTGCATATTACCAAAATTAAAATGGTTGATATACACCATTGTAATTATCCCATTATACTCATACCATTATATCATATTATATCCACCATTTTATCATACCATCATACATATTTGGGGAAGGAGATGATTATTGATAGTCATTGTGGATCATTCCCTCATTCCCTACTAAGCACAAGTAAGATATACCGATATACCATATTATATAATCATGAAAAATTGCCATTAATATATAGCATAATTTACCAAAACTGTTATTACCATTCTATCATGGTCTGCCCTTCCTATACCATCTGGTTGGTGGTTTCAACCCCTCTGAAAAATATGTACCATAAACCATGGTTATTGGAGTTATTCGAGTTATAAACCAACTTAGCTAACGAACTGGGGCACCACCTTGTAATTAAAATGATTGATATACACCGTTATAAATTATCCCATTGTACTCATACCATTATATCAACCAGCCATAGTTAAACCTTCGTTTTGCATATGGAAAGCAATGGTAATCCATGGTCTACCCTTAAAAATAATGGTATCCACCAACCAGCCATTATTACCCATATGCCATAATATACCATAATATATCATCATTAAAATTGCCATTAATATATATACCATTGTATCATGGTCTACCCTTAATAATAATGGTAATCACTAATTCATAATATTGCATATTACCATCATGGCATTATCAATAATCAAAACTTTCCGAATTCGAGCTGTGTATCTTTTGGGAAATATTCTAACTGCTGACATATTTTCTTGGAATATTCTAACTGCTATTATACCATTATTAGTACCATTATATCATTATTAGTACCACTATATCATTATACCATTATATCATTATTAGTACCATTAATATATACCATTAATATGTACCATAATATATACCATAATATATACCATTAAATATACCATTAAATATACCATTATATAGTACCATGATATCATTAGTGCCATATTATACCATTATAATATACCATTATTAGTACCATTATATCCCTTAATATACCAAAATCAAAAAAATGCCATCCAAGAGACTCAGGCGCCACTCGCCGCTCTTTGCCGCCGCCTCGAGGCGCTGCGGCGCCAGCAAGCCGCGCCGCACCTCGCGGCTGTTCAGCAGCTGCAACTCACGCGCCTGGCGTTGGAACCCCCCCGGCGTTGTCGCAACCGCCACGGAAAAAACGGTGAAATGATGGCTTGACATGGGTCGACCAGAGAAAGTGATGGTTTTGACCTGGTGAAATGCTGGTTTTACCGTAGTTTTACCGCAGTTTTACCGCAGTTTTACTCGGAAAATGATCGTTTTATCACATAAGATCATAAGATGGTGGTTTTATCAGATGCAACGTGTCATGGAGATGGAAGCGGGGCGAAACATGGGTGAATCGTGGGGAAACAAAGGACCTGAAGGGTTAAAAAAAACCTGCAGGAGTTGGGTGGTATAAGTCTCGTATATGTATGGTTGATGATTATATATAGGGGATTTGTCTATCCAGTATATTCAGAATTATCATTATTCCGTTTTTTCGAGTCCCTAATAACCAACCTGTCTACAGTTATGGCCCGAAATACCAGTTATAAGTACTAAGAAAACCACATTTATAGAATGTTTCTCATCCCATAGAAATAACCAGTTATAACTAATAGCCATGGCCTTAACTGTAGTATATGTATGCGTGTTTTTGAAAACTACTTACTTTAGATAGTTGGGTTTACACATTGATAAGGAATATCACACTTCTTTGTATGTTCACTATTGAAATTAGTCATGAGACAAAACCACACAGAATTGGGATACACTGGGGATGTAACAAACACTATGAACTTATGGGGATGATGCATTGTGTTGTTGTTTTAAGGAAAGAACTAAATATGGAAATACAGATTATGAATTGAACATATAACAATGTAACAACAACAATGTGATGTTGATTACAATAGACGATATGCATAATCGTATACCTATCCCTTGAAGAAATTATTCCAGGAATATTATCCCGAAAAAATATTCCATAACCTAGTTAGGACCTACTGACCTACTAGTTGCTATCTTGGAATATTTTTTTAAGGGATGATGGTTCACTGATCGACAGTAAGGAGTGTGGGCTGGTCTGGAGCAGCCTTGCTGCATCCCAAAATATCTTGCTCTTCTGCTTTCCTTTCACCTCACCGTGGCTGCGAAGAATGTCGTCCCGAGGCAAGTACCTGGCTGCTGCGCGCACTACGAATAAGCTGTCTACTGTGCGCTCGAGTACGGTGCCGCCTGTGCTTTTTGCTAGCTGTTGTTTCAGCTTCTTCGCTGCTATAAGACGTGTTTTTCCGGGGGTCGATGCAGATGGCGTGCCTGGCCCGATCCCAACTATCCAGCATGAACAGGCGCAAAATGCCCTGTCAAAAGCAGGAGCTTTCCATGCCGCGCGTTCGCCTGCGCCGAGTGCGCTAGTCAAGACTTCGGGCTCCCTGCAAGCGTCGCCATCACTGCCCGCTAGCACTGCACCAGCTTCAGCGGCTGAAGAAACGAGCTGCAGCAGAAAGAGCGTCGCTTGGTACCCTCTATTTGTGCTTCACTTATAGCACAGCAGCATGATAAACAGACAAATCATTATTAAATCATCTCAAGTGGTTCCCCCAAACCTTAGACAAGTTGGTGAAAACAATTATGACGATGTGAAATTAGGTGAACTACGTCGTGTTTGGTGGAGATCAATCGACAAATGGGTGGAATTTCGCCAGTGGGAGATGAAACTGGCACAAAAAATGAACATCTGCGGCTTTAATCAGAACACATTCAGCAAACCCGGTGCTTTCAGACCATAGGACTAAGTGATGTGGGTCCCATGTTTGATCCTCTTTTTCCGTTGGCTGAACCCCTAAATCTTTAAGGCTGAATCACATGTTTGGTGGGTCAAATCCGCCATTTTCCGAATCGGTTAACTGGCTTGCTACAATATATTCAATATATGAACCCCCATATTTTGGTTGGTTCAATTCCGGAACCCTGCGATTTTCAGCTGGAAAAGTACCCAACCTCAAGGTTATTTGGGGTACAAACTTGGTAAAACAGCAAATTTCAGTTGCTTAAACATCAATATTGCTGAAACATACCACTATCTCGCTCTGAAACTCCGCATGCCTGTTTACACAAGATATGTCGCCCAAATTGCTGCTGGTTCAAACATCTGAAAAACCAATTTGTCTGATCAGAAATTTCAGGTGCTTGAGCCGTGATTTTTCCGTTTGTCGCTTCAACTTTCAAAGCACCGAAATGTTGGAGGGCAATTGTGGTTTATTGTCACCCATCCCACAACCGGAATCCTTGTAATGGGTATATGTTTTCCTATCGATTGATGACAATCCCCCAATATGTTTGCTGGTTAAAACCACCTCTCGTCCCCTGACATCCCCTGACCTTCTTCATCAGCCAACGCAGGAAGGGCCGATGCAGATCCACCACAGAATCTTCGCCCCGTAAACCTTGCAACACAATGACGCCATTCACAAGTGCCCAATCAAGGTCTATAATTGACCAAACATAAATGCGTTTAAACACCAACATCTTTTCCCAAAAAAATGTTTACCAACGAAAAATGTGATGTTATATTCAAACACAAAACAAATGGTTTCCAGAAACAAACATGGTCACGTCAACGAAAAAACACCACAAAACGGGGATTGAATTCAAATGCTTTCACTAGCAAGCCTGGTGACGTTAGCGAATTAACAAGTACGAGAGGACATGGCGTTTTTAACCAACCAAAATCATGATAATTTCAATGCCACAATGATGCAGTATGATGCCCATATTTCACAAAGTTGTGGAGATCACTATGTAGTATTCAATATTTGATATCGCTTCATTCAAAATTCTTAAGCGTAGGAGATCGTGAGAGCACTTGATCGTGGGAGCACACCTTGTGTTTAAACTCCTGGATCTTTAAACAAGGTAAGTCAATGGGCCATGGGAATTTCAGGATCCTAAAATGGAGGTACCTACAATATATAAGGCCTATGTAAGGGAATATCCCCACAAAACATGGCCTTATATGGTACAGTACCTCCATTTTAGGATCCTGGAATTCCCATTGAGTAATTAAGGTGGATATCAATGGTAGGCATAGTATGATCGCCGACCTCCTGCAATCAACGACCTGTAAATCGGGATCAGCGGGGATTGCCGATATTTTCCACCGAGACAGCAGCTCACCATGATTTGCGCAAAGGGAGTCACCAAAATGTTTTTAAAACATTGAGACTCATAAAGGGTGGGGCCCCATAGTTAGCTAAGTTGGTTTATAACTATAATAACAGGGTGGGCTTATAAACCAACTTATAACTATAGGGGGGCCCATCCTGTATTCCCTTTAGATTTCCCAGTTATTGCCGCGGTGGATTTCCAAAGTCGCCTAGAACAAAGTCATGTAAACGTCGCTTTGAAATCACTAACATTTTGTTGGATACCTGCTCATGTTCGTTACACCCCAATTGATCAAGATTCTGGTTGATTACATTCCCGTGTTTGTTGGTCAAAACAAACAAATCTGGCGTACCCGCAAAATCCAATGGCTTAGGATTTAACCATTTCTGGTCAAATTCAAATGGTTAACTGATGGTTAAATGATGGTTAAATGATAGGTGAATGGGTAAATCCGCATTATTCATGGTTGATCCCCCTTATCCGCATTGGAATTTTCTAATATTGCTGATGGTCCAATTCCACAAAAGCGGTAAGGCATGGTGAATCCATTTGGGTGTACCTGAAAATGGGGTAATTATCCCCCAAATCGTCATTTTAATATATTTTAATCGGGAAATTATGATACACCATTGGATGTTAAGGGGTTTCTTCAGCATTTTCAAGCAGCCTTAGACCAAACCCATTGCTTCAAACTCCTCGGCCGATCGAACCGCTTCGATTTCGCATCCTTCGACCGAGCCGCGTTCGCGGCTCTTTTCGCTCGCTTTGTAGCTGGCTAAGAGGAACCTCAGAGGAAACCAGCTGGAGCCCAGGTTCTACGGGCAGGGAGCGAATTATCGCTAAGTGGGAAATGACTACTTGGTGGCCCATCCTACTTCTCAAGCTGGCTGTAACGGCAGTTATATATGTACCATCCGGTTATGACTAACAGTTTGCCATGGAAAGATCCACCATTTTTAATAGGTAAACCATCTATTTCTATGGGCCATTTCGCATGGCAAACTGTTAGTCATAACCACTAGGCCTAACTGGGATGAGCCACCGAGTAGACTATAGGGTGAGTTCATAAACAACTGAGGCACCACCTCGTAGCCACTGGCGGTTTGATCCCTTAAAACTTTCACGTGAAATTAGTGGTAAATCACCAGCACACTGGATTTATCAAACAGTTACTGTATACAAATATAATCCAGTGAGAATAGCAGTTAGCAGTATATAACTGTAAAGTATATAAATATATAACATATAGTGTTGGATTTACCAAAACACTGGATTTATCATATATACATAACATATAGTGAAGGCAACCAAAGTGAGAATTCATGCAACTGCAGTAAACGAAGATTTATCCAACAGGAATTAAGAATTGACTGCTAAGAAGAACATTTACTCAGCAACAACCAGCATTGAAGCCACTAAAAATTAATTAGTCTTGCCCAACAAAAGGAATGATATAGCAAAAAATGGATTTATCCAACATAAAGGATGGAATTATGATGCATGCAAGTGAAAATTGCAAGGTAACATCTTATATAACATGCCAGAAACTAAATTGTTAGCTGGTTTGTAGATATTCCTATTTATAGCAAAAAATGAAAGGATTAAAGTACCCATCCAAGGTCAACCGCGGCTGTTCACGCCACGGAGGAACACTACCTCTAAGAGATGGCACACTAAGAGATGGAACGGCTGTTGAGGATGCTGATGCGGATGATGCAGCAACTTCGGCCTTAGCCTTTGCAGTTTTGATGTCCCTTTGCACCTGTGATATTCGGATATTCACTCTTGGCCTTTTAGGTGGCGCTTTGCAAACACAGCCTCAATAGGCCCTTCTTGGTTGTGAAAGGCGGCTCTATGAGTCCGTAATGAGGGGTCTCTCCACACAGAATCAGGGAGGCTATGTGGATCAACTCTAACCTCAGGGTATTGGCCTTCACCCCTTGGGACTATGTAGGGGAGTGTCTGCTCCGCGTACGCGATCGGAGGATCAGCGACCCTTGCCCTTAAGTACCTGACGGATCAATGCGAATCTCAGGATACCCGTGAACTTCTCGGCGCAGCCTCGAACCCCGTAGGCTCGCATGCCCATGTATATGGCCAGCGGCATGCTCGCCTGATTAGGGTTTAGAGTTTAAGGTTTAGGGTCTGTGCAAAAGTGGTCGCGCGTGGGCCGGGGGCTGTCAATCTGCTGGCACGCCCCCCGCTCGAAGCGCGCTCGCTCTGCTTCGTTGTCCCACCCCAGCCACCCAGAGTAAAAACTTTTAGGGTTTAGCCAGTATCCAAAAGAATCGGATGCAATCAACTAACCTAGGGATTTGTCCAACAAAAACGATGTATTTAACCGAAATAACTTCAGGATCATCATCGCATGTGACATTCATTTTTGAGGTATGTATTTGAAGATGGCCCGTAGAAATAGATGGTTTACTGGTTTACCTATGAAATTCATGGTGATTTTCGAGTTCGCAAACTGTGGAAAAAAAAGCCAGAGGCTAATGTTGGTTAATGTTGGCCAACCAGGTTTCTAGCTGGGAAAATCATCTATTTCGATGGGCTATTTTCCATGGCTATGTAAGTCATAACCAGAGGGTATATCCCATTAAATCCCATTAAATCCCATTAAACCACCATTTTCCTATGGTTTTCCTATGGTTTTCCCAGATCACTACAAAACATATCACGTCTAGACGCCATATATATGACATGACCAGAGGCTTTCTCTGAACCTGGGGGATCATCTGGGGGGGTCATCCGGGATAGCAGGACCAAAGCATCTTGAATCAAAAAATATACATAGTGGTGCCCCATAGCTAAGTTGGTTTATAACTACAATAAGTAGGGCTTATGGTAGATATATCTATAGTTGATGAGGGTTATAAACTAACTTATAACTGGGGGTACCACATTGTACACATCATTTTGGTCAAACAACATCATTTGGTTGGCGCTTTGAGACTTCACAATATCTGGGATATATGTTGATAAACCATGGGATGTTGCTGGTACCTTATTTTCGGACAAACCTACACAGTCGAGGTGCAAACTGGAGCATCGCACACTGAGGTATGGCCCAAATTTTGGTTTGCATACTTAAGTCCGATTCGTGCGTCTGTTGAGAAATGTTTTAAACTATTATTAAAACGCCAAAAAAAAGCAGGACCCAACCAGAATTCTAACACCAACTTGGTGGGATGTATGGAGTTCAAACAGAATTACCAGGTGGTCCCCCTAAATTAAAAGTTGGTTTATAAACCCCACATTTATAGATGTCTATCATAAGTCTAACAGTTGACCTACTTCTTGCCACCAACTGAGCTGACCTTATGGGGCATCATATAGATAAAAATCCTACAGTTCATTAGCCCATATACATTTATATATACATATGGAGGTTTCCTAAAATTGGGGTACCCCAAAACCATAGGTTCAATATTAAAATTGTTTAATTGTGGATGATGTGGGGGTACCAACATTTTAGGAAACCTCCATTTAGTTCGCTGATTATCCCAGATATGTTATTTCTTATATCACCAAAATCATCTCCATTAATGGCACCAGTGATGGCAATACGTTAGCATCGTTGATTGTAACTTAACACATTGACTATAACCGTGATATCACCATACATGAAGGGATTGGTATTTATTAGTTATACCCGAACAGAGCTAAATATTAATATTAATGATATATTGAATACATGTTATGCTTTCATTACTATCACTGTAGGTTTCTGAGTTTATTATACTAGTGAAATTCATGATAATTTATAGTTGGTTGCTAAGTTTCAATAATTTTTGCTATAGATAAAAAGTAGTATGTATACTTTAAGGATATATCTATTGCCATGGGGATATATCTATTTCATAGTATATTAAATATTATTTATCACTATGAAATTACCTATGAATTATGAATTATATATCTGGGTAACTTATAATATTTCACCAACCTGAATAGTTCGGCCATTTGGAGATAATTTCAATTAATTATTAACCATGATTCCAGGGTTCGGTCGCAGTGAGGTCGTGATGAAATTTACCCAGATATTATGGTTAATCACATTTTAATATCCCACATGATCCCACATTTCCCCATAAATCAACCATAAATGGGCCCATAGTCATCTTCTATCCCGATGAAAAAAAACATGGCGCCCGCGATTTTTATGATCATTTCTCCAAGGTGCTGGAGGCTCACTTTCCTAAGTGCTGGCAGATGGCGAGATGGCGGGGGCAGGCATTCGAATGTGGGGATCCCCGTTGACGTGATGTTTGTTAACGTAATGTTTGTTGGTGAACAAGTAAACACCATGAATACATTGAATGCATAATATATAAGCGCTATATTAGTTAGCTAACAAAAGGTGATAAAAACCAAAGCCAAATTGGAGTTCGAAAACCAACTAGTTTTGTTTAACTAAAGTAACTGTAGTTATTTGCCAATCATTTAAACCATAGCTGGTTGGTTGGTTTATAGACCCCATCTAACTATAGTTGCATATAGGATGTTATTTAAGCGCATCATTTAAACCCTAGTGACATTGCAGTTATGTGGCCACCAACTTAGCTAACGAACTGGAGCACCAGCTTGTAGAAATGCAATGAACTTTTGAATTTAAGCTGCAACAATTGGTGCAGAGTATGGAATTAAGCCGCACAAATTGAGTGTAGAACCGAGCGTTCAAATTCATGAGAACCATATCCCGACTTTTCCGGAATCCTTCCGTTGACCCACTTCGAAAAGAGACGAGGGAAGACACGTCTAGTGATACTGCCTGAGTGATCCTGAATGGAAGCCCGGAAGAATCTCTTCCCAACCAGCAAATCATATGTTCAAACTCCGGTGTCTTGTGGTTTCATCTCTGATTTTGCTGTATACATGCTGACAACTCAGGAGTTCAGAATCATCTAACAGAAATTGTGAACCACATTTGTTTTAGATTTGTAAGTAGAGGTCTCAACGTGGCTTTGCTCAATACCCTCCAGTAAACCAACATAGCTATTGAAAATTGCCACTTTTAGTGGATTTATCACAACAAAAAAAAACAAATCCGTGGCTATGTTAGTTTACCAAAATGCACAATTTGCTGTTGCCCGCGATTGAAAGTCTCCATGTGGAACATGTGGTTCAAAGCCTTTGGACTTTGGCGGCCTCAAACCCGGGCCCCGGTGACCTGAAGCACATGAACCAAGCAATGTGTGGTGAGTCTCAGCGTCAACCTCACAACTATTTGGAGATGAATTCCCATAAGCAACTGTATATATATATTATATATATATATGTATACCTACACCATTAGAAGCAAACAAGGAGACAACACCCGGCACAATATGATACAATTACTATGTGGTTGGGAAGCTCTTAATTAGTAGCTCCGAAGCCATCTGCAGGTTAGATGCCTGGGGCTGGGGTGCCGCTGCCCATGGACGCAATCAAATCCAAGCCGACCGTGGTGGCAGCTTTGCAGTTCTGGTCCACGTACCATCTGGTTATGACTAACATAGCCATCGTATAGATGGCCCATAGAAATAGATGGTTTACCATGGTTTACCCGTTAAAAATGGTGATTTTCCATGGGTATGTTAAATAACCAGATGGTATTGGAATTCTCGTAGCCACAGGCGTCGCACTTCTTTGGGTCGATTCCGCAGTGCGAGCGCCAACAAAGATGTCTTTTGATGCCATCTTGAAAAAGGAGACTGTTCACTTCTCTATATGATATTCGTTTTACTCTTCACTTCCGTATTCTCTGCACTTCGCTATTCTTTTCACTCTTCACTTCCCTACTCTCTTCATTCCCCTTTTTCTTCACTTCCCCACTCTCTTCACTTCACACCCCAAATTTATCCCAAATTTTGGCGGATGATTGCCCTCTAGAAGCACCATTTGGCTACTTGGAGGATAAACCCACAGTCCGTGGGTACAGTAGTGGGTTCCCTTTAAAACCGTCATTTCTCAGTTCTGTCCACTTATATGGGGGTTTCCATAAATGGGGGTCCCTCAAAATGGATGGTTTACAATGGAAAATCCGCTCGTGATTTATGACTTCACGTACACCCAGTTTAGGAAACCTCCATATCCCCATAGTTTCTTGAAAAAATATCACGATTTTTTCCATAAAACATCTGAGACATAGCCGTAAAACAACCAGCTCGTTCTTGTTTCGATTTCGTCTGAGTCACCTCTCCGGGTCGTAGATGGGCAGCGCGCCCGGCGTTTTCTTGCCGCCCAGAAAGGCACTGTCCGGCAGCTGACGAAGCTCCTGACCAGTAACCAATGGACCCATGGACCAAGGGATGATTCAAGAAGTATCCGGGTAGCAAGAATTGGGATTTCCCCTCCCCCTTGACCCTGAAAACAACCAATTTTGAATGGAAACTAATGGAAACTAATCTTCCAAACCCCCTTTTGGATCTATTTGGCAGGGTCTTTGTTCATTTACTGGACGGAAACTAACACAAATTGGGATGTCCTGTTGATTTATGCTCGGTTTCTGGTTGTTCCCGTTGACCTACAGCAACAAAACAATCTGGGCCTGTATTACAGGCTTTCCATTGCCAGCTTGAATTACAAGCCTCCTATTTTCCGTTGACGACTGGGATGTAACGCAACCACCCTTGCCATCATTTGATTCAATGGGGTCCACCAAGAAAATTGTGATCGAAACCATAAACTGGGCATGAGTTCAGCAATTTTCTTTGCGCCGAAATTGATATGTCAACGCTAAAATCCATTCACTTCCTACCAGTTGAGGCCCCTCTGTTGATAGCTAAGTTGGATCATCCCTTTCAGTAAATGGGTTATATCCCCAGGACTTACATTAATGGGATGGCTATACCCCCAGTTATGCATATACAGTATGTACATATATATATATATATATACATTATAATATAATATAATATAATATAATATAATACAATATAATATAATATAATATAATATACGTATATATAATATAATATAATATAATATAATACAATATAATATAATATAATATTATATGATATTATATTATGTTATATATTACGTATATATAATATTATACATAGATATATTAATTATTATTATTATATATATACATATATATGCATGAAATATTCCCACTTAGATGAATGGGATATGGTTTCTTTCTACGGATTCTAAAAAAAAAACGATCCAGCTCCTTGGGCGAACAGGGCTTCAAGCCAAAGGCGTCCCTGGCGTTTTGGCTGAAGATTTGATGATTCAACTGGTGAAAAATCAACTGGTTTACCCTCTGGCAATTTAACGTAGCTATTGAAAATGGCCATTTATAGTGAGTTGTCCCATTAAACATGGTGATTTTATGTGATTTTCCATAGTTATGTTAAATTGCCGGAGGGTATCAGATCTTGAACATGGTTTATTCATGGTTATTCCACCCTTCAACAGCATGATACATCTGAAAAAAAGCATGTTATTGTGAGTCAGTGATAGTTTAATCAACAGGAAAATTTGGACATGGTTTGATGACTCAACTGGTTCACTACCCAATAGATTGCTAATTCAATTATGATTCAATTGGTTCAATCAGAAAATGTTTCAATTTGATGATTTAACTATGTTTTGAGCGACAACAAAAGTAGGACAGTTGATGACAGAAAAAAGAAGAATTTACATGATTTAACTATACAATTTAAGCAACAGAAGAGTGGGGGCAACTATATGGTTGAAAGATAGTTTAGCCAACAGAAATGTAGGAAATAAGATGGAATGAGCAAATCACTGAAATTTTGAAGGATTGCAACCGACCAAACTGTGGACTCAAGCGGCAGAAGATGGCATCCAAAGGGCCGAGAGTGGGAACCTCAACAACCAACATTGTGATTCAATGGAAAACAATGGATATAGACATAAATAAACAAAACTGATTGATCAAGCAAATGGGACTACCAAAACTATAATATACATATATATATATATACCCTCTGGTTATTTAACATAGCCATGGAAAATCACCCTTTTTAATAGGTAAGCCATCTATAAATGGGCCATTTAAATAACCAGAGGGTATATATATATATGACTGGGATTCTCTCGAATGCACATCGATATTTCATCACCAGCATCCGTCAAGACATGGCCACAGGCCATTGCAAAAAAACCGGTCGTGAAGTCTTTTTTTTTGTTCCGGCCTATTTTGATGAGGGGAAAGGTTCATGATTACCCTACTTTTTTATCAAACGTGACAGTGGAAGAATTTGTGCATTGATGTTTTTCAGATCAACACCTGCATGGATAGTTAGGGGATTTTCCAGCTACACTTGATGACAACTTTGGGATGGCTGGCTTGGTGAAAATCCCCATACTGTTCCCAGGAAAGTCCCATTAAAAATCCCATGATCTTCCATAGTGCAATCAATGTTTTTTAATTATATTACCACCAAGCAAATGGGAGTATTTCATCACCATATGAAGTATAGTCATCACATGTTATAACTACCATATGCCCGGCACTTCTCGGTGTTTTTGATCGCTTCCCCGTGGATCCCCCCTGTCCTTTCCCATGACAGTTTCAAGGCCCGAGTTATACCACTTATAAGTACGAAGAAAAGCCCATTTATAGAATGGTTCTCATCCCATAGAAATAACCAGTTATAACTTATAGCCATGGCCTTAAGTGTAGAACATGATCATTGATGTTTGTTGTTTTTTTATCCCATCATATCCCTAGCTACATCACAATGATTTGGAGAGTTTCCTAAGGCCAACTGGGATCCTCTACCAGGCCAAAATCCCAACTGGGACCCCAATGGGCTATTGTCGTCCCTTCACATATTTAACACTTTCTTTCTACCAGGTGACTGTCTTACACCAGTCTTGAAACATGTTACAGCCATTGCGATGCATTGCTGTACACCACAAATCCCAGAGCATTGAAACTAGCAGCGAGGTGGGAGCAAGAACCTGGAAACTGTCGTTGCCATGCATTGCTATACCACATCTCTAACCATTCACAACGTTGATGCATTTCAGAGGTTCTTTCTGCCACGTGACTGAAACATCTCCCGGCCCAAGTCATGGATGACCAGACCATGTTTGCGATTTGGGGATCTCCAGTGACTTAGGACATAACCATATCCCAGAATATATATATACAGGATGGGGCCCCCGTTGGATAGCGTGAACCGTTGGTTTAGAAAAGTGGCTGAATTCTATGGTTTATGGTAGATGTAACTATAAAGTTAATGGGGATTATAATGGTTTATAAACCAACTGACATATGTTTATGGAATATATATATATATATATCAATGGCCATATGTTGTGGGGACATTCCCTTACATAGGCCTGAAAAATAGGTCTTATATATGGTAGGTACCTCAAATAAATTGCTGGTTGGTGGTGCAATAACAATCTTGAAAAAATATGAGTTCGTCAATGGGAAGGATTATCCCATATATTATGGAAAATAAGACATGTTTGAAACCACCAACCAGTATATCATTTTAATATATGTCCCAGTTGCCATGGGTATTAAATGTGATGAAAAAATCCCCTCATGTCCCTTTTGATGGTGAGTTCCCAAGATATTTTCCCAGATCTTGCATATATTCTCCTATAGTTTCCATGTATTTTCCCACAGGATGGGGCCCCCAGTCGAAATCGCGTGAACCGTTGGTGAACAGAAAAGTGGCTGAATTAACTCTGGTTTATGGTCGATATGTCACGAACTAGTTTTCATGGGGATTATATATAAGGGTTTATAAACCAACGTTCACATCACTGTGGGGCCCCATTTTCCCAGGATTTTCCCATGATTTTCCGCCTAAGATCCGCTGGGCTGCGCTCTTCCAGCTCACGGAGCCACATCTTGGTATAGCGAACTGGAGGATTTGTAACGGGATTGATGATGTAACTGGAGGATTTGTAACTGGAGGATTTATAACTGGTATAACATCTTGGTATATCTGATGTAACTGGAGGATTATCTTTTTTTTTGCTATATACTCATATCGAAAACTATAGGTTTTGGAGGATTTAAGATGTATCTCCTACTAATCGAACTAATCTAATTGACTAGGATGGTTGATGATTACAGGGAATTTGTCTATCCAGAATATTCAGAATTATATATAATTTTCCCGTTTTTCCGAGTCCCTAATAACCAACCTGTCTACAGTTACGTCCCTATAGTCAGTTATAACTTATAAACCCATTTATGGAATAATAACAACATTTAAAACCATTTATAACCTTGATTACCCGAAAAGAGCTGGTTAATGGTTGTATATTCCCCAAAATATAGTAACCATAAGTTTTGACCCATCCCCATACAGTATAACATAGCTAGATACTAACCCCAATCTCAGCTACGGAGCAACAAACGGATGAACAAACGGATGTAGCCTCCTTTTATGCAACTTTCCGTGGGATCCTGGGAAAAAATGCTACGACCGTAGGCCCGTGGATCTATACTTCATATGGTGATTCAACTCAAGGCCTGGCATGACATAGCCATGGAAAATGACCCATTTTTAAGAACGGTAAACCATCTATGTCTATGGGCCATGGTTTCCATGGCTATGTCAGTCATAACCAAAGGGTAACAAAATAACATGATCATGTTGTTTTTGTTAATGAGAATACCATGGGCATATCATGAATGAATGTGTTCGATGATTTAACACACACACACACCAAAAACAAAACGACTTTGCGGCTTTGAGCTGATTTTTCACAAAATCATTTATATAAACTAAAGAACACAACATTCTCTCATTCGGATATGGTTGTTTCAATATTAGAAAAAAGTGATTTAATGATTTAAGTATCACAAGCTCTGGTTTTAATCACCAATGTTGCAGATTTACACAAGAAAAAAACATTGATTCAAGCACCACACATTGGGAGTCAAACAACCAAACATATTCAATTTCACCAACAAAACTCGAGACTTCAGCGCCAAAACGGGAAACATCCCTGTCCTTCAGCGAGTACTTTGGGAAATGACAAAGCGAGAAAGTAATTAAATCAAATTAGATAGTTATCCTCCGGTAAACAGACATAGAATTTGCTGGGAAATCCACAAACTATATATAAATTATAAATGGAGGTCTTAAGCATTCTAGCTGGGAAAATCCAATTTATAATCCAATATAAATGCAAGGTTTTTGATATTTGCACCACGATTCCGGCAACACACAGCCATGAAACTCTCAACTTTCTGACAGCCACGCTTGGTCCAAGCCATAGAATGAGTACAGAGTCAGTATCCAGCGATAGAATCTGATGATCCAAAGGGAGTGCTCACCTTCCTTCTCTTCAAGCGTTTTTCGGAGACACATGCTCAGCACAACACAATGGCATGAAGACAATGCTAGGAAGATAAATGACCCATTCTTGACTGGTTGGTGGTGCAATAACCATCTTGAAAAATATGAGTTCGTCAATGGGAAGGATGACATCCCATATATGAAATGTAAAATTTCATTCATGTTCCAAACCACCAACCAGTTCACCATGCTCTGTTTTTTCAAATAAAACTGCCCATCTATCTATGCTCACAGGGGGATCCCTGCGCATTGGGCACGTTTGTTGATCATTTTTCATGATGTTACCCGACCAACGTTAACAAAAAACGATGGAACTATCCACCATTTTACAGCTGGGTAAATCAACTATAACTTTGGGGTATGTTCAATAACTATGTTTGTTTACCAGAGGATAATCTTGCAAATAACATATCGCTGAAGTTCCTTGTCACTGAATAAACCTTGTCGTGGACTTTTGTTGCTGACTTCATCATGAATTCGAATATGATAGCTGCATAAAGTGTCTCCTTTTTGTTGGATGATTCCAGCTATGTTCCGAACCATCTGGTTATGACTAACATAGCTATGGAAGCCATGGTCAGTTCGCCATGGAATCCGATCCACCATTTTAAAGTTCGGTAAACCATCTATTTCGATTAGGGCCATGGCTTAACCATGGCTATGTCAGTCATAACCAGAGGGTAAATAGAATATTCCAAAACGAAAGAACGTGTGGATCATTGGCCGGCCTTGGTCCTGGTCCAGTTTCATATGAACTATTTGCTTCCAGTTCTGGAGAACTGAGCTTGAGGTAGAAATGGGAACCGCCCTCTTCGATAGAAACACATCCAAAACAGTGGATTGACAAAGCACCCAAAAGGTATCCCATCCCATGAAATTCTGCTTGGTTAATAGCTATGCATGTCCATATTGCTGTTGTGCCGTAATAAACCAGGTGATATGACTTTGTTTTGCCCACTATATATAATGACCAACCAAGCTTGTATTCACCATCTTTTTAGGCTCTTTTACACAGAGTCTGTCTGCTTCATCGCAACACCTCACAAGATGGGGCCCCATAGTTATAAGTTGGTTTATAAACCATGAAATAATCCCCATTAACTATAGTTATATCTACCATAAACCATTGTTAAACCATTGCTATATCTTCCCTCTCATTTCGATCCAATGTTTGACCGACTGAGTGCCCTACCGCAGCAGCCTCATCATCTGCTGCATCCTCTGCGCTTTGGATAGGTCACAACAGGATACCCCACGGGGTAATTTACTACCACGAAAGGATGTAGATTTTTTTATTACGATATCACCTTTACACATTTGAAGATCATTTTGAAGATCATTTTGAAGATTATTTTGAACCAGTGAGGAGTTCGGATGTGATTCTGCACATATCACGGGTCATTTTGCCTCAGGATGCTTTGGCTTTGACATTCCAAAGACCAGCATCACATGTTGGGATGAACATGTGCTACTCTAGGGTGTCTCTCAGGTATACCATTTGTCTTCACATAATTCGCATGAAAACAAATCTCTGATCCCAAATGCCAGTGGGATGTCACCCCAGGTTAAAACAATGCCATTTGCACCATCCCCCCGTCATCACCATTTTAATAGGTGGTATATATAAACCATTTCCAGTCATGGGTGGGAAACGTGGCATTGTTTTACCCACATGATATTTCCAACCAGCCACACTGGCCCAAATCAACCCCCGATTTGAAAAAAGCCACGTTTTGTCTGAAAGACCAGTGCTAGCCTCCCGCATGTGACATATGTTTGTAATGAAAATAAATCCCAGCCACCCCATAGTTAGCTAAGTTTGTTTATAATTATAATAACAATAGGTCACAACAGGATACCCCACGGGGTAATTTGCTTCCACGAAAGGATGTGGATGTCTATTACGATATCAAGTCTGGTTGGTGGTTTCAACCATATTGAAAAATATGAAAGTCAATGGGAAGGATATATGTATATATATATATATACATATATATATATTATGGAAAATAAAAAATGTTTGAAACCACCAACCAGATAACGTGATAAGTCCAATAAGAATCCAAACCTACAACGCTGGCTCCTCACACATTCACTGGAAAAAAGAAACACCAGAACACAACAGTTCTAGCTAGAATCAACCTTACCTATAGTTCCAACAACAAAGAGTTCGACAACTTGATCTACTTCATGGTGTCCAGGTCGGCTCCATTGTGATTTCCCAACCCTTCGCCCTTAGCTGATCAAATTATATATATATGTTGTTGTTGCTGCTTAAATTCACGAAATTCACGAGAATTAAAGTACATTCCCCCCTATGGATCCAAGTACCTTCTTAGGAAGTGTTTGGGGTATGATTTGGAGGGTTAAGTACCTTCTCAGACAGTGTTTGGATCCATAGGGCCCAATATTCGCAAATCGCATTATTACATTGGGAACTTCAATGAATTACTGATTCGGCTGTCCCATCTTGACCCACCCAGATGTTGCAGAAAAAAACCTGAGAATTCCTAAATGCGTGTTGTTCAAAATATGTTGTAAACTAATCTGGCAAACCAAATGATAAATCATCCCCAATTTGACCACAAATGGTGCAACTGCACAACCCTTGTTCAAGACTTGAAGGTTTATGGCATTGGTTTTACCACTATCACTGGGAGTTGCCCCCAGTTCTGTGTCTTGTTTAACCAAGTGAAATAATTCAATCATGATATACAATATCTATATCATAAACCCTACATGTAACCTATCCAAATCAATTTGGCTCTCATAAAATCAACCAAAAAAACTTTCCAAATCTATCGAAATCTCCACTTTTTCCCGGTTCAGCCCCTGTTTTTGCTGGGTCACCGGCCTCGTGTTCTGAGGACGGCCCTTTGTTGCACGCCCCGCGGTTGCGGCGCCGGCCGCCGTTTACGGCGCCGGTACCGCCGCGGAGCCGGAAGCGCGGGGCGCTGTCGTCCTGGCACCGTGGAAGCGTGGATGGATCTTAGATGGACCGGAAAGAAAAACACGATACCTAGTGACTTAGCTGCTATGTGGCTTGTAGCCCACTTAAATCCTTTTTTTTTAATGAATTTACTAACTATAGACATAACTAAGTCCATGGCCCATTTATGTATGGGGCTCTCCAACATAGTGATATGAGTACCTCCCGGTCGATAAAAAATCCGTGGTTGAAACTTACCAAAAATTGGGATTTGACCACGGAAAATATCCTCTGGTTATTTAACATACCCTCTGGTAAATTAACATAGACCCTGGCAGATAGGGTTTGGAAGATTAGTTTTCCATCAAAACTAGGCTATTTTCAGGGTCTATGTTAATTTACCAGAGGGTAGCTCTGGAAAATGGCCCATAGAAATGGATGGTTTACCTATTAATAGCATGATGGATCTTTCCATGGCAAACTGTTAAATAACCAGAGGGTATGATGATTATCAGGAGATATCAGGAGTCTGATGGGGATTTCACCAACATGCTGTATCCAAAATATGATTTGAGCACGGAAAGTGAATGAAAACATGGTGACATATT